TTATTATTATTATTATTATTCATGTGGACCATTTTTTTATTTTAGAGTCTTTTGGATTCTGGAATTTATTTATTTATTTACCACACTTTTATCCCGCCCTTCTCAGCCCGAAGGCGACTCAGGGCGGCATACAGACTGGCAACAATTAGATGCCCAACACACATAAATACATCGTTTAAAACAGGTTAAATCACATAATAAAATTCGTATTAAAAACAATTTAAAACTATAAAAATCAATGACTTCCAGGTTTAAATCTATGTCCATTTGCCAAAAAGAGATTCTCAATCTGTGCTAGCCTTATCTCACTCCAAGTTTCATCCGCTTCAGATAACAAGACCAGTGGCTAGGGATGATAGGAGTGAAGTGAGCACCAGACTGGGCAGTTATTGATGTTATTAATGAAAATATTGATATGAGTCAGCAACAGTTTCTATGCACTGCTTCTTTAAGCTGCTGAGTGTGCACTTGTACGGCGGCCATCCTCCTGCCTTGGTTTGCAAGCAAGGACTGTCCTTTGGCTGGCACCTGGCAGCTTGAATCTATTCTGAGCACATACCCCCTGTGGGCTGATCTGGACTGGAGTGGACTGGCATCAGGCAGACAGCTGTTTCAGGCAGAATAGGCTTGGGTGGCATTTAGTTCTACCGTACTCTTTATATAGACCCATCACTTAGAGTGTCAAGAAAGGAAGAAAAAGTGGGAGGAGAAAGTAGGGTCCCTGCCACAAAGTTTAGATTCTAAATTTGGAATGGGATAAAACGTATTTCCATGGTTGTTTAATCACTCCAGCTGTGTGCAAGGAAACATGCTGTACACCAGTGGTTCTCAACCTGCGGATTCCCAGATGTTTTGGTCTTCAACTCCCAGAAATCCTAACGGCTGGTAACCTGGCTGGGATTTCTGGGAGTTGTAGGCCAAAATACCTTGGGATCCACAGATTGAGAGCCACTGCTGTAGGCTATATTTCAGAAGCAGAAATTGAGTATTCCTTGCCTAAGAAAACTATGAAATTTGTGGGGTCACCATAAGTCAACAAGTGAATTGAAGGCACATACATACAACAAAAGTTTGGTCCTGTATGTGTATACTCAGAAGTAACTTCTAAATAATTCAGTTGCATTTACAGCAAAGTCAGTGATTATAGGATTAGTTTATTTATTTATATCCCACCTTCTCCCCAGTATTGAGACTCTGGGCAATTTACATAAAATAATGACAACAATAATTTAGGATCGCAGCCTCAGCAATGTCAACAGCTGACGTCATAGCACTGAAGTCACTTAGGGCAACATTGGCAAGAAAAGCAAGTCAAGCTGGGTTGTGTGTGTACACGTATGTGTGCTAGCAGCCTCTTTTGGCAGGCAGAAAACTAATAACATCTTCTTACTGTTTGTAAAATAAGAGATAACTAACAATTGTTTTTCCATGACTTCCCAAATCTCTTGTCTGGTGCAGCTGTTTAATTGGGCTTAATGCCAGGGCAGCCCAGGCCTTGTTTGTTGCACACGTGTAATGTCATAAATCTTTATCCTTCTGCCTTTGAAGTTCTTTTGCTGAAGCATGGGCACTTTAAACAAATGAGATAAAAGTTTCAAGGTTTTAGCAAGCTGTTTCGGTTTTGCTCCATAATGTGTCCTTGGCCCTCTTTTCTGTTTATAAAGTTTTCCTCACTTAAGAGTGAAGTTTGTCATATGTAGATGTTATCTAAAATGGTTCAATAAAAAGCCACAGAAAACATTTTAAAGAGCTCTCTGGAACATCTGAAGTATTTACTTTGCCAATGTGAAGTTTGTGTTCCTAAAGGCTGCAGTTCTCAAGCATTATCTGGCAGCTGAGCCTTCTTGAATTTAGTGGTATTTACTTCTGTGTGGGCTCCCTGGTGGCACAGCTGAACTGCTGAACTTGCTGATTGAAAGGTTGGTGGTTCGAATCCGGGGAGCAGGATGAGCTCCTGCTGTTAGCCCCAGCTTCTGCCAACCTAACCATTAAAAACATGCAATTGTAAGTAAATCAATAGGTACAACTTCTGCGAGAAGGTAGCAGCACTCCATGTAGTCATGCTGGACACATGACCTTGGAGTTGTCTACGGACAGCGCCGGCTCTTCGGCTAAGAAATGGAGATGAGCACCCCACCCCGAGTCAGACACGACTAGACTTAATGTCAGGGGAAACCTTTACCTTTACTTCTGAGTAGGTACATTAACCGCCTGGTCTATTATTCTGAGAGACCAGGGTTCAAATTCCTCTTGGCCATGCAAGCCCATGGGGTGGCCTTGGGCAAATCACATTATCTCAGTCTCAGAGGAGGGCAATGGCAACAGCAACCTACTCTGAATAAACCTTGCCCAGAATAGGTGGCCACCATAGTCAAAATTACTTGAGGACATACAACCATGAGACACATGGGATCGCACTATACACTATGCATTTATTATGTCAAACTATTATTTAAAATGGGCTAGAATGAAGGAGAATAGGCTTCCCAGAACTGCTATAACTGATTGCAGTATGAAAACTAAAATGCAGGAGCTGGAGTCCAGAGCCAGGCATTATGCATGTGGTAATATTTGAATGAGAAAATAATTTCAACCACCTGTTTAAAACAAACAGGAGCAATATGTAACAAGTAGGCCATTTGTGAAATAAAATATTGTATACTGTGCTGACATTTAAATGTACTTTTAAAAATTACTTTGCATTCCTGAAAGTGATTCCACTTCCTTCAGAATTTCCCTTTTGTACTTTATACACTTCACGGTGAGTTGTCGGTTGAACAATAAAGCAATAAACTTAATAGAACCAGAATTGTACATAAGCTGAAAATTTGCATGCAGTTGCAATAATGAAACCAATACTTATACAAGTATCTTCCCTGTTTCACTTTCACTTGATTCTCTTGTGGTTTCTCCAATAGTTCAACTGTGGTTTCTCCAGTGGTTCAAAGGGGTGTGTGCTGTGCATTTGTTTCCTTCTGTGATTTTTTCCCCCACTTCTGACTCCAGGATAATAGGGATGAGGCATCACGTGATACTAAAACTGCATTCCTCTTCACCCTTCCCTGGGAGTTATGGAAACTCATAGGGAAGGGTGAGAAGAATGCAGTTGCCTCCATACCTCCAAGGAAGAAGGGTGCTTCCCATTAAGAGTCTGCCCACATTGCTGTGCACATTTACCAAAGCCTAGTTTCAGAAGAACTCCAAAGCAAGCATTTCCGATATCTGGTATGAGTGATCTGATCCCTCTTGGTAGACTGGGAAGATAAGAGCAGAAAACATAGGGAAGAGTTGCTCCCATTTGCCACACAGCATCTGCTTCTCTCAACACATTGCTTTCATCTTTTAACTAAAAAGAGATGAGGCAAGAAGTTCCCTATCCCTGTCCTTAGAATGAGTTGTGTTAAACTCTCTGCAGTTAATACACTCCCACTGCACTGCATCTTTCCTCCAGGGTTGAACAATTAGCCACTGTGTGGGGCTAGAGGCAAAGAAATGTGGAGAAGGATTGAAACTATTTAGAGGGTCACCATGAGTTAGTACATATCTCAGAACAGCAGTTAACAACAACAATCACATAGGCTTTTTGGTGTGATGCACTGAACTCAGATTCCAGGAATCTAAAGATGATACATGAACCCTTTGGGCTGAAATGATGTTTTGGATGTCTTGGTAATGCCTTTTAAAACTGTATTAGTGCAGGTCTTTTCTAGCTAGTTCATGCATATCCCAGATTAACAAATGGATATAGACAAAATTTGATGTTGAAAAGGCTTTTGAGACTCAAGCCTCAAGTACTGAAATCTCTGATAGCTGCAAAGCAATGGGCCAATTAAAAGGAAGGCACATTTTAGAAGTGGAAAGGATTGGCCTCCTTTCCCCCTCCAAAATTAGTCTGTTGTTGCTTGATGCTTGTTTATTATTATTATGCTGTTTTATGCTATTTAAAATTGTAATTTGTTATTCTGTTTTAATTGTATGTTGCCTGGGTTTGGCCGCCCTGAGTCCCTTTGGGGAGAGGGAGGCAAGGTAGAAAAATAAAGTTGTTGTTGTTGTTGTTGTTGTTGTTCTTCTTCTTCTTCTTCTTCTTCTTCTTCTTCTTCTTCTTCTTCTTCTTCTTCTTCTTCTTCTTCTTCTTCAGTAAGAGCCATGCAAAAAATAAGTTTGTATAAGGAAAAGCTATGAAATGGGGGGAAATGGCTGTGCAGTTTAACCATGTATTGAGAGGCATTTGAAAAGAAAGGAAGCAAGTTCTCTAGGCACAATAAGGGTTCACATTAAATTGTTCGCTCTCTTGTGTGCAGTTCTGCAGTTTTTACCAAGACTGAGTGTCCCACTAGGTATAGTGAAGCAACTTCTTTCAATTGGAAGAAGCTATAGTGGAATGGAAGCAGCAATGCTAGCTTTCTGACTTTTCCTCCAGAAACCCCAGGCCTTCCTCCTCTATTGAAGGACAGAACTGTGCATGCCAAATCATAGAATCATAGAACTGGAAGAGACCTCATGGGCCATCCGGTCCAACCCCCTGCCAAGAACCAGAAAAATCGCATTCAAAGCACCCTTGACAGATGCCCTTTTTCTGTCCCCTGAAAGTGTTCTGTTGCCCTTGGTGGCAATGGAGGATGCTATCACCAGCAATGACGTATCCTTCTATACCCAGTTCAGTGGAAAGCAAGGGGCATATTTGCTTTTTGTGTCTTCTGTTTCAGAAGAAAGGACCATTCTCTTGGTCAAAGTTGCCCTGGTCTAACATGTAGACGCTCACTGCATGTGCCACCTCTTGGCTATGGCCTCTCCTACATGAGGACAAGGAGAGACGGGCGATTTAAGAGGGTCCTGTGATAGAAGTCATGGGTGCGAGCAGCTCTAACAGGCTGAAGCCAGCAGTGGTGTCTCTGTGATAATCCCCACTAATTGGCTTCCCTCTTACCCAGCTTCTCCAGGGGGTGGGGGTGAGTATAAGAGGATTGCTTAGGTGCTTCTTCTTAAGCCTTTACATTACAAGTCTTCCAGTGGGTGCCCATCTCCGAGAGACCTACCTGTCCCATGCCACGCAAACAGTCTGCGGAAGTGGAGGGCCCAGCCAAGGGCAAAGCAGAGGAAGGAGAACAGCCCCCCAAAGGAGACGGCGAACCCAAAGGCAACAGAAGCCCTGGCTCGGAGTCACGCCGAAGCAACCAGTCCAGCGGGGGGCGAAAGCAGGGCAAGAAGAGTCAAGCTGACCCCTATGCCGCTGCTATTAAGACCTACTCGCCTTTCCTCAATACCGTCTTTGGCAAGGTGAGCCCATGTCTGTAGAGTTTGGGTGAACAAAATGGGCCCCATCAAAGGTTGCTGCTGGGCTACAGCTCCCAATAGCTTTATTGGTGCAGTCAGTGATGAGGAATGCTGGGACTTCCAGTCCAACAGCTCCTGGAGGGCCGCGTGATTCCCATCTCTAGTGTAGAGGGAGAGAAGGAGGGAGGGAAGTGGTAGAACTAAGCCCCCAATGTCCTATTTACTAATAGCAAATTCAGTGTGACCCTGTTTGGGGCCAAAATGGTACCAGAGCACAGAAGGAACAAGTTAAAAGTAGCACAGCTGCCTGCAACTAATTAACTCTTTTTTCTCCCGATGACAGTGTGATGAAATAACATTTCAAAAGTAAAACTGTAAGAAAATGATATTATTTTACAAGTGTAATGACGAACTGTTTCTGATGCCTTTCAATTATTACTTTTAAAGGAAGCATTATAGGAAAGCATTCTGAGTTGAATTTTTCTAGTGCCATGTTATTCTTTTCTCTTTCCCTCAGAAAAGTAAAAAAAATGAGAAAGTAAGTGCAATGTAAAAAAAATGCAACTCTATAGTAGTTAGCAACAATGAATTATTTTTCACACAGTGTCATGAATCATAGAAACAAACTACTTTTTAAAAATTACCATTGAAAAGTAAATTATAAAACATACAAACATGCAGGTTCACACACATATGCACACACTCTTCTCCAGGTGGAATTATCATTAGTAGACAATACCAAGATTTGCAGAATAGAAAAAAAAACATAAGAATCCTTCAAAATTAACATATAAGGTAAAGGGAAAGGTTTCCCCTTGACATTAAGTCTAGTCATGTCCGACTCTGTAGGATGGTGCTTAACTCAATTTCTAAGCCGAAGAGCCAGCGTTGTCGGCTAGCATGCAATCATGTGGCTAGCATGACTGCATGGAGCGCCATTACACATGCACAAAATATTACCTTACTGTTGGACCATTCCAAATCAGTCGGAGATAAATCCTGTGTGGATTTTAATCTGGCAAAAGAGACAAACTCTGTTTCTTCATCTGGATTCAGAACCTTGGATAGGATCTTTACAGTTTGAATGAAAGCAAGAATGAATTTACTACCCAACTGACATGGAAGTAACTGGATGCTTCAGGATGCAATGGCTTGATATCCTGAAAGAGAGGGTGTCTTTGTGGAACTCTGAATGGGACTCCACCTAACAACACGTTGGTGCAGGCCCAGTTGTGGAGTCGAAGGGTGCATCTAAGCTGTAGAATTACTGAGACATGATACCACTTTAACTGCCATGGCTCAATGCTGTGGAATGGCAGAAGCTGCAGTTTTAAAAGATCTTTAGCCTTCTCTGCAGCCCTCGGTGGTGCAATGGGTTAAACCCTTGTGCCGACAGGGCTGCTGATGGAAAGGTCGGCAATTCGAATCTGGGGAGCGGGGAGAGCTCCTTTCTGTCAGCTCCAGCTCCCCATGCGGGGACATGAGAGAAGCCTCCCACAAGGATGGTAAAACATCAATACATCTGGGCATACCCTGGGCAATGTCCTTGCAGATGGCCAATTCTCTCACACCAGAAGCAACTTTCAGTTTCTCAAGTCACTCCTGAAACAAAAAAGGTCTTCTCTGTGAAAAAGTGCCAGTGTTTCATAAAACTTGAATTCCTATGATTCCTGAACATTGAGCCATGGCAGTTGAAAGTGGTGTCGAACTGCTTTCATTCTACAGTATATATAACTAGATGTAATAAAGCCTGAAAGCTAAGTGAAGATAGTGGTTTAGATGAGCAAGGATAAGCTTATGGTTATGCAACACAGTGTTGAGTTCTCAATGAGAGGAAAAAGATATACCCTAACATTCGAATAAAAGTTAAAACAATGTCATCTCCCAGGAAATTAATATGGCATCATGTTGAGGGGCTCAATCCAGTCTTCAGTGTCTACCAGAGTGATCCTGATTCAGCAACCTCTAATACAAGGGAGTTTGAAGCATTTAGCTCTTGAGCTGTTTAAATTATTTGTGTGGGGTTTTTGTTTGTTTACTGTCTTATTAAAATAAGTAAATAACAGTTCATTTAAAATTCATTTCGAAACCACTTCAGGGAAGGGAGGTTGCTGAGTTTATGACATCACAAACGCCATTTGCCAACCTTTTTGCTGCGTGCAGCTGGCTTTCACTGAAAAACACGTGGAACCAGTTTTCCATCATCTTTGACCCCAGAGAGAAAAATGCTTTGTTTGAACACACTGTGTTTTCAGGACAACCCTATTACTCATGTGACATAAAGTCTATTATTATAGGCAACCTTTGCAGTGTTGCCAGGGTTTCAGAATGGCAATAAGAGGCAGGCAGGGATGACAAGCAGGAAGACGCTATTGGCAAGTTCGTGTTCTTCCTAAATATCAAGTGAAAGTCTTCACTTCAGTTAGTTTAGTATTTCTCTGTGAAGTCAACATGTTGTCCACATAAATTACAAAATGCACACCTTGAAAGAACCTCACTCAAAAATACTGAATTTTGGTGTTGTTGACAGCTTGATCAGCATATACTGTATAACCCAGTGGTTCTCAACCTGTGCGTCCCCAGATGTTTTGGCCTTCAACTCCCAGAAATCCTAACAGCTGGTAAACTGGCTAGGATTTCTGGGAGTTGTAGGCCACAACACCTGGGGACCCACAGGTTGAGAACCACTGGATAACCCCTCAAACATAAGCTATGCCTTATAATAAGGGACACCTAAACTGTGTGGAAACAGCAGGAGTAGAGAACATAACAGGCCAGGCACTATTACCCAATAGCTCCCATCCTCCCTGAGTACTAGCCATGCTATTGGGGTTGGTGCGAGTAAAATTCGAACAACCTCCATTTCTCATCATCTCCCTCTCTTGCTTTCATTCCTCTGCCATACCTTGATTAGGGACTATTTATCATGACTGTTTCATATTGGTGGGTACAGCAAGAGGTACTGCTATCAGAATTTTCTGTTGAGACGTGATAGATTTACAAAACTTTAGGGCAGAAGCTGACTTTGTTTCCGGAGCCCATTGTTTAATGGGAGGGTGGTGGTTAATGAAGTAAAGGGCTGGAACTGCTTGGCTTCTAAGCAGCAACGGGGTGGCATCATGCCAACCAAGATTATCATTAGCCCAGAACAGCATCTTCCTAGCCCTTGCTTGACTAACTCATATAAATAGCCCAGGTCTCTTGCCCTGCTGCGAGGCAGGAAATCCCATTAGCCAGAGGGAAATATAGATGAGGAAAATATCAGGAGAAATGGGAGCCTATCTCTTTTTGGAGGCTTCCTTCTATTTATGAATGGATCCCAGAGATGTCCATTGAGGAAAGGATGGACAGACAGCTCCGCAGCAGCATTTCAACCCTCCAGGTTTAGTAAAAAAAGCCGTGTGAAGAGCTGCTTTCTTTTCACACAGGGGTGGCACAGATAAAACTCGCAGAGCTGTTACATGACCTCCAATCCATTTAATCCAACCTTCGGCAGGTTAATTTGGGAAGCGATTTTTTACTGGGGTGGAAGTGGGAAGGATTGTTATAAGCACTAGGTGGTTCATTATGCAAGCTTCACTCTGTGTTAATCAGCTTCCTTCAAAGAGATGAGACTTCTTAGAGGACATTGTTAGGAGATGATTTCCTTCTAGTCATGCAAGATAAAACACTGTAGAATGGCTGTCCTCTTATAGAAGGACTGCTGCTTCCAAGGTCCCAGCCATGCCCAGTCCACCTCCCCCTTCCATACACACACATTTAAAATTTCATTTAAAAAACTGACTCTAAACATGTTGTACTTACAAACATGCTCAGTTCTCATTAGGTTGATTTGTGGGGAGAACTCTGTGGCGTAATGTAAAATAAACCATGTGTAGTTCACATTGCATCAGGCCACACACTGCCTTGCCAGAGAAAGAAAATATGCCAAGCAGATGAACAATGGAGGACAAGTGGTTTACTCTTCAGTGTTCAGGACAACATATGTACAATGTGATCAGCTGCACCAACTCACATAATGTCCTCTTATGAGAGATTTAAAATGGTCTTTCTTTTGTCCTTGTGGATAAACTCCCCCAGCAGCTCATGAAGCGAGAGCACACGCCAAACGCTGTCTCTCTCTGCTTCTCCCTCTTTTCTTCCCTGCAAGCACCTACATAGCTCAAGCCTGAAAAATGTAACAATATCGAAAAGTCCCAGGCTCAGCCTGCTCCCCGGCCATGGCCCAACCAATCAGCTTCATGCATCTTATTTTATATTTGGCACACACACACTAACTGATCTCTTGTAACTCCAGTAAACTCTGCCTCCTTAGGTGTAAAAAGGGGGTTGTAATTCTGTTTACCACAAATGCTGGAACTTTCATCTTGCTTCACACTGTCCTCATTTTGATTCAATTTCTCACTCATCATCTAAGTTCTCTATCTGAAGGACAAAGATACCGAGAACAGATATCCTGATCATATTGGTATATTTGTCTGTTTTAAATGCTGTGCTAACGTTTTTATGTTAAGCCACTTTGAGTATTACTATATAAATAAATAAAATAATAAATAATAATAATTGACTGGCCGAAAAAGGATCCAAAGGAATCTCATTTCATAGCTTCTGGATTTCCATTCAGTCTGAGTAGAAACTAGCGCCTATCTATTTTAGACAACATTTGGTTTCTTAGTGTTGTTCTTTGTTATTAATTTTAAGTTGCTGTTAAGGAGTTCTAAAACCCATTGATTGACAGCACATACAGATCCCTGGTTCCCCCATCCCACCTCTAGGTCTGCTGGGTCTGATTAACCTTTAACTGAGGGAAATGGGGGGATCAGTAGGTTTCCCTCTAGGTTTTGATCATTGAGGTCCATCATTATTTGTAATCTTCAGCTAATGAAGTCCAAAATTCTACATACTGCAAATAAGAGTTGCTTCCCCCTACCTCTGCTGAACTGTGATACACACACACACAACATACAGATACACACATACACCCCATATATATATACATACATATATATATATATATATATATATATATACACACACATACATACACACACACACACACACACACACACACACAAGTACAAGCATTTATAATGCCAATGCTCCTTTAACATTCTGACAGCCCATCCTTGAGGCACTATAATTTTCATAGAACATACAACTGGCTGTATAATCTTTCCCCTGATAGAGAAGGAGCATGTAGGGGTTGATGATGATGTATGTCAGTGTTACCAACAAATCCAATCTTTTTACAGCTTTTCATAATGATAGCAAGCTTCACAAGTTAATTATATCTGAACAAAGTGCCAGTCAGATGTAGAGAGCAATTGCTAAATGGTAGTACATTTATACAAAGGAAAAAAAACTAAGAGATGCAGCCCTTTGGATGTTGTTGAACTCCAGTCCATGTACTCTCACTACCATAGCCATGTATGAAGAATGCTGAGTCCAGCAACCTCTCGGGTGCCTGCCATATGACCACCCTTGCTGTAGTATAGGAGGTAATTTTATTTACCTTGTGTACTATAGGGATACATGGCCACATAGATAAGAATAATAAATACAGTGCTTTTAGTGGAAGCCTATGTGGTGTCAGGGAGATACAAAGAGGCAGATCTGCTTATCTTTCTATCGGCTTGCAATACCCAGTAGAGAAGGTAAGTAGGGGGATGTTTAGGTGCTGGGTTTTTCAGTCTGGCCAAAAACATTACATTTTACCTCTGTATGGGTGCAGAGGGAGTACACTGGTGGAGTCCTTTGTCACTAACACAAGTTGATGGAAGGGCGTCTTCACCCATTTCTGACCAATTTCCAGTCTGCTGGATATGAGAGGACAAAATGTTTTGGCCAGAACCAATGGATGGCATATGGTTAGTGACATACAGATCTATAACTTGTGCTACATATGCAGAGTAATGTGTACAGTTGTGATATCCAACTAATGCTTACATAAATGGACTTGAACAAGTGGCATCATTGCATCTGTGGTAGCACTCTAAAGTATGTAGAGTAGTGTGTGACTGTGCATTGCCTCTAGGCACTGCTTTGTGGCAATACCATGAGGTGCCAGCTATGCACATTGGCCATTGATCCACATATGTCACACTACATAGGGACTCAGTATAGGGATTGTCAAAGGCTTTCATGGCCAGAATCACTGGATTGTTGTGAGTTTTCCAGGCTGTATGGCCATGTTCCAGAAGCATTCTCTCCTGATGTTTCACCTGCATCTATGGCAGGCATCCTCAGAGGTTGTAAGGTGGCCATACAGCCTGCAAAATTCACAACAGTATAGGGGATGTTTAACAAAAACTGTACAAGCAAATATTTGCAATACAATCTTTCTTACCCTCTCATCTTGGTCATGTCTCTTAGGAAATTTCCTCCTCTGTTGCTTCGTCTATTCCCAAATTGTATTCTAGGCAATTTGTTTATACTACAATGTAAAAGGCTGGACTCTAACTCCCTCCTCCCTTTTTTCTTTCTTTTGCCAGGAGAGGGAGCTTTCCCCGCTAGAGCTGGATGGTGAGTTGCCATTGATCTGGGGAGATAGTAATGACGAATTTGGGTCTTAGTAGAGGTGGGCCTTCTCTTTGGGCAAGTAGGACATTGTCCATATCCTCCTTCTCTCAAATACTCAACCCACACAGGGATGCAAGAGACACAGGCTTTGCAAGGGAGGAGGTTAGGTGCTAAACGTCTTGGCTCTGCCGATGCTGATCTTATACTTTGCCCCATTAATGTAAGCAGTCATTAGCTGTCCTGGATTGATGGAAGTGGGAAGAAGGAAATTATATAAAGAAGTATCAATAAAAAAGACTGTTTGCACAGCTCCTCCTTTTTTCTCGTATTGCTAAGATATATTTCCTGTATCCATTTTGGAAGGCACCTGAGATGCTGAGGATGAGAATGACAAAAATGAAAGCAAAGGAAATACAATACAATCCCAATATCTATGTAGGATATGTTCCAAGAATTCATGTGGATACATGAAAATATGAATCGTAGAGACTCCATTGTTTTCAATACAACAAATTATGGTGGCAATCACTGCACAAGAGGCCCTAAGTGAATAGATGAATACGTGAAACTGTGGTTAAGTGAAACTGTTTTTATAAGACCTCACCTGGAATAATGTGTCTAATTCTGGACACCACAGTTTAAAAGAGATAGTGACAAACTGGAAGGTGTCCCGAGGAGGGTGACTAAAATGATCAAAGGTCTAGAGACCAGGCTGTATGAGGAGCGTCTTAAAGAACTGAGTATGTTTAGCCTGCAGAAGAGAAAGTTGAGAGGAGACATAATAGCCATGTATAAATATGTGAAAGGATGTCATAAGGAAGAGGGGCTTGTTTTCGGCTACCCTGGAGACTAGGACTCGGAGCAATGGGTTCAGATTAAAGAAAGGAAATTCCACCTGAACATGAGGAGGAACTTCCTGACTGTGGAACTCGCTGCCCTGGAGTGTGGTGGAGACTTCTTCTTTGGACGCTTTTAAACAGAAGCTGGATGGCTATCTGTTGGGAGTACTTTAATTGTGCTTTTCATGCATGAGTAGGGGTTTCGGGGTGCGGTGTCATCTGTACGCAGATGATGTCCAACTCTGTCACTCCTTTCCACCTGCTACTAAGGAGGCTGTCAGGTCCTGAACCGGTGCTTGGCCGCTGTGAACGGTCTGGATGAGGGCGAACAAATTGAAATTGAATCCAGACAAGACAGAGGTACTCCTGGTCAGTCGAAAGGCCAAACAGGGTATAGGGTTACAGCCTGTGTTGGATGGGGTTACACTCCCCCTGAAGACGCAGGTTCGCAGCTTGGGTGTGACCCTGGACTCATCGTTGAGCCTGGATCCCCAGGTTTCAGCGGTGACCAGGGGAGCATTCGCACAGCTCAGGCTCGTGCGCCAGCTGCGCCCGTATCTCGGGAAGTCTGACTTGGCCACGGTGGTACATGCTCTTGTCACATCCCGCCTGGATTACTGCAACGCTCTCTACGTGGGGCTGCCCTTGAAGACGGCCCGGAAGCTTCAGCTGGTTCAGCGTGCGGCAGCCATGTTACTAACGGGAGCGGGTAGCAGGGAGCACACAACGCCCTTGTTGTCCCAGCTCCACTGGCTGCCGATTTGCTACCGGACCCAATTCAAGGTGCTGGTCTTGGCCTACAAAGCCCTAAACGGTTCCGGCCCAAAATACCTTTCCGACCGCATCTTGGCCTACGAGCCCACGAGGACCTTGAGATCGTCTGGGGAGGCCCTCCTCTCGATCCCGCCTGCGTCACAGGCACGACTGGCGGGGACGAGGGAGAGGGCCTTCTCAGTGGTGGCCCCCCGGCTGTGGAACACTCTCCCGGCACACATCAGACAGGCGCCCTCCCTTATGTCCTTTCGGAAAAGCCTTAAGACCTGGCTGTTCGAGAGGGCATTCAATTAAGTGCGAAGCATCAACATTACGGCAATGAAAACTGGTATGGCATAAGGAAGATGAGATTGGTTATGATTCTACTAAGAGACGAAGCGGATTTTTATGTAGTGTGTATTGTTGTATAGTTATGTTGTTGTTTACCGACCTTTTGTAACTGTCTTTTTATGTGTACTGTACACCGCCATGAGTCGCCCGTAAGGGCTGAGAATGGCGGTCAATAAGTACATCAAATAAATAAATAAATAAATAAATAAATTGGACTAGATGGCCCGTGTGGTCACTTTCAACTCTGTGATTCTATGATTCTAATGTTTTTCCACAAAGAGATTTCTTTAAATTACACACACAACATTCATTTCTGTCTTTTGTTGATTTTAAAAATCACATGATTGGTATTTTCTTTTATTTATTGCTGAGATCTTTGCCATAATTGTAAGAGGGATAAGAATGATGCCCTGGGTTAGTGGCCACCTGTTCCAGCTATTTTTTCCTCTATCCTCATCCTACATATAGGCTAATTCAAGTAAGAAGTTTAGCATGTCAGTTTTTTTTTAAAAAAAACTCACAAACTAGCTATATTTCTCAAAAGCATGTATAACAAAATTCTTGCACACTATATAGTAGCTGTTATGGCTACTTTTGTGCCTTTAGTCCTTTCTTCTATTATAGCATACCTTATCCTGAGGTCAGCACCTAAGCCTGGAAAGTCATTGGCCATTCTAGCTGGAGATGCTAGTAGTTGTGCTCACATAAATACAGTAGAGTCTCGCTTACCCAACATAAATGTTGGATAAGTGAAAATGTTGGATAATGAGGGGTCAAGGATAAGCTTATTAAACATCAAATTACATCATTATTTTACAAATTAAGCACCAAAACGTCATGTTATACAACAAATAGACAGAAAAACCAGTTCACTACATAATAATGTCATGTAGTAATTACTGTATTTGCGAATTTAGCACCAAAACATCTCAATGTATTGAAACAACTGTGGATCCGGGCAGGAGGCAGACTGCGTTAGATAATACAGAATGTTGGATGAGCAAAAGTCTACTGTACAAAGAAATAAATGGAAAAATGTCAAGCTTTTGTTAAAACAGGAATATTTGTGTCGTGTCTGGAAACTACTCTTGAATCTTTCCTGGCAGAACTGCTAGATGCCTTCAAGGAGTTTGACACTGACCAGGATGGCTACATCAGTTACAAGGACCTGGGAGAATGCATGCGAACCATGGGCTACATGCCCACTGAAATGGAGCTTATTGAGATCTCCCAACATATCAAAATGCGCAGTGAGTTGGGAGTTTATGTTCTTCTTTCCCATAACCACACCCAAAGTAGTAAGAAGAAGCACCAGCCGATCCCTTTCTCTTCCTCTTAGAACTGCATAAACCTCTGCATTATTGTCCCTAAATATCAAGGAAATCCCACTAACCGGAGTTCCAGAAATGTAACAAAAAAAGAGTTAGTGAGTAGGAGTTTCAAATCATATAAGCATGGAAATATTAAGCAAGAATAAGAATACCCAATGGGATGATGGAAAGGAAAGTCTAGCCTTGAATTGCAAGTCCTGGACATTCATCTTCATTTCTCCGAGCAAGAGGGAGGAATCTCAGGGAGAGAACACTGCTTTTAAAAGGTGTGCGTGTATAAATATATAAATATACCTAATTACTTAGACCTGATATTTTCATTTAAATAACATACTCAATGCAACTGGATCTGATGCTTAATGGCATCACCAGGACTTGCCCTTTACAACAGCATCTCGCAACATCACCTGGGCACAAGTATCAGATTTTGGCCCTAATATCTCAAGGCCTGGAATAATCTTGACCTGGTGACACTTATTCATATGTACATATGTGAAATTTCAGACAGTATGAAATTGGACTCCCTACTGTATGGTTCAGGAAGACAGAAAGCTGAAGTATATTTAATTAGAATGCTAACATAATTTTCTAACTCATTCAACAGTGTTCCTAAGTTTGACTACCTTCTTCTTACATTTCACCTCTCTTTCCTCACAGTGGGTGGGCGTGTGGACTTTGACGACTTTGTAGAAATGATGGGTCCAAAGCTGCGTGAGGAAACTGCTCATATGGTGGGCGTAAGGGAACTCAAAATCGCCTTCCGTGAGGTACGTTGGGGGAAAAAGAAGCGGAAGGGATTCAGCAATTTGCCAAATTCCTTGTGTTATGTGTTATGTAGTGTCCTGTTTAAACCTCCACATTATATTTTCATAATCCCTGCCACTAGACTGAATAGTAAAACATAGAGAAGAATAAAAACTTTGCAGTTAGGTGAAGCGCTAGAGCTCCCTGAGGCTGGATCTTCCTCTAAAGACATGCTGATGTCAAAAATCCTGAAAACCCAGGACAGCTCTCAGAAACTAACACAAAATGTTCTGGTTGGCATCCTGTTATAAAATTATGTCATTGTAAACCAACTTACAATTGTGTACGATATAATTGTGCCATTGTTCAATGTTCATATTCTCCAGAGAGGAGGCATCACTATGTTCTTAGGGCCATTGCACAACAGTCCAAATAGACAACATATCCCAATGTGCAATGTGACTTGTTATACAATAGGAGCCCCCAATATACAACAAAACATCTTGTGTGATACCATTGTGCATTGTCATAATTCACTATCATCAGTGCATGATGCATCAGCAACATGGTTCTGTTATTGTAAAGGTGCCCACTGTAATCTCTGGTGCAGGATCCCAACCCTTGTTTCTAAACTATGTGCTGGTTTGAGACTCTGGAAGTTTGGCTATTTAACATAACATTTTTTTAAAAAAATGCTAGATATTCTGAAGCAAACTTGGTCCTTGCATAAAGTACTATGTGTTGGTCAGATTCTGGTCTGAAAATACATTAGAGCAAGCCCTTGGTATGCACTGAGGTTTGTTTCCAGGAGTCCCCTATATACAAAAAATCATTAAGTCCCATTATTTACAATGACACAGTGAAATAATGTCTTTTCTACAAATGGCAGATCAAGGTTTGTTTTTTGGAATTGTTTTGTTTAGAATATTTCCATGCCATGGCTGGTTGAATCCATGGATATGGAGGGCTGATTGTAATCATAAATCTGGCCTTATTTTGGTTAGAGTCCTTGCAGTCCTACTGGTTCAGTAGAATTAGTAATTACAGCTTGAAAAATGACTATGATGGATCTCTTGCTAAGGTGAAATAATGAACTCATTTGAGGTATGAAAACACTGCCCTCTGGTTTTCATACATGGAAATGTCAATTCCTTTTGGCAGCGGGGATTATTAACTTTCAGGCTGTGTGGAGAACGGTGGGGGGATGTTCCCAGGTTTAGGCTCAGTAAAATGGCACAGAGACAGCTGGCATGTGTTCAGAAATGTGCTTTTTGTCCTTGTTCTGCATCTGTGATCTTATTTGTGCACCTGTGAGTCTCTAAATGTAAAGGTACCATCTTTAATTTTAATTTTACCGAAGAGGACCATTAGGTAAAAGGGAACTGTTAGCCTTCTTGTGGTATAATAAGGAGATCTGGTACACCTTGTGTCAAACACAAGGTCTGTGTGCGAATCCGGCCTGCCACATCATTTTGTGAGGTCCGCAAGGCTTTCAGTCTCAGGTCAACATAGTTAAATTTATACAGTTCTACAATTACAATTAGCCAACTTGTTGTTCAAGATTGGGAAAGGCATACGGCAAGGCTGCATACTCTCACCCAACCTTTTTAACTTGTATGCAGAACACATCATGCAATGTGCAGGGCTTGATGAATGCAAGGCTGGGGTGAAAATTGCTGGAAGAAACATTAACAACCTCAGATATGCAGATGACACCACTCTGATGGCCGAAAGCGAGGAGGAGCTGAGGAGCCTTCTAATCAAGGTGAAAGAAGAAAGCGCAAAAGCCGGGTTGCAGCTAAACGTCAAAAAAACCAAGATTATGGTAACAAGAATGATTGATAACTGGCAAATAGAGGGAGAAAATGTGGAGGCAGTGACAGACTTGGTATTTCTAGGTGTGAGGATTACTGCAGATGCACACTGCAGCCAGTAAATCAAAAGACGCTTACTTCTTGGGAGGAGAGCAATGTCCAGTCTCGATAAAATAGTAAAGAGTAGAGACATCAAACTGGCAACAAAGATCCGCCTAGTCAAAGCCATGGTATTCCCTGTAGTCACCTACGGATGTGAGAGCTGGACCTTAGGGAAGGCTGAGCGAAGGAAGATAGATGCTTTTGAACTGTGGTGTTGGAGGAAAGTGCTGAGAGTGCCTTGGACTGCGAGAAGAGCCAACCAGTCCATCCTCCAGGAAATAAAGCCCGACTGCTCATTGGAGGGAAGGATACTAGAGACAAAGTTGAAGTACTTTGGCCACATCATGAGGAGACAGCAAAGCCTAGAGAAGACAATTATGCTGGGGAAAGTGGAAGGCAAAAGGAAGAGGGGCCGACCAAGGGCAAGATGGATGGATGTCATCCTTGAAGTGACTGGACTGACCTTGAAGGAGCTGGGGGTGGTGACGGCCGACAGGGAGCTCTGGTGGGCTGGTCCATGAGGTCACGAAGAGTCGGAGACGACTGAACGAATGAACAAACAACAACAACAATTTAGCTGCTGTTATCAAATTTATTTGTTTAGTTGCTTCCAACTCATGGGCCAGCCCACGCCAGAGCTCCCTGTCGGCAGTCACCACCCCCAGCTCCTTTGGAGTCAAGCCAGTCACTTCAAGGATGCCATCCATCCATCTTGCTCTTGGTCGGCCCCTTTTTCCTTCCATTCTTCTCCAAGCTTTCCTGTCTTCTCATTATGTGGCCAAAGTACTTCATCTTTGCCTCTACTATCCTTCCCTCCAATGAGCAGTCAGGCTTTATTTCCTGAAGTATGGACTGGTTGGATCTTCTTGCGGTCCAAGGCACTCTCAGAACTTTCCTCCAGCACCACAGTTCAAAAGCATCTATCTTCCTTCGCTCAGCCTTCCCTATGGTCCAGCTCTCACATCCGTAGGTGACTACGGGGAATACCATTGTTTTAACTATGCGGATCTTGGTTGCCAGTGTGATGTCTCTACTCTTCACTATTTTATCAAGATTGGTCATTGCTCTCCTCCCAAGAAGTAAGCGTCTTCTGATTTCCTGCCTGCAGTCTGTGTCTGCACTAATCTTTGCACCTAGAAATACAAAGTCTGTCACTGCCTCCACATTTTCTCCCTCTATTTGCCAGTTATCAATCAGTTCGGTTGCCAAAATCCTGGTTTTTTATGTTTAACTGCAACCCAGCTTTTGCACTTTCTTCTTTCACCTTGGTTAAAAGGCTCCTCAGCTCCTTCTCGCTTTCGGCCTTCAAAGTGGTATCATCCGCATATCTAAGGTTGTTAATTTTTCTTCCAGTAATTTTAACCCCAGCCTTGCATTTGTTAAGCCCTTTTAAAATTCGTCAGCCATTTTAAGGAAACCATAAGGCTGATGTGGCCCTTGATGAAAATGAGTTTGACACTCCCGAAACACAGTCTGCCTTCACACCAGGGCCAGCCTCTCAAAAACTACAGGAGAAATTGCTACCACTTTTCTTGATAAGTGCCACTTGCGACATTGCCTCACTGCCTAAAGCTAGGACTAACCCAGCTTCACATCCATAAGTACTGCATTATGGGAGCTGCTTTCCCTTTGCTGGATGCCCATTATATGGAGGGAAAGGACAGAGAAACATTTTGAGTGACCCAATTATATGGGTCTCCCCTGCATGAGTCACACCTCACCAGGAGAGAAAATACTAGTGGAGCCGGAAAGTTGCACATGATTGATCCAGACCACACAGATGGTTCAATATATCACAGAGGAAAAGTTGACTTGTATTGTGCTGTGAGCACCCAAATACAACACCAAATGGCATGTCAGGATAGGGGAGAAAACTGTAGAGATGGGGACAGTTGAGCAAAGTAGGTTGATCTGAAAAGAAAAGGTAGAATAAGCTGGAAAACATAAAGAAAAATAAGGACTGGGGTTAGATATAAAGCCACCTAAACTGACCTTTCATGTTTCTTATTTTCTCAAGTTTGACACAGATGGAGATGGCTCCATCAGTGGGGCAGAGCTGCGCCAGGCTGTGACTGCCCTACTGGGAGAGCAACTCAATACCCAGGAGGTGGATGAGATGCTACATGATGTTGATCTCAATGGGGATGGAACTGTGGACTTTGATGGTGAGAGAATTGTGCCTTCCCTCCTTCCATAATCTCTGACCTTATTCCTGACTGCAATGTTCTGCCTCAGCAACACAGAGGTTAGGAACTGGCTCCTTATGCAGTGTGACTCCATGACCCAAAGAAGGTGGACACAGGAGTGTATGTCTGTCTTTCCACCACTTTCCACTACAGTCCATTGGCTCTGTTGGGTAAAGTCCATGTGTGGCCTGGGTCTTTCCTCTCCCAGCCATCCCCATCCGAAACCATGACTTGAGGCTTTTCTCTGCTATCCACATACTTTTCTACTTAAAGAAATGCACAAACCTCTCAGTTTTACTTTTTATAATGTTTATCTTTTTCAATCACGTATTCTTTCAATACTGTTTCTAGATCCATTCTTTTTTTTTTAATTAGCCATTAATATTATGTCATTAAAAGTATACATTAAAATGTTAATGCCCATTTCTGTGTGCTTTTCTACACACAACAATCACAATGCATTTTTATATATCGTTTCTCCAAACATGTGCAATTCTTAAGCAAGCAATCTTGCCAAAGGTGTGCATATTAGTATACTTGTTTTGACTGAGAAAAAGCTGTATTGCAAAATTAAGGAAGGATAATTGAATTATAGTGTACATTCGAATATGTTTCCTTCTAGTGTGGTGGAGTCTCCTTCTTTGGAAGTATGTAAACAGAGAGTGAATAGCTAACTGTCAGGAGTGCTTTGATTATGTATTCCTTGCATGGCAGGGAGCTGGGCCAGATGGCCCTTGTGGCCTCTTCCAATTCTTATGATTTTATGACATATTACTTTGACAGATGAAACTTAGGTCAATGTGTTGTCGAAGGCCTTCATGGCCAGAATCACTGGGTTGCTGTGAATTTATCGTCATTATCCAGAAGCATTCTCTCCTGACTTTTTGCCCACATCTATGGCAGGCATCCTCGGAGGCTGCGAGGTCTGTTGGAAACTATATGTATAAATCCCACTTGCCTAGTTTCCAACAGACCCCTCAACCTCTGAGGATGCCTGCCATAGATGTGGGCAAAATATCAGCAGAGAATGCTTCTGGAATGGCCATACAGCCTGGAAAACTCACAGCAACCCAATTTAGGTCAGTTTATAGGGAAAACAAACAAATGTCTCCTCCATGAATAGGTCCTGGGAAAGTGAAAAGGAGATCAACTGATTGATAACAATATTACTGTTTGAGATGCAAGGCCCCTGGTGGTACCTAAGCACCCTGTCAGTACATGAAAAAATGCTAGGGAGAATCTGGGTAAGACTGGGGACTGAATCACCTCTTCACATTTCTTTCAGAATTTGTAATGATGCTGTCAAGCAGGTAACCAGATCTGGAAAGAAAGGAGTTGTGCCATCATGTCCAGTACTACTAATCTTTCCAGGTGACCAGAAGAGAAATGGCTGCCCTTTGATGGCTCTTCATCTCCTGGGGACTGTGGAAGATCACCTCACAGAAGACTGAATTGTCTTCTCTGAAGCGTGGATCCTTCAAAGGCTTCCTTGGAAATAATGTAAAAAGCATATTTACAAGTGTAAGTCTACCTCCAAGAGGTACAAAGTATCTTACAAGTGGTGACCAAGAGAAACTGTCCTGCCTTGAAACAAATGGGCTAGGCCAGACCTTGGGAATTCTCCTAGGAGTCTCTTCACCCTTAAATTGAGGAGTATCCAACATCTTTATGGCTGGACCTGGGGGCATAATCACTCCATAATTCCAACCATAATCAAAGATAAACAACACTAGATCTTTTTTTTTTTGCATCCAGGTTTTTGTATGATTCGAGGCCTTCTTCGTGAGCTCAGAATTCTTCAAGGATACCACTAAAATAATTAGCATTCACTGCATCATTTCCAATATTCTCCTCAACTGTGTGGCAAAATCTGTCTCTCTCTGGGATAAAACTAATAAATGGTTGAAAGTCCTCTTTGTGGGGGCTTTAGGAAGGAAAGGAGCCCTTCTATTAATCCCATCCACAACTTATCATCATTGTGGACTGTAGGAATGCATGTACAATACCAGGTGAATCGAAGTCAAACTAACTTTTGCTGAACAGACAGAACAATCTCATGCCAGAGAGAAATTTCTGTGAGTAGCCCATTTGCTATGTATTCCCACTAAACAGAAATGGCTCCTCCAGGATCTCATTCCTGAAGCCCCAACTTCATAACTTATGTAAGTACTATTTAAATCCTGCTATCCCCAATGCCAATAGCTATCTGGGCTCTGTGCTGTAAAGCAGAAAGGGAGATGAACCACAGTCCATAGCAGCAGAGTGCATAGCCTTCACATAGATGTCCCCAGACCAAGTCATCAGCTTCTCCAAATCAGAAAGGTCCCAATTAGCAATAGGGACCGTGATACTTGGAGCATCACAAGCAGAGCAGTCAGCAATGGGCCTTGCTTAATTGGTCTGAGCATAGAATAATCTCATATGTAAGCTATTGGAGGAAGGATGAGGAACAACATAAGCTACTTATTTCCTCTTCTTTTCCTCCCTGGAGCAATATTAGGGGTGTGCTGTTTTCAGATTCACATGCAGAATCAGACTTCATCTAAACTCTTTCTGCCTCATAGGAAGGCAGAGGCAAACGTCCTTTGAACAAATGTTGCCAAAGACTGTGTTGTAGGGTCACCATAATTTGAAAATGACTTGAAAACACACAACAATGACAATTCTCGGTGTCCAAACCTGTTTCTTGAAGACAACTAATGCCACCGATTGTATTCAGACTCCATTCCATTTGTTATGAATGTAATATTTATCTCTTAGGATCTATTACTGTCATGTCCTTTCCTGTTTTGCCAGAAGGAACAATTCTCCAAAATATGTGGCATTCCGCAAACGTGTAACAGCTTTTGTTAGGAACAGAAGACGAAGCATATTATCAGAGAGTGGAATCCCATCCAAAAGCACTGAAATAATAAATGTCCAGTGCTGGAGGAAGATTTGTACTTCTGTTCTTGTTTGCTTTACAGCCAGACAGGAACAAAGTAAGAATAGCAAATACAGCTAGAAAGAGGCAAAGCCTCAAAATGTTTTTCCCTGCCCCCTGAAGCTTTGAAATGCTTGAGGGACTGTTTTGAGTCGCGTAGGTTCATTCCCAAATCTTGCCTGCAGGATCTGAAGGGAAAATTCCAGCTAACAATGAGTCAGCTAGAGTCTGACAGGATTAAAGTGCTGTTTGAGAGCTAAGAAAGAATCCGCCCAGCCCCCCCCCCCTCTCTCTCACACACACACCACAAAAGATTATAATCTTATCTTTCCCGATAGCCCTGGTAGGGAGCTATTTGGGGAGAGGCTGTACTAAAAACATGGTCAGATTGCAGAATGCAAATCTAGATCTGTGCAGTTTACCTTCACACTACTGGAATACCATCACTTTCTCAAAGGCACTCAACGGGCATCAAAAAGCAAACCTCAAAACTATCCTGCAGACCAGCCCAGTGCAAGTTCCTTGGCTGAAAGCTCTGAAAACTAATGCTGCTTACAAGAATTAAGGATCACATGGCATCAACATTAGATAAAAGCTACCTTCAGCAATAAACTGTGGGCTGATTAACTTGATTGAGTGACTGATCAAGTGATTGATCGCATAGGGATACTAAGTAGGTCATTCAACAGAAGCTTATGGATTTAAATTTGCTCTCTGTGATATTGTGGCTTATTCAAAACTTCTTCTGCAGTGCAGGTTGGGAAAATGTCTTTTTCTCTGTCTTGAAAAAAGCTGCTTTCTTCTCATAGTAGGCTGCCTCGTTGATGAAAGCTGGGTAGGTGGTGTTATCGCCCTCATATTGAATATCCTCCCCATCGAGAGTCTGGAAAATGGGGTGCCCAGGCTGCAGGGGCTGGAAATCTTTATCCTAAAATGAATGGTTTAGGTATCAGTAAAAAATAATATATTTTTTTAAAAACAGCCATAAGCCCCACCCACGGCAAGCACTTCAGTGTGTTCTCTGCAGCATCTTATGAAGAAGCAACAATGAGTGTCATTCTAATGAGGGTTCACCACTACCTCAAGGAATAGTATCAGAGTTACCATTGGTTCAGGTACTAGCAGCAAACTCGTGTTCAGCTTCAACCCAATGTTATTGAACTACGACTCTTATCATTCTCAGCCAGCATAGTAACTGGTTACTGCAGAGGATGATGGGAACCAGGCACAAAGTCATATAGATATCCAAAGTTGGGAAAGGCTGCACAAAGAGAACAGTTAATGGACGTTGGGCAATTGTTCGGAGTGCAATTTTGGCACAGTTTCTCTCTCTCAGTGTTATGCTACCTGATCTACCTTCCCAAACTTTCATTTTTGCCATGTTATAGAAGTCCTGATTCTTGTTAAAGTGCAGCAGCTACAAGAATGCATATCAAATTACCAGATTTTCCTCCTACACATATGCACACAGGTTTTTACCTCTTTTTTTCTTTCCTTCCTTGATACTTACCTGCAGTTTTGGGTGCACCACAGCAGAAATCTCACCAGTGGGATCACGAGGGAAGTCTACACGTCCAGTTACCTTGTATGCTTCACTTTCAAAGGAAGGGAACAAAGTACCTAACAAAAGGAGGTGGAAAGAGCTGGATTCCCTCTTGTGTCTCAGTCTTCACAGCAAGGAATACAGTAGGACAAGGGAATCCTTGCAGTTGGATTCTACTCGTCCCAGCATTCCTTGCTGTCATTGATGGAAGTTGTAGTCCAGCCACATCTAATGGGATATATGATTCCCACTCCTGCATTACCGCAAAAGTCAGCTTCTACCCTTTACTATTTACAGTCACTGCCTAAATACCCTAAAAGCACCAGATACCTTTTGATCTTGGAAGCTAAGCAGAATCAGTCCTGGTTCGTACTTGAATGGGAGACTACCAACGAATACCAGGTACTGTAGGCTGTATTTCAGAGGAAGTAACTGGCCTTCTGTAAGAAAAAACTATAAAATCCAGTGGTTTGCCATGCATTGACAAGAAATTTGCAGGCACATTATTGTAGGCACACACACACAGAATGTAATAGATTTTAAAATCATACTGGCTTCTTCATCAAGTTCATATAAAGGAATTACAGCGATAAAGCGTCACAGGTCTTGCTTTAGATATTTGCTTATTTGTTATGATGCTCTCAAGGTGCAGATGGAGGCCATTCCTTTTATTGGCCTTAAGGGGATTTGAAACAAAAGCAGTACAAGCAATGCAATAAAATGGCTTCTCCATTAGCAACAATAAAGTATGATATTATCAGGATATTTTGTTTTTCTGTTGTATTCAATGTATAGCCAACTTGACTACTTTTATAATTTTATGAAAATATATGTCAGTTATGCAGCTAAGTATTAATCAAGACTTAGGTAAAGGTTTTCCCCAGACATTAAGTCCAGTCGTGTCTGACTCTGGGGGTTGGTGCTCATCTCCATTTCTAAGCCAAAGAGCTGGCATTGTCCATAGACACCTCCAAGGTCATGTGGCCAGCATGACTGCATGGAGCGCCATTACCTTCCCACCAGAGCGGTACCTATTGATCTACTCACATTTGCAGGTTTTCAAATTGCTAAGTTGGCAGAATCTGGGGCTGACAGGGGGAGCTCACCTGCAACCTTTTGGTCAGCAAGTTCAGCAGCTCAGCACTTTAACCCACTGTGACACTGGGGGCTTAGTTTGATATTAAAGTTAATACCAACCTTTACACCTTCTGTAAAGAGCACTAGGAGGAATATTTGATGCAATAGGCTCATATCTTCCATTAATTATGGAGTGATATATGATGGCTGACTGATCAATCAATCTGCCTGGTTATTGGTATCTGTCTTTTACTCTACATGTTTAAAAAAACCCTGGGTTTTTAAGCATTCTCAAAGAAGCAGCAGAGGCAATATCGATCCTCTTCAGTATTTCAGTAGCCACCAATCTATCTCAAATTCATGCAGCCCAAAATCCTTTCACAAGAATCAATGAGACATAATGGGATAAATCACCTTTGTTAAACAGCTCTATGAAGTCCAGAGCATAGGCCACAGTGGATCTCATTTCAGCAAGTATCTCAGCTCGTGCCACTCCCTGGGGTTGTGGGCCCATTTCTATCCCTGTAAGGAATCACATAAATATTGTTATATTGACTGAAGCATCTGCAGAATGATCATGCAGGACCTCCTCCCTCCCTCTGCTCACACATATAGATATAATACATTAACAATGTACATTAACTTCTGGAGAGCTTCCACTCAAGCACATAAGCGTGAATATACTTGGGGAGACTTATGCCCCTATACATTAAGACAGAAGAGCCAACATGGTGAGTGTTGGGCTAAGTCTGGATTTACACAGCCAAATAATGTGATTTGAACAGCATTATATGGTCAGTGTAGACCCATACAATGTTGTTTGAACTGCATTGAACTGTATTATATCGGTCTACATTGTAAATCCAGGCCAAGACATTGGGAGACCAGAGTCCAAATCCCCTATTTAGCTGTGACTTTTCCCAGCCTCAGAGAAAAGCAATGGCAAACCTCTTCTGAATAAATCTTGCCAAGAAATGCAAGGATAGGCTTATCATAAGTCAGAATGAGTTTGAAAGAACAAAGCAAATAAGCCATGTTTCCAAGTTCTTGACCTCAAGTAGGAGAGATGTTTGAGAATCTAATGAAGGAGGCACATGTGTTACAGCTTTATTTATTATTATTTGCTGTATTTATATACCGCCTTTCTCACCCCAGGGGGACTCAAGGTGGTTTACAACATACTAATGGCAAAAAATCAATGCCAACATACAGTACAATACAGTACAGCTTTGGAACATTTTGCTATATAGCATGTTTTAAATTTGCTCCTTCTGAATTTAGACAAATTCTAATCTGTCTCTGTCCTTCACAACAAAATAGGGAACCACTGAAATACAGTATTCTAAAATCCAAATAAATATGGTAAAGTTGTAGTTACTTTGGATAAAAATATAAAGGTTAAACAGCATACATGGAACTGATAATAGTAGAAGGAAAAAGGGTGCATATAGGCAAAGCAAATCTGTCTCAAAATACGTACTGCCTTAAGAAACTGCACTATGCACATTCTGAACAGAGCAGCATATTTATTTAGGTTGTGTGCTTCATTTTGGGGATAATTTGCATGGTCTAAACTGAAGCTGGGCCCTGGCATCATTTGCAGTTTTACAAGGAATATTGCACTTCTTTCAAACAGATTGCTTATGTTTTCTTGGTATTCTGAGGGAAAAATCACAATTCACTTCAAATAACAGCTTGAATGCCTGGCTCAGTTGAGCTGATCAGCTTCCAAAAATGCTTGCAGAAGAACAGCCAGAATTTTCTGCTACCAAGAATGTCCACACCTTACCCAGCCCAGCTTTGGCCACAGAAGCAACGGTATTTATTTCCTGTCCTGGTTGCTGATGGAGCAAGATAGGGCAGTGGCTCCTTTTGGACTGCTTCTGTGGAGTCAAGAAGAAAGGAAATTACCTGGACAACCCCAGCCTGAGTCAGATGAAGATGTGAGCTGGAGCATGTTCTCACCTGAATGTAATTGCACATGTGCAGGGACAATAGGCTCTGCTCAGAAGGCAGTATGAGGCAGCAGCCCATGTTGGCAGTGGTGTTGTGTAGGTCGATCATGAAGTCATAGGCATCTAATGAACCCTTGGGTCCAAAGGCCTGGTTGACCTCCTGAGCACGCTGACATTCATAGGAGTCTGAGTCCTTAGAGCTGAGAGAGAGATATACTTAAAGCAAATGATCAAGATACAGCTGGCCTCCTTAGACAACATACATCTCCATCAGTGACAGAAGGGCTTTTTGTTGTCTCCAAATGTGCAAAGGTAGTCAGATGTCTTCTGGGCAAAACTCTATTGGCTGCAGTGAATTTGATCTCTGCCACCTCCATCATGGCCAAACATTAACAGTTGTACAGTGGCACAGAAAGAGCTCATTTATATATAATTGTTTTGTTAGCTACATTTTCCAAAAATGAAACAATATGAAGGCTAAAAGCAAAGTCAGGAGGTGAAGGTTCTGTTTCAACAACTTACTTGAACAGTCCTCATAGCTATGGGCAGGGGATATGGGTCATGCTCCTGTATTATATATAACCCTTGGGAACCCTTCTTCTGTCAGCCACGCTGGGAGTGGCAAACCCCAGTTTAGAGGCTCTGTTTAGCCGGCCACAGAGAGTTGGACTGACATTCATGTGATAGTATGAACTGAATTTAGGGTCTGAATTATCCATTTAGGGACCCAATTCTACAACTGACTGAGGGGGTGCTGGACCACATCAGCGAAAAGACTGAAAAATAGGAAGATACCCCCCTCCCTCCTGGTTATTCATGGACTCGATATCCATGGTTTCACTTATGCACACTTCAAGAAAACATTATTCCCTGGAAGTATTTATGGGCCTTTCTGGTTCCCCCAGTGTGATTCTATGGTATACTTCTGGTCCAAGTACAAAATATAGCGTTCATTCTTATCCACAGTTTCAGGTATCCATGGGGAGGCGGGGGGGGGGGGGGGGGGGGGGGGGGGGTGTCTTGGAACATATTTTCCTGCAAATACAGGTATTGGTCTGCATTTCTCTGCTGTGTCTTCTGCTGCAATGTTTAGTCCACAAATAAACTTATATTAGTGACATACACAGGTTTTTTTTAGAACCAAACAAAGTCTGAGGCAGATTAGAAACTATAACCAGTTTCAAAACAGAACACAGGCCATAAGAATGTAACTCAAGTGTTGTCTGGCTGCACTTGAACATGAGCAGCCAGACAATGAAACTAAAACATTCATACAAAATCCATTTCTTCTTGTCCAAGTGCATGAAGACAGACAGGAATCATTGAGATGCAGGACTTACTGCCCATGATGGTCCATCACAGTGACGGGGGATAGAACTAAACCAAGGTGCTATCTGGCCACTCTTTCATGCCCCACGGTAAAAGAAATGTGGAAGGAGACACTGGGGAACTCCTTTCTACAGTGCTCCAGAAAATTATATAAGCATAATTAATTTTGGGGCATTGCAAGTAGGAGTCATATTATATTAGGGTAGCCAGGGGTTAGGAGAGCCAGTATGGTATAGTGATGTGAGCATTGGACTACGATTCTGGAGACTAGGTTTGTTTCCCCACTCAGACATGGAAACCTGCCAGGTAACCTTGCACACACTCTCAGTCCTAGAGAACCCATAACACAATGTGACAAAATTAGAAAACAAAATATGTTCCTAGTTTGAAACTATTATTCCTCTTTATTTGTTCAGTATTTACTTTGAAAGTAGTTGTTACACTCCAGAAACTTTGGTTCTGTGGCCGCCACAAACTATGTTGAATTGGTTGAGACTCAATGAGCTATTCATTGAAATACTGTAGCAAAATGTACAGGAGGATATCCTGCAAAAACAAAGTTTTAGCAGGTTAATAACCTTTTCCCACGTCTTTATGTTAGAACCAATTAGGAAATGACATTTATAACCCAGGTACAAAAATAGTGTTACGTATTGTAACAGATTTGCCTTAGGATCATGGTATGTTGGAAACAACTTGAAGGCATACAACAATAACAACCAGAAGTTATGCTAGCATAAGCAAACATTGAATTCTGAACAATGTGAACAGATTTCCTATGCCTTCAAAAAGATTTGATTCACCATTGGAGCAACCATGAAGACAACTCAAAGGTGGCACATCTGGAGGCTTAGCATGAAGGTTAAAATAAGAACATCCTCTAATCTTGCTCCATCCCCTAATCTTGTGGAAGTTCTGCAAAGTGGTACAATACTGTGTGGTACTCACTTGAGCATATCAGCTGCGAATGCACGATTCAGGTCTGTTCCAATGTAGCGGACACACTGCTCAACCGCCTGTGGGTTGCCTAGGAAGGGGGTGGCACAGAAGGTTCCCCGCTGCAGCTCGGAGGGGTTGCGCAACCAGTGCTTGACCAGGTACACTCCAGACATCTCATTCCCATGTGTGCCCCCACATACCGCCACACGCTTCAGGGAGGGAAGGTGCTGCAGGGCTGTCATGTTTCTCTTGTGTTTAGACCCTGTTACAATAAAGAGGCCTAGGTGGGACTGTCACCTTTTTGGAAATGCTGGAAAGACAAATGCCCCCATCTGCAGTTCAACAAGTTCAACCAGCCAAACTGCCTTTCTCATTTTCAGATTACTACTGAGTATGAATTTTTGAAAAGAGGAAAAGACGATTTAGAGATAAAGGGTTGTCAAGAGTGAAAACTGGAGTCATTTTCTGTACCATTGACACAGCCTTGTGTAGAAGAGAATATTTGAACAGATTATAATAAGCAAAACCTTCTAAAATGACCTCTACTATATACTCATTAAAGGTACAGGAATCCTCTCAAGTTTTCACCTGGCAATCCTAGGTGATAATTACAGATATTCTTAGTCAATGTCATACTACACTGTTATAGAACTATTATACTTTAAATGTTATGGCTGCCTCCTGTGGAATTTTGGTATTTGTAGTTTAGTGAAGCTTAAGAGATTTCCACTTGAGCATTCTAAATGCCGATCCTAAACCGCAAATTCCATAGGAGGCAGCCATTACTCTCATTTCTACCAGCCACTGGTCTCCAACTAGCATAGGAGCAAAGATTATGGGATCGTTAATCCATCATCTATTCTACAGGCCTTTCAGTTACAGTACTAATTATCCATTTTAATTGCCATGACAACATCCTATGAATTTCCTGAGATTTGCCATTTATGGACAGGAAATTACACTACTCAGTGAGAGAGAACTACTGGTATCTCTGGGAACATTCACACTGCAAAATTATATCAGTTTGGTACCACATTGCCATGGCTCAAAGCTATGGAAATCTGGGGTGTGTAGCTTTGTAAGATATTTCCTCTTCTCTAACAGAGCACCCTGGTGCCATAACAAAATGGAAATCTCACGATTCCATCAGATGGAAATATAACTGTCAAACTCCTATAATTATGCAGTATGGGTGTTTTTAACCAATAATAATAATAATAATAATAATAATAATAATAATAATAATAATACTTCATTTATAACCTGCCCTATCTCCCCAAGGGAGATCTCTAAGATACCAGAGGAAGGAACCATGGCAGTGAAAGCAGAATCATAACTGTTTACAGTATCCATATCACTAAGCGTTGGGGCAGAAATAGTTTGGTATCATGTTTTGAAAAAGTTTTCCAGATTCAGTGAGAGAAGAGAGATAAAAAGTGAGGATTTTGTGTTGGCTGATATTAAGTACAGCTTGCAAATATTGAGGTTTACTTTGGGCATCAGAATCAGCAGATTTACTATCTGTTGACTAAATTGTCTCCAATGTTATTATCATAATGACGTTGGGGATAATTACCGTACACACTCCAGAAGACTTGGGCCAAGTTAAGATCTTTAGAGGACATAAAAGAACTTAGTGCTAATTCAAAATATAAACAATAAACCATAACATTTATTTTTCAAAATAAAACAAAATTAAGAGTAAGATGGAAAATAATTTTTTATACTTCCAGTTTATATAAATTTGAAAATTTTCCTACTTTTTTGCAATTTTTTAAATTGTTGGAGCCCCCTTTTGTGGAACTTGTTTCTGCTGCACCATTTGCAGTTTGGGTCTATGGTAAATCTAGCAATAGAACATTTCTGTGGTGCCTGCCTTCCCTTGATGCCCTAAGCATGTGCTTATTTTGCTTAAATCAGATTTGTTTGCAGTCTTTACTAATGCTTGGGATCTTTACTATACATACACTGAATTTTCAGCTACAGCCACCAAAACATCACTTGCTGTTTCTGTGGCTCAAGCAGATAGATACAAAAAGCACCACTGGATATTTTTGCAATATGTGTAGTTGCTGGTCTGTAATGGTATCCATGTGTGCATGCCCACCTGTTTCCAGTTGTGAGAATTTTATGAGAACCAAATTCTTCTTTGCCTCTTGAAACAAATTAAAGGTAAGACTGTGAACCTTCTCAGTGAATTTTTCACAGAAGTAGAGTTTTAATGCTAATGTCTAGGACTCTGTACAAGACCTCTTGCACCTACCAAGTTAAACTGTTAAAAAATAGACAAAAGCATTGCTAAGAACTTTAAAATGCCTGATCTTTTAAAAGCAAAGCAACAGGACCTGACTTCTAGGGTCCCATGCCTCCTTTGATTCTGGTCTATGAATTATTTGCTTTCTCATTTCCTCTATAATAATAAAGACCACTCCTATCAGGCCCGTAGCCAGGATTTTGATTGGGGGGGGGGGAGTTAGGTTTGGGGGGGCTGAGTCTGAGAGAAAGAGGGTCTACCCTAACAAACATTTTGTATTGTTATCCCAATACCCCCATGCCAGGCCCGTAGCCAGGATTTTGATTCGGGGGGGGGGGCTGAGTTTGGTTTGGGGGGGCTGAGTCTGAGTGAAAGAGGGTCTACCCTAGCAAACCTTTTGTATTGTTACCCCAATACCTCCATGCATATGGGATATATTGAGCATGGTGATCAGATCATGATATGAATAAACATAACAGTTTAAATAATGTACCAGTAAGGCCTTTTCGCGAACCACCATGAGAATTTCGGGGGGGGGGGCTGAAGCCCCCCAAGCCCCCCCCCCCCCCGTTACCCCAATACCCCCATGCATATGGGATATATTGAGCATGGTGATCATGATATGAATAAACATAACAGTTTAAATAAGGTACCAGTAAGGCCTTCTCACAGACCACCATGAGAATTTCGGGGGGGGGGGTGAAGCCCCTCAAGCCCCCCCCCCCCCCCCGGCTACATGCCTCATTCCTATGAATACTATGTACAGCTTTCCCTCAGTCTTGCTGTTTGGCTCCCATTTTACAATGTCTGAGTTAATCAATTATTTGGTGGTTCTCTGTTCAAATCTCACACAATCAGAGATACACATATGTTGTGGAGCTTGCGTACATCTGCAGAAGATTCTTGCTGCCAGAGAACAGTGTATAAGACAGAAATGGCCAATATTCACGCCTCCAAATAGATGACCAAAATGTAAGACAAAGGAAAACAACATTTTTTAAAAAAAGCTCTCCTGAATAAGCACTCGGGCTCTATGGTAAATAGTGACAATGAACAGAAACAGGGAAAACTTACCACGTAGAACCTCCAGTAGCCTTTCAAGGGGCCCACAGCGTTCTTAGATCAGGAAGTATCTGCTAGTTTACCACATTACAGACCGACACCTACAGAGTTAGGAATGTGAACGCTTGATCTTAACCTCTTGCTTTCTGTGGTTTGGTGAATGATTTTCTTGTTGTAATTCTGGAGTGACCTATGGACCACGCTGCACCAAACTGTTGTCACGTCTCCTTGGGTAGGATCACCAGAGCTGACAATGAGTACAATTAAAGAGAGGCTGTGGACAACACTATCCTGCTTTCTTTTGGAAAAGAAGATAGTGCCAAAGTTTAGAAACAACATTACTGTACTTTTTGCAGTACATTCTATATTGTTTTTGTATTGTGAGCCACCCCGAGTCCCTTTGGGGAGAGGGGGCGGGAGATAAATAAAGCTTATTAGTTTATTATTATTATTTGTGACTGTGTAGAAGAGTGAATTTCAGCAGATGTTGCTCATCACGCAACCAGGTAACCAGCACCAACTTCTGCAATTCTCTCTTCTACACAACCATTAAGGCGCAGAAGCCTCTGATGGCCCTAGTCCAGTGTTTCCCAACCTGTAGGCCGGGACCCCGAAGGGGGGGGGGGGGTCACAAGGGGATGTCAGAGTGGTCACCAAAGACCATCAGAAAACACAGTCTTTTCTGTTGGTCATGGGGATTCTGTATGGGAAGTTTGGCCAAATTCTATCAGTGTGGTTCAGAATGTTCTTTGACTGTAGGTGAACTATAAATCCCAGCAACTACAGCTCCCAAATATCAAGGTCTATTTCCCTCACATATAACCAGTGTACAAATTATTTGGACATATTGAGTATTTCTGCCAAGTTTGGTCCATATCTATCATTGTTTGAGTCTACAGTGCTCTCTGGATGTAGATGAACTACAACTCCAAAACTCAAGGTCAGTGCCCACAAAACCCTTCCAATATTCCCCCTAGGGGTGAGAAAAGCAGTATATAAATACTGTAAATAAATAAATAAATAAATAAATTTTCTGCTGTTCATGGGAGTTCTGGGTGTCAAATTTGGTTCAATTCCATCATTGGAATTCAGAATGCTCTTTGATTGTAGGTTAACTATAGATCCCAGCAACTACAACTCCCAAATGACAAAATCAAACTACGCAAGTGGAGTTTATATATCTGTGGAATGTCCAGGGTGGGAGAAAGAACTTTTTTCTGTGTTAGAGAAAACTACCCTGAAATATACAGCAGAGCATCCAAAAACATGGGGAAAGGGAAATACTCAGACCATACTAAGCTAACTAAACTGTTCCTATTCGAGGACTTTAGACTTGGGCCGTGTGGACATTACACAGATATATAAACCTCACTTGCCTTGTAAATAAATAAAATAAAATAAAATAAATAGTTTCCAACAGACCTCACAACCTCTGAGGATGCCTGCCATAGATGTGAGTAAAACGTTAGGAGAGAATGCTTATGGAACATGGCCATACAGCCCAGAAAACTCACAGCAACCCTGTGATTCCAGCCACAAAACCCTTCAACAACAAAATAATCTCATTTCTGCCTTTGAGGTATAGAAGGGAATGCATCGAAGGACTGCATGCATAAGGATGTGTTTTTGCCATTTTATTTTGTATATATTTCTCAGCACAAGATTCTTTTGACAATAGCACTTTTCTGGTATATCTTGCCTGCTGGTCTCCTGCTCCCACTGCTCAGGCTTCTCTCCCTGCTGGTGACAGAAACAGCTCCCAACCCCAGATCTGGCTTCCCCCAGTCTTACTACCATGGGGGTATCTTTCTCGGTGGCCCATTTATCTCCCTCTGTCACCATCAGTGGCAGCTCTAATAACTCCTAGGCAGGTATTGAGTGGCAAGATGAGGAGGTGTGAGAAAGCACAAGGCGCAACTGTCAGTGGCTTGGCAGGAGGAAGAAGATGGATGGGAGTGAGAAAGAAAAGGCCATATCGCAGTGCCTGAGGGCTGAACACGGAAAAGAAAGTTGACATCCCTACACACAGATCTCTTCAACTTAAAGTTACTTAATAAAATCTCCTGGAACACAAACTTTCAGGAGACACAACCAATTAAGTAAAATAGAGATAGGATTGGCTCCCATTGTCTCTTCCATTTTGGATAATACCTTAGGTAACTAGCAATAAGGCATCTTAATTGGTCTTCTTCATTTAGTCTTTGTGAGATCTGTCATCTGAATTGGGTTGCCAGAATGAACACTGGAGAGTTCCTGTATACCTGTAATGGTTGCATAGAAGAGAAAAATCCAGGTGTCTACCACACCTAGTTAAGGCATGTAAAAAATCAGTTGGTGAGTGTATTAACATTTGTATGCCGCCCTTCTCACCCCGAAGGGGACTCAGAGCGGCTTACAAGATATATATACATACAATATAAAAATACATACAACGTCTTCCACATGAGCACCTAAAGACCATTTGAATCTCTCTCAAAGTACATTGTGTGATTCAATGCAACTGTTCACATGATTGTATATATGTTGGTCTGCATTACAGAGAGTAAACTCCTTGTCCTTTATTGATCATCTGTGTGGCATTTTTTTTCTTTCTCTGGAAAGACAGTCACACACTCTCAGGCAGCCCCATCTACATTGCCATATAATGCAGTTTCATAATGCAGTTATGGTAGTGTAGACTCATATAATATAGTTCAGTGCAGTCAATCTGCATTCTGAAACTGCATTATATAGCAGTGTAGATGGGACCTTAGGCAAAGGCAAAACAACAACAACTTTGAACAAACCTTGCCAAGAAAACTACCATGATATGTTACCCCTTAGTGTCACCATAGATCAAAAAGCATATAGCAGCAGGAGCAATGGTGTCACCACAATCTTCAGTAAACCCACAGAGATCTTCATTACCATAAGGAACAAAAATCAACATTTTGCCAACTTTGTTGTTACTTGTTACAATGTTTACAGAGTGATTAAATAGCTACTTGATGTTTTTCATTACTTTTCTGTACTTAATAACTTTAATGTTGGTAACACATGAATATATATATATATATATAGATACAAAACTTGACTAATTTTATTCAAAATACCTTAAAATGTGCTTCAGTAGTAAAAGGGGAAAAGCACAGAAAATGTTGCTGCTCACCCTTAATAGCATCGTCTCTACTTGCTGTTTTGTTTGAATATGCCTTTCTTATAACCTCAAGAAAAGGGCAATTGGTTGTATATCATTATATCAGCCCCGCCACATGCACATCCAATGGAGGATCTCCTTGCAGCAACACCAGAGGCACTACAAGTGGCCAGCTACTGGTTAAAGGATATTTAATCAACTACCAAGCTTGCAAACTCTGTTTTGTCTGTTTGTTAAAAATTTGTTAAAAATGTAATACAATTGTCTGGTTGATACTGACACGATAAATAAATAACCTATGGATGTGAGATCTGGACCATAAGGAAGGCTGAGTGAAGGAAGATAGATGCTTTTGAACCGTGGTGCTGGAGGAAAGTTCTGAGAGTGCCTTGGACCGCGATAAGATCCAACCAGTCCATAGTCCAGGAAATAAAGCTTGACTGCTCACTGGAGGGAAGGATATTAGTGGCAAAGATGAAGTACTTTGGCCACATAATGAGAAGATAGAAAAGCTTGGAAAAGAGAATGATGCTGGGGGAAATTGAAGGAAGAAGGAAGAGGGGCCGACCAAGGACAAGATGGATGGATGGTATCCTTGAATTAACTAGCTTGACTTTGAAGGAGCTGAGGGTGGTCACAACTGACAGGGAGCTCTGGCATGGGCTGGTCCATGAGGTCACAAAAGGTTGGAAGTGATTGAATGAGTAAACAACAACACTAAGGATGCATCTACATTGTAGAAATAATGCAGTTTGACACCACTTTAATTGCCATGGCTCAATACTATGGAATAATGGGAGTTGCCGTTTGGTGAGGCACCAGTGTTATTTGGTAAGAAAAGCTAAAAATCTTGCAAAACTATTAATTCCAGGATTTCATAGCACTGAGCCATGACAGTTAAAGTTGTGTCAAATGCTATTATTTCCACAGTGTAGATATATCCTACATTGTTAAAACTACCATGTCTAAGAAAAATGACACCTATCAAAATCCCATCTTCTGTAACACATATTATGTCTTCAGAAATTCTGTGTTGACATCTGTTATTCCTATTCCAGATTTGACCTCTTCCATCAAAGCCTCCATCACTGACCTTTGGGGGGAATTACTTCGAAATACTAACTGCAAATTAAAGCTGTTGCATCCAGTGTCCCTTTTAGCCCTCTGGCTTTGGCAATATTGTCTCATCCCGGGATGCAGTCCCAGGGCTGCTGCCCCCGGTCACCTGCTCACCCTGGATTTATAGCATGGATGTGAATATACCCAACTGCCTCCAGCAAGCACTGATGATATTGCTGTATCACCCAAGCAAGCTTCCTCCTGATTTACCCAATCCTTTGCTTTGTTTCTCATTGGAGGGAAGAGACGCCTCTCTTTCCACGTATCCTCCTTTGCCCCTCAGCCCTGCCATGAAGGAAGATAAAATTGCTTGCACCATCCCAGAGATCCAGTTCCAAACATTACAGAGAGGGGCAAAGGAAGACTTGAGAGGGGTGAAACTAAACAACCCAGAACCTGCCAACCATACAGCTCTCCACAATGTCAGGTAAAGTCTACTGGGAATGGCTTGGGGCAGGTACGCTCTGGACCTGGGCAATTTGGTCTTCAGGCATTTTATTTCTTCAGTGTAGGTAATTCCATGTCTTGGTGAGGGGCAGAAGCAGAACTCAGAAACATTACTTTTATTGTACTACAATATACAAAATCTCCAAGCTTCATGACTGGGCACTCTGGGAACTGTAATTCATATCAGTAACATTTCCCCATCTCTGGCTAAGACATATTCTACTCAAGGCTACATGTTGTCATTGCATTACCATTCAGTGTGATTGTGTAGTTGGTTGTATGGTGAGCTAAACCCTTTGTGGGTTAATATTCTGTCTCCTGTAGAGCACTTCAATCCTAAAGATGTTGGTTCTTGGGTGACCAGTATGGAAAGACGGAGAACTGCAGAGGCTAGAATGCATGTCTGATTTGTATAATACCTAAACACTTATGTACCTAAACCCTTACGTAGCTTCCATAAAGGTTTATATTACAGTTGTCTAGGGTTCCCTCACTCCAACATTTCAGGGTGAGTTCTTCTCAGCGAAGTCCAAGAGTTACTCCTGCTATTTGGACTGCTCCTGGTAAGCTGCTCCCAAGTCATCATTCAGAGATCTTTCAGCAGATCCAAAGGTACCTTTTGCTCAATCCTGATTCACAGCTAGAAAAGTGTTATCATACTGGTGTTGGGGAGAATGGATTGAAATGGTTAGGAGTTTTGAAGAAATTTTCAGAAGCTTCTTTAAAGTGCTACTTACAATTAATTTGTAAAGTACTAGAGTTTTGCCTTTGGCTTTTACAAATTCTGGTGGGGCTGCTTCCGCCATGTAAAGTGAGGCACTCAGCTACATACATTACTTTAGGAGTGGGAGGAATCTTAGAGCCTATTCACACACAGGGATAAAAAATCAGGGGCAACACTCAAACATCAGTAGTAACTAATGAGTATTTATTGCTAATTATTATTTATTAATAACTAAGACATTTGATTGATTGTTGTTGTTGTGTGCCTTCAAGATGTTTTTGACTTCTGGCAGACACTAAGGCAACCCTATTATGGGGTTTTCTGAGACTGGGACTGTGTGACTTGCCCAAGGTCACCCAGTGGGTTTCTATGGCTATGTGGGGCTTCAAACTCAAAAACTTCAAATAATATTATCCAGAAGATTTTGAAAATGAATTTGCAGTTAAAACTAGAATTGTCTCTATTAGGATAATTGGATCGTCAACTGGAAAAGAACATGGGGAAATATATGATTACGGTTGTGAGACTGTTGCATGCTCAGAAATTGGAAAATAGACACCAACACAAGATGATTGGTTAATGAAATGATGAACAGCAGAAATAGATAAATTACACTATGTAACAAAATTTGAAAAATCTTCTGTTCTTAGTTTGAAAGTATTATTTCCTGTTTAACTGTGTGTTACTTACTTTGAAAGTAGTTGTTATACTCCAGAAACTTTATTTTTGTGGCTGCCACAAAATATATTGAATTGGTTGAGACTCTATGAAATATTCATTAAAAAACCTTCACAAAATGTGCTGTAGGATGTGCTGCAAAAACGAAGTTTTTGCAGTTTAATAAACTTTTTCCGTTATAGAACCAATTAGGAGATGTCATAAATAACCCAGGAACAAAAATAGTTTTACATGGCGTTATCTATTTTGTTAAGGGAAAAGTCTTTGGGAACTGTTAATTCCCACCCCCCAGAAGATAAGATTATAAATATTGTGGTTGACCGGTTTATGTTAATTGCTGTGCTGTAATTGTTCTTTGTCGGCATCTAATGATTGCCAATTATAAGCAGCCCTGAGTCCCTCTTTGGGGGTTGAGAAGGATGGGATAGAAATGTTTTAAATAAATAAATAAATACATACATACATACATACATACATACATACATACATAGTACCTGTTAATAATAATAATAATAATTAGGGTAATAATTAGTGTTCTTAAAGTGTAGAAGAAATATTGACAGGTAAGGAAATTAATGCTATATATTTCATTGGTTGGAAAGGTGAAAGTGAATGCTTTTTTCTTTTTGTATTTGTTATTATATAATAGCTTCTAATTTATTTTTGTTTTGTTCATATATTCTGTTCTTTTAAACTTTTTAAAAAAATTAAAAATGTGACGAGGATGTGCACTGCAGGAAGGTTGCTTGAAGCAACAACCAAATTGTCTTCCCCATACATTCATTTCTCATCAGTGTCCCTATTTGTCCTGTGACAGAAGCACATAGTCTTTGTAATATTTTTGACACTTCTTAATCTGTTGTCCCTCAAACTGAGGCCGTAGTTAAGTCATGTTTCTTTTCCTTTACAATACTGGCAACATCAGATCTTTTCCTTTGGCTCCCTCAGTTGAAGCTTAGTTCATGCTTTAGTTATTTCCTGCCTTGATTACTATAATCTTCTTTTGACTGGTCTTCTGTTATCTCAGTCTTAGCTCATTGGTTCCATTCAATTTTTTTTTTCAATATTTTTTTTTAATTGGCATTTTTGTCTTTTGGCATCATGCCATTGATTGCCTATTTCTTTCAGAATTCAGTAAAAGTTTCTTCTTTTGATTTTAAAATCTCTAAATGACCTAGAATTTCCCTAACCTTTATCTCTTGTTTCTTTTGGGATCTATGTTCTAGGAACTCTAGCTTCTTATTCAACCAAGGGTTTCTTCTTCATTGGTTCAGCTTCATCCGTTCTCACTCTATATTCCTGCTCTATACTTTTTGAATTTTTTGTGCAGGCAGGAAACAACACTGGTATATTAATAAAATATTTATTTTTGTAACATTTTTAAGATAACTTAGGATGCTTTTTTCCTCCCTCATTAAGCCTTCAATAATTAACAAAGGGTCCACGCTCCAAAGTTGCTTTTTTATCATGTCAGAAGCAACTTGAGAACACATTGCAAGTTGCTTCTGGTATGAGAGGGTGTCTACAGAGACGTTGCCCAGGGGACGCTCAGATGTGTTACCATCCTGCTGGGAGGCTTCTCTTATGTCCCCACAAGCTCGAGTTGACAGACAGGAGCTCACTCTGTCTCGTAGATTTGGACTGGCAACCCTCAGGTCAGCAACCCAACATTCAAGTCAGCAGTCCAGCTGGCACATGGGTTTAACCCATTGTGCCACCACAGCTCTATACACGCCAAAGTGAAGACATGTGGGGGCTTGAGTCTTGTCTGTGTCAAACAAAATGATAAGAGGGATAGTTCTAAGGTTGGGACTTCTTCACCACGTTTTCACAATAACAATGGGGGCATTTATCAAATAGGGGACATATGAGGTAGTTCATTCCTAAAGTATGATTACATTATTGTTTAAAGCAGTGATTCTCAACCTTCCTAATGCTGCAACCCTTTAATACATTTAATACAATTTCTCATGTTGTGGTGACCTCCCCAATCATAAAATTATTTTCATTGCTACTTCATAACTGTAATTTTGCTACTGTTATGAATAGCAATGTAAATATCTGATATGCCGAATGGATTTTTATTCATTGGACCAAATTTGGCACAAATACGCAATACGCCCAAATTTGAATATGGTGGGGTTGGGAGGGGGGTTGATTTCATCATTTGGGAGTTGCAGTTACTGGGATTTATAGTTCATCTACAATCAAAGAGCATTCTGAACTCCACCACTGATGGAATTGAACCGATCTTGGTACACAGAACTCCCATGACCAAAGAAAATACTGGAAGGGTTTGGTGAGCATTGACCTTGAGTTTGGGAGTTGTAGTTCACCAACATCCAGAGAGAACTGTGGATTCAAACAACGATGGCTCTGGACCAAACTTGGCACCAATCCTCAATATGCCCAAATGTGAACACTGGTGGAGTTTGGGGAAAACAGACTTTAACATTTGGGAGTTGTAATTGCTGGGGTTTATAGTTCACCTACAATTAAAGAGAATTCTGAATTCCACCAGCGATAGAATTGGGCCAAACTTCCCACACAGATCCCTCATGACCAATGGAAAATACTGTGTTTTCTGATGGTCTTCGTCGACCCCTATCATACCCCTTTGCAATTCCCCCAGGGGTCCCGTCCCTCAGGTTGAGAAATGCTGGTTTAAAGGGAATCAATAAGAGATTGGGAAGCCTGTGGAAACCATGAGCGACTGGGAAGTTTGTAGGGCTTCTTCGTATTTCTTTAGTTGTTGTAGATAATGTGTAGTTTATAGTTTTGGAAGTTTTACATATCTAAAATGCTTGTCTGTGTGATTTATTTAGTCTCTTTTTGAATAGAAAATATTTTAAAATATGATTTTGGGGTAGCAATAAAGGCATCTATGCTTTCAGGTACTGTGCTGCCCCTGGATTTCTGGTCCTTGGGATATTGTGCCAGTTGTCTTTCTTTCCTTTCTTAGCCTTTATTGCGGCCAGCCTCAGTGTCTTGACATCTGACGGCTGCCCCTTTTCATCCAACCCCATGAGGGCACCGTGTCTCTTGGGGACAACACCGGAGTTTGAACAGTATGAAGCTGAGGGAGCAACAAAGCAAGGAGGCGGCACTTTTTCGGCTAGAAAAAACCAGTGCGTGTCTGGTGTCACTGTTCAGTTGGAGATGAGGAGCCTTTGGGAGGAATTCAACAGCCTTGGCACTGAAATGATTGTCACCAAGGCAGGGCGGTAAGTATGATATCCCAAGATCCAGAGGGGCTGAGTTAAAAGCCACAAAGACTGGGAAAATGTAGCTTTGATTTCAAAAGTGTCAAAAATGTCAAAATAGGAACTACAGGTGTCCTTAGCTCTTTTCAATCTAACAATCCACTGTGAAGATTCAGGGATTACAGTGGCATCACTAAAAAAGTGCAGGTGAGAATAATAATAATAATAATAATAATAATAATAATAATAATACTTTATTTATATCCTGCTCCATCTCCCACAAGGGGACTCGGTGCGGCTTACATGAGGCTACGTCCATCAGTACAATACACAACAATATAACACAAAACATAATAAAACCAAAAAATAAAATACAATGAAATGCAGGGCCAAATTCAGGATAAAATTTTAAAACACTGGGAGATAGGACAATGTCATACGTCTGGAGGAGGATCCGGGATGAGGAGGGATTTAATTGCACGAACCATAAAATAAAGTGCTATTGAGGTCATTTTGAGGAAAAAAAATAGTCAGGGAGTATCTTACGTTCAGTCAATAAAGGCACATTGGAATAATCAGGTTTTCAGATTCCTCCTGAAGATTGCCAGCATAGGGGCTTGCCTAATATCTCTGGGGAGTGAGTTCCAGAACCAAGGGGCCACCACAGAGAAGGCCCTCTCTCTCATCCCCACAAGTTGCACTTGTGATGTGGATGAGAGCGAGAGAAGAGCCTCTCCGGAAAATCGAAGAGATTGTGTGGGATCGTAAATGGAAATGCGGTCGCGAAGGTAGGCGGGTCCCAAACCGTTTAGGGCTTTGTAGGTCAAAACCTGTACCTTGAATTGGATAAACAGCTATGGGTGAAGCCATCATAAGAGGTGACCAAAATTATTGTCTATAAAAAAATTGTGAATGTCTCAGCAAAAACATTCAGCCCCTGGTGGCGCAATGGGTTAAACTCTTGTGCCGGCAGAATTGAAGACCAACAGGTTGGAGGTTTAAATCCGGGGAGAGCGTGGATGAGCTCCCTCTGTCAGCTCCAGCTCTCCACGAGGGACAAGAGAGAAGCCTCCCACAAGGATGGTAAAATATCAAAAACATCTGGGTGTTCCCGAGCAACACCCTTGCAGATGACCAATTCTCTCACACCAAAAGTGACTTGCAGTTTCTCAAGTCGTTCCTGACACGAAAAAAAAGCAAAAATGGATTGCTTTTATAAAAATGTCCCTGTGGTCAGATACAACCACAAAAATGTTTTTGTGAATCCAGTTTACATTTATTGTATCCATCAGCCTATGCTGATTTACTTTTTGAACTTTTTAATATGCATGTACTCCAGTCAGAGTGGATGTTATTAACCAGTTACTATGATGTTTCAAATCACATGGCTTCATATGCCCACACTACAAATATGCACTGTTGTTTTAGAAGCTGCTGGTTTTTATAGTCACTGATTTTGTCAAAACTTTTGGTATTTTGGCAACAATATTGTGGTATGCTCTGGTACGGGAAGAGGCCCAGATGGGTGACATCATTAGTTGCTACACTGGAGATTAACACTACTTTTGTCCTTACAACCCTCAGGTCAACCACATGATCCCTTGAACACCACTTTACAATGTTGTTAATGCTGATGATAGCCTTTCCATAGAAAGGCTTTAGCTTAATATATAAGCAACTAATCTCAGGGGACACCTCAGCTTGACACAACACCTGCTGCTAACTTTGACTAAACATTTGTGCTGATCTGGGGAAACTTTTCCTTTGATCATCAAAAAGGAACCCTACAGATGTCGGATTGCAAATTCCATCAAGCCTCACATTTGGTCCTACTGGCTAGGGCTGAGTTTACAGATTTCCTTTCTCCTTGTTCCAGGAGGATGTTCCCTACTTTCCAGGTCAAGATATCCGGCATGGACCCCTTGGCTGACTATGTGCTGCTCATGGACTTCGTGCCTTTGGATGACAAAAGATACCGGTATGTGCCCAGTTCTGGAATAGTGAACTTGAAACTCTTTCTAATGTCTTCGGTTTACCAAACATGTAATAAGCCCCAGAAAGATTCAGAAGACAAAAACCACATGCAGACCCTCGCAACAAAAAAGTTACACACCATAAGTAACTTTTAGTAATTAATTCCCTAGAAACAGGCATATTAATTTGTAATCATAAGGTTATTTACTGATATAACAAAATAAACTTAGGATTGCATCTTAATGAAAATATATCTTAATTATAATATATCTTTTGTGGTATAACTGTAATTTTCCAGTTACCATTTTAGTTCTATAAAGAGTGACTTCACTGAATGGTAGTGAGAGAATATCACAAGGCTCAAGTGTTGACTTGTCTTCTGGTGTCAGGATTGAGAAGGCCAAAGGGCAAAGAGTATATAAACCTCACTTGCCTAGTTTCCAACAGACCTCGCAACCTCTGAGGAGGCCTGCCATATATGTGGGTGAAACGTCAGGAGAGAACGCTTCTGGAACATGGCCATACAGCCTGGAAAACTCACAGCAACCCAGTGATTCTGACCCTGAAAGCCTTCGACACCACATCAGTCTGAATATAAATTAATTAGTGGTCACCAAGCTGATCTTTAGATTTGATGAACAGGCAAATTTTAATATAGTGCATTACATAGAGCAGTTCAGTGTACTCCTCTTCTTTTACCTTCTGACCTTTTGCTTTCCTAGAAATTAGGCCTTGTAGCTCCCTGTAGAGAAACTTAAGTGTGGGTGTAATCTCACAACACAGTTATACTACTTTGATATTACTTTAACATTCCATGTCTTCATTGTGTACAATCCTGAGATCTGTAATTTGGTAAGAGATATTTAGAATTTTCACCCAGAAAGCTTCAGAATTGTAGTTCGGCAGAAGCTATAGAAACAAAACTTCAAATTCCATGATTCAACAGATCAGAGTCTGGCCGTTAATGTGGTGTCACTCTCAAGCATTCTGTCAATAAAGATGGGAAAGGGACAGGCTCAAGAAAGAACCTCTCTGCCCTACAGGTACGCATTTCACAACTCTGCTTGGTTGGTAGCTGGCAAGGCAGATCCTGCTACACCTGGCCGGGTTCATTTCCACCCTGACTCTCCAGCCAAGGGAGGCCAGTGGATGAGGCAAATCGTCTCCTTTGACAAGCTCAAACTCACCAACAACTTGATGGATGACAACGGCCATGTAAGTTACTGTGGGATTGGCTTGTGAATAATGTCATTTTAGAGCAATGGTTCTTAATCTGTGGGTCCCAAGGTGTTTTGGCCTACAACTTCCAGAAATCCCAGCCAGTTTACCAGCTGTTAGAATTCCTGGGATTTGAAGGCCAAAACATCTGGGGACCCAAAGGTTGAGAACCACAGAGCATTAGGGGACACTAGATCTAGTTCTGTTGGGTGGAAGTCTTGACTGACATGTTCTTGTCTACTGGAGTGATACCTCCTTTAAGCATCACAATACAACATTCAGAAAGCTTAAATTATAAAATGCAGTAATTGAAAGATGACTAAAATCCAAGCCAGGCTATCTTTAACCCATTTAATTTAATCGCAAATTCTCTCACACAAACTTTTACTGTCAGAGTCTGAGGAAGCGAGAGGTTTTCGCTCTGGAATGCATCATCCATTAACAACCCATGATTTGTCATGTTCTAGAAGGATTCTCTCCTGACATTTCACCTGTATCTATGGCAGGCATTCTCAGAGCAACCTCTGAGGATGCCTGCCATAGATGCAGGCGAAATGTCAGGAGAGAATCCTTCTAGAACATGACCATATAGCCCGAAAAACCTACAACAACCCAGAGTAAATGTACATGGTTAAGCAGACACTAATATTCCTAGGCCTCTGTGAATAGGTCTTTCTTCTTGATCAAACAGATCATCCTGAATTCCATGCACAGATACCAGCCCCGATTCCACGTGGTGGTGGTAGATCCACGCCCAGACTGTGAGCGTTATGCCCAGGAGAATTTCAAATCCTTCATTTTCACTGAAACTCAGTTCATGGCAGTGACAGCTTATCAGAACCACCGGGTAAGAGAACAGTATTACTGTAACAATGGTAGTCAAGATAATACATAGGGGTGACCCATAGAAGAGCAGACAGGGTTGCTGCAATACAGTATCTCACTAGATTAAAAAGGTAAAGGTTTCTCCTGACATTAAGTCTAGGTGCGTTGGACTCTGGGGGTGGTGGGAGGGGGTGCTTATCTTCATTTCTAAGCAGAAGAGCTGGCATTGTCCGTAGACACCTCCAAGGTCATGGGGCCGATATGACTGCATAGAGTGCCATTCTAGTCTCACTATATTAGAACATGGAAAATTTATTCTTAGAATTATCATGCTGAAATGGTCAAAATTCAATTGATTTGTTACAAATGTATAACCCCCTTCTCCATGAGTTGTGTGGTGTACTTGCAATTTTCAGCAGTGGTGCCTCTTTCGAGCTCAGTAGCTGCCTCAACAATGGTGACGGGACCACTGGGATAGGTGCCATCCCTTAGTCTCCGCAGCATAGAGCCTGATGAAAGCAGAATGCCATGTAAACAACAGGCCCTATTTATATATCTTTAAAGTGCGGGGCTGCTCCAGAGCATCAGGAAAGCGCCAGAGCATTCGCTAGCTTTGGCTAATGCAAGGCAAACCTGTATTTAGGGATCTTGGGTGATAAGGCTTATTTGTCCTGTGAACATCACAGACTGATTCTTGTCTACTTTGGGTTATACAGCTTGTATAGATGCACCTGCTGTATATTTTTAGCGCCACAAAGTGGTAACATATAGTAGATCAGGAGGATGCTTTCCACCTCATACAGCACCACAATGCTTACACTAGCTCTGGTGTTGTCCCTTCAATAAAAGAACTACAACCAGCATAGCAAAGAAAGAAAGTGGCAGGAAGGATGCTAACTTCTTGACAATTTCCTCACTCTCTTGGCAGATCACACAGTTGAAAATTGCTAGTAACCCATTTGCAAAAGGGTTCCGAGAATGTGAACCAGATGAGTGGTAAGTCTCCTTGGCCCCACTACTGTCAGGTAAGAGTGAAAGGACCAGTCTTTAGGTCTGCAAATAGGGCAAATACTTTGTAGGCCTATTCAGGAAAATGTATCATTGAGTTCAATAAAAGTTACTCCTGTGTGTGAGATCACACTCTTAGATATACTGAGGCAAAGTATTAACTTTTATACAGTGCACTGCTAAAGCCACATCTGAATAAGACTGACTTCTTACATATTGTTTTGATATGAGTGTCTCTCACATCCTGCTGTACTCAAAGGTAAGACTTCCTAATGGCTTAATCTCATACTTTTAGAATTATCTACATCAGTAGTTCTTAATCCACATCCTGCAGATGTTTTAGACATCAGCTGTCATAATCCCTGATGTTTTGTGTAACTGACTTGGGCTTTGAGAGTTGAACTCCAAATCACTTGCTGGAGGGACTAAAGTGGGAGAATCACTGATCTTCTCTTTCCGGATCTCTTAGTCCCAATTAAACAAGCAAGAGAGTGCCCAGAGTATTAGCAGTCGTCTTTGCTCAGATCAATATCTTTCAGACTTCTATTTGTAAGTAGCCCAAAAATGTTGTTTTCTATGAATTGCTGGATAGATAGGTTGTGCGTTAGCAGCTTCTGCACTTAACCAAACACAAAAGGAAAAATGAATGGAAGTAAATGGAAACAGAAAGAAGGCAGCTTGAGGCTCCAGCAGGTGTAAGGAACCTTTAACTTCCAAGATATTCTGGACTTCAAATTTCTTAGTCCCTTACCATTAGCATTAGTAAAGAAGGGCTGATAGGAATCCTACATCAATGGAGCTGGAGGATCAAAGTTTCCATGAAGAGAACAGGCCCTATGAGGAGCCTATTCAAGAGCTCGGCATGTTTAGCCTTCAGAAGAGAAGGCTGAGAGGAGACATGATAGCCATGTATAAATATGTGAGGGGTTATCATAGGGAGGAGGGAGAAAATTTGTTTTCTGCTGCCCTGGAGACCAGGGTGCAGAGCACAGACTTCAAACTACAAGAATGAAGATTCCACATGAACATTAGGAAGAACTTCCTGAATGTGAGAGCTGTTCAGCAGTAGAACTCTCTTCCCCGGAGTATGGTGGAAGCTCCTTCTTTGGAGGCTTTTAAGCAGAGGCTGGATGGCCATCTGTCAGGGGTGCTTTGATTGCGATTTTCCTGCTTGGACTGGATGGCCCATGAGGTCTCTTCCAGCTCTAGGATTCTATGGCCTTTCTTCATGAAGTCCATCAGCAATTAGTTTTTGCATCTTAATGGTGTCTCTTTCTTTATATATCTAGGCCAGGTTCACCAGGACAACTACTTGGCTGCTTATCTCGGAATGGCGGTACAACTACTTTAGCCCAGCTGCAGGAGATCCCAGAGAAAGGTAAGATGAAAGCAAAAATTAAGCCATTGTTTCCAGAGAACTTCTCTGGAAGACACACTCCGTTACTCAGTGCACGTGAGGTGGCGGTGGGGGTAATGCTTAAGGTATCATGTCAGACATCAAGGCTGTGATTAATGATTCCACATAACAGATTTGTAGTTCATGTATTTTTTTTTCTTGATGGACAACACAAGAATTCCTTTTTCAAACTGCAGTGCATAACCAACACTGGTCACAATCATGTGATGTTAAGCTTTTTAGGCCTAACTACATTAGTGTTTGGCAAAACCTGTGATAAACTCAGGACTTTTTGGCACAGTACTAAATCATACAAATAAGCAGTGTGCAGTTAAGGCATGTTCATTTCCCCTACTAATGCTGTGTGTAGACAGTAGGGAAGGGTCTGACTGGAGAATCAAATAAGCAAAAGTGTCACAATGCCGCATGGTGTCAGGAAAGAGGTTCTGTGCACTATATCTCACTTCTTTCTTTCTAGGATTTACAAGCAGCCATCATCTCCCTCCTTCCCTCCTCAGAGAAACTTCTCAGCTCCAGCATCCACCCCTGGTGACACCTGCCGGTCTCCCAGATATGTGCATTGCTCGACGGCCCTTGAACGAAGCACCCGGGGCCTTGCCCTATAAGCACCTCTCCTATCACAGCATTTATGTGGGAGCCCGCTCACGGGGAACACCATATGCGCTCCCCAGCAACCGGGCTACTAGTTTCCACACTCTCAACATCTACACAGCTGGTGGCTATGAACAATGAAAGAAAAGGCATAGTGGGAATATCAGGCAGGTACCTCCCCAGATCAGATTTAATCCACAAGGATCAAACGTTGTGCCCACTTTCCACTCATCATCCAGTTCCTTGAATTGGCCCTCCCATTGCATAGCTTATATACTACTGAGGATGTGAACATGTTACCTTCAAGGCATCCTGAAAAATGTGCCCATTCTACCCAAGGCACACAGTGTTCCTCTCACTAGTTGTTCCTTGGTCTGTGTATACTGTTATGTGCCTTCATGTTTATGATGCCATTGCCTTCCTCCAACCTGGGAAAGTATGACTTGCAGGGTTTCCACAGCTGAGTAAGGATCTGAACCCTAGCTTGCTACACTCCTACTCCAACACTCAAAACCACTACAGTGGTTCTCAACCTGTGGGTGCCCAGGTGTTTTGTCCTACAACTCCCAGAAATCCCAACCAGTTTACCAGCTGTTGGGATTTCTGGGGGTTGAAGGCCAAAATATCTGGGGACCCACAGATTGAGAACCACTGCATTACACCATGTTGAACCATTCAAGAGACCAAGGTTCAGATCTCTGCTCAAGCATGAAAACTCCACTGAATAAATATTTCCAAACAATCTCCATGTTAATCATGCCGTAAGTTGGAGTTGACTTGATGGAACATAACCAGACATTAATCAAAACACAGGACTTAGTGCACAATTAGTCTCCTATCAGAGGCAAGAGAGAGCCCAGAAAAGCAGGAAACGCATTTCAGGGACATCCTGGTCTTCAGTTCCCAAACAATGCCATGCTGTTTCTCTTTATAATAGTCTACACTGTAGAGTCCACATTTATGAAGAATTCAACTCAAACATGGACACTTGGGAATTACATTCCAGTATATACTACATTAAACTCACCCACACAAGCTTTGCAACAAAAATAAACTTGACAGGCAAATATTTAAAAAATTATGCAGGGAGAAGCATGTTTTTATTGTAGAATTTGGTGTTTACAGTGATTGAAGGATTTTAGAACAAAAATTCTGGACCGCTTGATTACAGAAGCTCTCTTTCTCTAAAAATGAAGGACTCCACGGGACTCCTGGTTGCTGCTAAAAGCCCTTTGTCCACAGTAGAAAGAAATCTTTATTATTCAGTTCAAAGCAGGAGTAGCATTTTTCTTGTCTTTGGAAAAGCAGCCTGCAAGTTTGGACGATACAACACTCCTGGGGCTTACTATTTGCTCTTCCTGCTAGCAGTTGGCATCAAGGGACACAAAGCCCTCTGCCTTGCATAAGTTAGCCACCAGTATGGCAACTGGTGAGTTAGCATGGGCAGATGGAGCCTTCACATCAGGCACGTTGCAAGAGCACATGCTTGCAGCTCCACATCATGTACGGGCCTCTCTCAAAACAAGCTCTTTGGGACAAACTCAGATGTGGAAATCAACACCAACCAAAATATCTAGTGTAAATTTCCAAAGTACTTTCTCTCTGAGCATGTCAGGAGCCTGGATTACATTTCTTGTCTCCTAATGTGATAGCTAAAATCCACTGATGAATAACAAAGACCAGGTCCCACGTGACAGACCTGCCAAGTAATGTTGTCCCTATGTTGGTGTTCTTGAGGTCAGGTACAACTTTTCCAGAAACATCATCATGGCTACACAGATGAGCCCAAAGCAGTTCATTTCAGGTGCGGAATGGATGTAACATGGCATGGAGCAGGGGGCAGTTTCCTGTAAAACTTTTCCTTAATTTTGGAATGTCTCCCCCAACATCCTTGCAGCGAAGCAGTGTCGAACCTTATCTTCAATGTAACAGCTGGGGATAGGATGTCAGCTCCGTTTCCAAAGAGGGGAAAGGGCTAAAGGATGCTGTCGTACCATCTGGTAGGACATGAGGCACAACCGGCAGAAAGGAAGAAGCAAGGGACAGTTGCTCAAGTAAGAAAATGCAGCATAAGCCAATTAACTTTCCCCACTGGCTCATGAGGGCATATACAGTACATCTGCTCTCTGAGGAGAAAAGCCTTGCTCTTCCTCTTAGTTCCAGGTGCTGGCAGTGAAAGTGAACGGGTTGAACCGATACCCAGCACCTGCATAGAATTTGTTCTGGAATTCCACCCTGAAAAATATATATATACAAGAGTAAAGAACATTTCTCACGGGACTAACTCACAGCTTGCAATGTCCTTCTACCCCAATATGCAAATCCAAGATCCACAACCCTTGAAACAGATTCAAACTCAATTAGCAGAAGGTGTGAGGGAAGAAGTTATTGTTGTTGATGTGTACCTTCAAGTTAAATCTGTCTAATGGTGACCCTATCCGAGGGTTTTCTTGGCAAAATTTATCCAGAGGAGGTTTACCATTGCTATTCCCGAACGGTTGACAGAGTGTGACTTGCCCAAGGTCAGACATAGGTTTCTACCCAGGAGATTCAAACCCTGGTCTCCTGGAGTGCTAGTTCCACACTCAAACCTCTACACCGCTAAAGGTTTGTAAGGGAGTTTGTTTATTTATTTATTTACTTCACTTGTATACCACTTTTCTCACCCAAGGGGGACTCAAAGCAGTTTCCTGACTGTTCAGCAGTGGAACTCTCTGCCCCAGAGTGTGGTGGAGGCTCCTTCTTTGGAGACTTTTAAGCAGAGGCTGGATGGCCATCTGTCGGGGGTGCTTTGAATGCGATTTTCCTGCTTCTTAGCAGGGGGTTGGACTGCATGGCCCACAAGGTCTCTTCCAACTAAATGATTCTATGATTCTATATTTATGGGAAAATGTAATGCCTCACATACTTATGAAACCTAACATAAAACAACAATAACATATAACTATCAATTAGATCATAAAAACCTAACAATGTTTAAACATTAAAACGTCATCCAAACCCGTTCCAGGGCTTGCTCTCCCTTTCATCCTGAGAAGAGGGCTTCTTTAGTGTCCCCATTTGAGTCTGATAGAAGAGGCAACAGGCCACCAAAGTCAAGTGAGGTGATAGTACCTCTCCCAAAGGGCATAATTATACAATACGACAATGGTCAATGTTTTACAAAGAGGGTTCTCACCAGTGCAGACGGAGAGCATGCAGGAAAGCGGACAATCCTTCCATTACTAGCAGGATGGCCACAGTCAGTACCGCAAAAAAAGCAAACACTGGTACAAGGATGACACCACCCTTGTAGCCCGTCATCCAAAAGCCATTCCTCATCACCATGGTCCACAGGACTTCTGAAAGTTCTATGTACAGAGATGGGTAGGGGAGTTGTCAGAGAATGAGTGGTGTGATCCAGGAGTCACCTTGCCCACCAGAAACCTGGGCAGAGGCAGGCTGAACAGAGACAGCAAAGCATGCATTTACACTCTCTCTTTTTTAACATATGCACACAGGCCAGTACCACTCTGCCTTCCCCAACAAATTCAAACATCTGCTTCCCACTCAAGCACAAATGGCTATGGCCAAGGTTCTTGCCAAGTCTCATATTCCCAGTGCCCTCACCTCCCGCCTCCAAGGACAAACTCACGTGCATGGGCCAAGCTGAGGGCCCAGAGACGCAGGTAGGAAGCTGTGTTTGAGACACACCCCAGGCAATATTCAATGGTATGGATGGCTTGATGCATGAACACTTCGGAGAACTCAAACTGAAGGAGAGACAAGCAAAAGTCAAAGTCACAGCAAGCATTACTGTAAATGGCAGCTGAAGGTCCAGCCAGGATCTGAAAGGAAAGTTCTCTGAAGCCCAACTTACAAAAGCCCTTTGTCTCACCCTGGTCATTCCACAGATATATAAACCCCTTTTTTCCCAGTTCCAGCAGACCTCACCTCTGAGGATGCTTGCCATAGATGCAGGCGAAACGTCAGGAGAAATGCCTCTAGAACATGGCCATATAGCCAGAAAAAACCCACAAGAACTTCTCTGAAGCTGCTTCCAGAGATTAAAGTTGAGGGCTTACCACATAGTTAGCCATATCCGCATATTCAGGGGCTGCACACATACACACACTGATCTAGGAAAACCATGGATTCCTAGAAATATCACCCTTTAAAAAAAAATCCTGAAAAAGCCTCTCTTCACCCACATCCTGCCAATTTATTTTGAAAGGTTTAGAGGTCTTCCTGGATTGCTTTGAGAGGCCTTTTCCCAACCAGAAATTGACTATAATTCACCTCTAGTTTTAGAATAACCCTAAAGGTTTGTAAACTGGCAAAATTCCACCCAGTCCCCAGTGGGTGCATTTTTTAAGAGTCAAAAAGGAAGGAGGGGTGGGTCTGGATGGGTCATATATTTTTGATGTTACCTCTGGCTCTTGCTTGGGCTGGGCACGCTCTACATCATCTTCAGCAACGTTCACTGATCTGCCTGGACCGGAGTTTAGCAGGGACTGGCGCTCTTCTGCACTGGAAGGTTCACGCTGCAACATCCCAGAATGGATCACCCATCAGAAAGAAAGGGATCACAGACAAAAAAGCTCTCTCTCTCTCTTCCAAAGAAACACATTGCATCCCAATTGCCTTACCTTCTTTCAATCCTGATTCCACACCCTAGAAACTTCATATAAGTCACTAATCGCCATAGCCCTGGAGCCCCCAGTTGCGCAATGGGTTAAACCCTTGTGCCAGCAGAACTGAAGACCAAAAAGGTCGGAGGCTTGAATCCAGGGAGAGTGTGGATGAGCTCCCTCTGTCAACTCCAGCTCCCCATGTGTGGACATGAGAGAGGCCTCCCACAAGGATGGTAAAATATTTGGGCATTCCCTGGGCAACGTCCTTGCAGACGGCCAATTCTCTCACACCAGAAATGACTTGCAGTTTCTCAAGTTGCTCCTGACATTAAAAAAAAAACCATAACCCTCTTCTTGCTCCTGTTTTCCTCGCTCCAGTGTGTGTCAAGTGTTCTTCAAGTTATAGTTCCATCAGCCCTGGTCAGCACAACCAATGGTGAAGAGTGATAGGAGCTACAGTTCAGTGACATTTGGAGGCCACAAGTCTCCTGCATCTTTCCTCCCCATCCACAGATTACATATTGCCCAGGCCACACACACACATCTTCAAGCTGGGATGCCACTACAGGACAAACCCAGGTATAGTCCTTGAGCCATTCTAGTGGGGTCCCAGGGCTTCATGTCACTGAATTCAAACAGCAGCACTGACCCTTCATGATCAAGAAGGTCTGGGCAGGAAGGTCCAGGTCTTACCTGGATCTGGAAGGCCTTTCTCCGCGAATGCTGGCACCAGAGGTATAAGGGCGTCCCCAGCAGCAGGACAGGCACAGAGGCAAGAGCCACCACCACCAACACTGTTTGCACTGTCGTCTGCCAAGAAAAGTTGCAAGCCTTTCAGTCCTAACCGAGGACAACCACAAGTCAAGGTGAGTCACAAAAATGGATGTTTGCATTTTTGAATGCAAACATCACTTTATCCTCACAAGAATAAAATGAAACTATAGTTTTCTATGGGATTCTAGGCCCAATTTTAACACAAGAGAATTGGAAAAATTTAATGTTCTCTCTCACATTAATCTCCTTCTCACTTTCCGTGGAGATTTGTTTGTGAGGATTTTCTTGCAATCCAATTACTGTTTTTGCTGTTGCGTTTCAAGCCCGATAGTATCCCAAGTTTCCACCATACCTCGAAACTATGTTGATATGGCCAGCAAAATGGTGATGATTATAATATTTTTAAATCTAAAGCATGACTAAGTACAGGATGAGAAGGTTAAGATAAAAATGGAAAAATTCCAACCCCCAAGTTGTTGTCGAAGGCTTTCATGGCTGGAATTACTGGGTTGCTATGAGTTTTCCATGCTGTATGGCCACGTTCCAGAAGCATTCTCTCCTGATGCTTTGCCCACATCTATGGCAGGCATCCTCAGAGGTTGATGAGTCTCTAAAAAACTCTAAAATCAAGACAGCGAATAAAGAGCAACACTCAAAAATGCAGGGGAATTCCAGACAAGAATCAATCAGAGCCAGCTAACACCTCCTAACAAAGGATTCCTCCAGGCAGCAATCAGCCAGGCTTTGAAGCTGTAAGGCTATTAAATGTTAATCAATGTGGCCAATTGCAACATTCACACTTGCCTCAAGCAGACAAGAGCTCTTTCTCACACCCTGGATATTCCATTTAGGTGATCCCTTGTTGTCCGAGTAAGATTGTCCTCCAAGTGTGGTGTCCTGGTGGTGGGTATGTAGGTGACTGTGGAGCCCTATTCTTGACCCACATGTTCTCCTGCAGTGAAGGCATCAGTTTCCAGGTGGAAGGTGGTCCCAGTCGGGGTTGGCTTGACGCGTCTTCCTCTTGGCACGTTTCTCTCTTTTGCCCTCCATTCGTGCTTCTTCAGACCAGATATATAAACCTCACTTGCCTAGTGTTCAACAGACCTCTCTAAGAATGCCTGCCATAGATGTGGGCGAAACGTCAGGAGAGAATGCTTCTGGAACATGGTCGTACAGTCCGGAAAACTCACAGCAACCTCCTTAAATTGTTTCCATTTTCTCCAAAGCCTTTTTTCCAGGAAAAATTGATTATGGATTTATTTTTCTTTTAGACTGATGAATAAAATATGACCATGTGTTTATTGAACCATAGTTATTTTTTAAAAGCATGTCAAAGGACAATTTTTTTGTGTCAGATCATTGCACTTCCTGATCTTGGTTTTCTTTTTTCAATTTTTTTTAATGGGAATGAGATTTTTTTAATCTCCTTGGCAGTGTGAAATAGAGGACAAAGTAATTTTCTCTGAGGATGCTTACCTCTGAGGATGCTTGCCATAGATGCAGGTGAAATGTCAGGAGAGAATGCCTCTAGAACATGGCCATATAGCCCGAAAAACCTACAAAACCCAGTGATTCCGGCCATGAAAGCCTTCGACGATAATTTTCTTTGTTTTGCTAATGTTGAGGAGGAGGGAATGCTTCCTAAGAAAGAAGTTGAACAGACATGGTATATGGGACCCTGAAGTATTACCTGGTGCTTATAGAGTGGAATGTTGTCAGCATTCTCTGTAAACAGGAACATATCGATGAAATGGATGAGAATGCTAGGTGCAAATTGGGAAGTGGAAGCATCGAACACCAGCCACTTATAGAAGACCAGGATTATAAGATAGCCAAAGAGTGCCAGCAGGAAGATGATCTCCGGAAGGAAAACCAGTAGGATCTTGTACATTTGTTTGAAGTGACTGCAGCCAGACAGAAGAGAGCAACCATCAACAAAGAGTTCTAGAGCAGCATTTCTCAACCTGGGGATCAGGACGCAAGGGGTCACGAGGGGGGTGTTGGAGGGGTCACCAAAGACCATCAGAAAACACAGTATTTTCTCTTGGTCATGGGGGTTCTGTGTGGGAAGGTTTGGCCCAATTCTATCATTGGTGAGGTTCAGAATGCTCTTTGATTGTTGGTGAACTATAAATCCCAGTAATTACAACTCCAAAATGTCAAGATATATTTTCTCCAAATTCCAACAGTGTTCACATTTGGGCATATTGAGTATTCATGCTAAGTTTGGGCCAGATCCAACATTGTTTGAGTCCACAGTGCTCTTTAGATGTAGATGAACTACAATTCCCAAACTCAAGGTCAATGCCCAACAAACCCTTCCAGTATTATCTCTTGGTCATGAGAGTTCTGTGTGCCAGGTTTGGTTCAATTCCATCATTGGTGGAGTTCAGAATGCTCTTTGATTGTAGGTGAACTATACATCCCAGCAATGACAACTCTCAAATGGCAAAATTAATCCCCCCCAACCCCACCAGTATTCAAATTTGGGCATATTGGGTATTTGTGTCAAATTTGGTCCAGTGAATGAAAATACATCCTGCATATCAGATATTTACATGGCGATTCATAGCAGTAGCAAAATTACAGTTATGAAGTAGCAATGAAAATAATGTTATGGTTGGGGGTCACCACAACATGACGAACTGTATTAAGGGGCCGCGGCATTAGGAAGGTTGAGAATCACTGTCCTAGAGAACCACCACAAAAAGCCCAGCTTGATCAGACCAAAGGATCACAGGGGCTACCTACATGTCTTACAAGTGCAAGCAGCCCCTGAGGGCAAAAGCATCCTCCTTCTTGTATTCCTCCAGTAGCATATATCAAAAGCATGGTGACTAAAGGCTAATGACCCCAGATAGCTTCATGCTCCATGGAGACATCAAATCCCCCTTCAGTGCCTTCTTTGCTAACGTCAAGAAAGATGGGATTCCCGCAGTAGAATATAACATGGATGGAATGGCTTCTGAGGACTTCTTAACCCCCTTGACTGGAACAAACTTAGAGAGGGGATAGTAGTCATGGACTTACACAAAGTTGAAGATGCCAAGGAACACCCCAAAGCTCATGTGCACAATGCCCAAAATCACAGACATCTTCATCTTGAAAGAGTTCAAGAAGGTGAGATGGTTGACGGCCAGACTCCAAATCTGATTCAACAGAAAGAATAATCGCATACACAAAATAGATAAAGAGCATGAACAAAACAAGGATAAGGGGAAGTCCAATTATCATATATGCTTGTGTATACGTTGATCTCATGTATAAATCAAGGACAGATTTGAGGGCTGGAAACTCAGATTTTGATATGACACATAGATAAGTTGAGGAGAAAAGATAGGGACACATAGTAAAGGATGGAAGCAAATGAAAACAATGCCAAAACACTCACTTCTTAACCATTATTTTACATTTCTTCACGCTGATTTGCTCTTTCAGTACTTACCGGGTCTATCCCAAAGGGGTAGGGGCCATTAAAGACTCCAGTGACGTTAGGAACCAGGACAAGAACAGGGTTTTCAGTGATATATTCCAAGCTGCAATAAAAGGGACAGGAGTATTATTTGGCCCAGAAAAAAAAAAAACAGAAAAGAAAGAGGGTGACACTGGCATGAGCTGGCTGGTACCTCCATCCTGACTGGTTAGCCATGGCAGCAATACTCCAGGCAGATGGAAAGATGGTGGTAGCTCTGCTGAAGCATTCATTGTAAATGAAGCCAGTGTATATAGAGAAGGCGCCCATTAGGAGAATGAGATAGCGGCCTTCAAAGAACATCTGCCAGATCTGGGGAGAAAACAAAGCAGTTTTAATATTTTTTTGTGTGTGTTAGGAGCGACTTGAGAAACTGCAAGTCGCTTCCAATGTGAGAGAGTTGGCTGTCTGCAAGGACGTTGCCCGGGGACACATGGATGTTTTGACATTTTATCATCCTTGTGGAAGGTTTCTCTCAGGTCCCTGCATGGGGAGCTGGAGCTAACAGAGGGAACTCATCCACGCTCTCACCAGATTTGAACCTCCAACCTGTCGGTCTTCAGTCCTGCTGGCACAAGGGTTTAACCCATTGCACCACTGGGGGCTCCTAGTTTTAATAATGAGTTTGAAAGACAGTACAGTGGTTAGAGCATATGTGTCAAAGGCAAGGCCCATCTGGCCCACCATGTCATTTTATGTGGCTTTCCAGTTGTTGGACTATAACTCCTGTAACATCCTTAGACATCATGATTAGAGCTGATGGGAGTTGTAATACAGTCACATCTGTTCTGTTTAGTCAGGATAGTGGGGTCTGAATTTAGATACAAAGCTTGTAGATATGATGTCTGACATTAAAATGTCCTTTAACCTTTTCCAAACTTCAGAGCCACAAGTGCTGTTGTGTTGCAATTCCCATTATCCCCAGCCCACATGGCAGATAATCAAAAGTGATGGGCATTGTCATTCCATGGCATCTGGGGACCCAAACTAGGTAAAAATGAAATGGCACCAACCACTATGTAAACATGTTCTAGAAGCATTCTCTCCTGACGTTTCACCTGCATATACGGCAAGCATCCTCAGAGGTTGTGAGGTCTCACAACCTCTGAGGATGCTTGCCCTAGATGCAGGTGAAATGTCAGGAGAGAATGCTTCTAGAATATGGCCATATAGCCCGAAAGACCTACAACAACTCAGTGATTCCAGCCATGAAAGCCTTCGACAATACACTATGTAAACACCTTATAGCTGACCCTCCGTATCCACTGATTTAGTGGCCCTTTGAAGACAACCATAAGGCTGATGTGACTCTTGATGAAAATGATTTTGATACCCATGGATTAGATGTTAGAACAAATATAGGTAGAAAAAAGGTTGTCAATATCTGTGCTGTCCTCCTTCCCCACTTAAAATGTCTTTCTCCAGAATGGCCTCCTTCTCAGCCTGGGTCTCACCTCATTTTCCACCTTCTTCATGCCAGGACTGTTCTCTAACAGCACCATCCACAGAGCAAAGAGAAACATCAGCAGACCATGGCCGACATCCCCAAACATGACAGCAAAAAGGAACGGGAAAGTGATGATGGTGTAGGGAGCTGCAAAGGAGACCCAATGTCAGATGTAGAGCTCTGGAAACCTTCTAAGCAAAACACATGGCTTTCACCACACCCTTTGCCTAATCTGTCTCAAACCCATATTTATTCCTTCTTCTTCCTTTTAACTGGTACGTTATTGGTTAGGCAGAATATAAAGACAATATCATTACTTCTCAGTGAACACAATTCTAACCATAATAATCAGTGCACATTTTTTTCTTCATGCCACAGCCAGTCTGTCCACAGCACTTGCCCCGTCCCACAGCTGAGTAGCAATGTCTCCAGCATCAATGGTTAATACCCTTGTTTTTAAGTTGACATGCCATTAAGATTGAGGCAGGGATGGGACCAGTGGAAACAAGATGAGGTGGGCCCAACAAATCTCCTCACCTGGGTTCACCTCTTGATAGCTGGCCACCCCATAAGCATCAACAATGTTCTGGAAGCCAGCAGTGAATTTATTGGTACGGATGAGAGTAGGAGGGTTCTCAGTGCTGGAGATTCGATGCACAAAGGATTCGACTGTGGAACCACTGAGGCGCTGCAAGGGCACAAGGGGGACAGAAGAGCAGGTTAAAAACAGACTGAGAAAACCAACAGCAACTAAAAGGGATGTGTGGAGGCAGCCCAGTGTGTCAATCATCAATTTCCCTTTTCATCTGAATAGGGTATATCATCTTAATATATAAAAAGCTTCTGTGCGTCTTAAGTAGGCTAAAAACAAGCAAACTATGGGGCCAACTGACATCAAATTTGGTCTCCAAACATCTCATACCCCAAGGTATGACCATCAATTTAAAAAAAATCCCAAAACCGTGAAAACAGCTTTAAAATTCTTTAAAAATAAGAAATACCTTACAACGCATGCGCAAAACAAACAGCCATCCTTAGCAAAGCAGCTGGCCATCCCTGCTTCGGGAGCCAAGCCAGCAGTCCTGCAAACAGCAAGCCAAGAAGCCAGTGAAGTGGAGGAGAGAAAAGCCCCGCAAGAAAGGAACAGCCCGGCAAAGCTGCTCTGTAAAGCAGCCTTTAGAGCCTCCTCGAGAGAGAGGGATCGAGGGAGAGGGAGAGGGAGAAGGACACAAGGAGGGACAAAAGAAGCAAGCAAGGAAGGAAGGGGGGGGGCCTTTTGCAGCATCAGGCAAGGAAGGCGAGAGGGAAAGGGGAGGGGGGAGGGGGGATGAGCCACGCCAGGAGGAGGCTGCATAGGCCTCGAAAGGAGCTGTAAGGAATTGTGGAAACTGAAGTCCAAAATGTCTGGAGGGCCCAAGTAGGTCCAGGCCTGCACACATATACAAACAACACACACATGCACATATAAACACACACACACATATACACTCATATATATATATATACACATATATACACACATAAATATATATATACACATACATATACATAACACACACACACACATATATATGCATGCACACACATATACACAAACATATACACACATACATATACACATACATTGCCCACCTTCATAACTTTTGAAAAGCCTTGCAGCTTAAAAGCCTGGCTTCTTCCTGCCTACAGGAAACCTTTGAGGGGAGGTGTTCCCTAGCCCAGATTGTTTCATGTCCGGGATTCCTGTTTTCTGAGGGCCACAGCAACGCGTGGCCAGGGTGTAGCTAGTACTTTATATGCAGCTCAGCTTCCAGAATATAGAGCAGCGCAATTCAGAGATAAAAAGGACATTACAAGCTTGGGATAAGAGAAAGGTGTACTATGATTTCAGACCTACATGAAGTACAAATGTGATTATTCCTTCTAAGAGGCCTCTAGGTCAGCCCACGCGCCAATAGAATCATAGAATCCTAGAGTTGGAAGAGACCTTATGGGCCATCCAGTCCAACCTCCTGCCAAGAAACAGGAAAATCACATTCAAAGCACCCCCAACAGATGGCCATCCAGCCTCGATTTAAAAGCCTCCAAAGGAGGAGCCTCCATCCCATTCTTTCTACTACAGTATGCAAGGGAACATCCTGGAAAAGGGCACTATTCAAGCCAGCAATGAACTTTTGCTGCAGGGACCACATGTCAAATTGAGTCACAGCCTGCCTGAGAGAAATGGGGAAGACCTGCTACATGGCATCATAACAATAACAACAAAAGGATTTGAGAGTAGAGTGAACCCTTCACATTTGCAGGTTTGGTTATTCACAGATTTGATTAATCGTACAATCCCTCTAGGAATTTCTAGGTCATTCAGTATGACTCTATGTGCAACCACAGGTAAAATAAATGGGTTTTTTATACATTTCCCTCCATTTTGATGGAGATCCTACACCCCCAGCCCCAGCAACTATGGAGGGCTGAACCAGCAGAAAGCTCGAACACAAAGTCCATGCGGTGCAGAAGGAAGGATGGCAGAAGGGGTGGGCGAGGGGCAGATGTGTGTTGGCACCTACCGATCCCTCCCTCAGGGCTTGCTGTACAGCTGGAAGATCGTGTACAGGGCACCACACTTCACCAATAAGGCACTTGTCCGTGATATTGAAGCTGCACTGGTTGAGGATGAAATAGATTGCTTTCATCTTCTGGATCCGCACTTGCCAAGCAGGAAGCAGCATCAGCACCTTTTGCAGCATCTGGTCCAAACAGTGCTCTGACCGGCCCAAGACCTGTTTGCAGAAGGAATATCACAGGCTTTCAGGCGTAAGGGAGAATTGTGAATTATGAAGTATTTATTGGCACAGAATAGGCACTTAGCTGTGGCATGAGCTGCTCAGATGGCTCTTCAAACTACAAGAGAGGAGATTCCATCTGAACATTAGGAAGAACTTCCTGACTGTGAGAGCCATTCAGCAGTGGAACTCTCTGCCCCGGAGTGTGGTGGAGGCTCCTTCTTTGGAAGCTTTTAAGCAGAGGCTGGATGGCCATTTGTCAGGGGTGATTTGAATGTAATATTCCTGCTTCTTGGCAGGGGGTTGGACTGGATGGCCCATGAGGTCTCTTCCAACTCTTTGATTCTATGATTCTAAGTAGTGTGTAGATCTTACATTGAGCTAATAAATTTTTTAAAAATAATTTATATGTGATCAGGAGCCCCTGGTGGCACAGCAGGTTAAACTTGCTGACCGAAAGGTTGGTGGTTTGAATCTGGGGAGGTCCCACTGTTAGCCCTAGCATCTGCCAACCTAGTAGTTCGAAAACATGCAAAATGTGAGATCTATACCTTCAGTGGGAAGGTAACAGAACTCCATGCAGTCATGCCGGTCACATGACCTAGGAGGTGTCTATGGACAACGCCAGGTCTTCAGCTTAGAAATGGAGATGAGTACCATCCCCATAGTCAACAATGACTTAATGTCAGGGGAAATCTTTACTTTTAGTTACGTGATCATGTTTAACAACCTGCATCAAGAACATATAGGATGCTTCCTCTCTCTGACATCTTGTCTGATTCTCCCATTTGTCAAATGTACGGCAATTGTTATGCCTCAAAATGTCCTGATGCCACAATAGCACTTTCTACAGGTCAGGGGGTCACACGCTCCACTGAGAAGCACAGGAAAAGGGGAGTGTTAAAAGTGGTAACAACGGATAAGGAGAAGAGGCTAGCACCTCCAGCCCCAAAATGTGGCTAGGCAGTAAGTCAACCAAAATGCAAACACTCAATTTAATTTCTTTGGGGCATTTTTTGAAAACTGAAAATATGATTTTTACACACACACACCAGAACACCTCAAGTAATCCGCTTTTTCGCCTCAGATCTCTGGATCCCTCAATGACTCGCTTCTAGCTTCCCTGAGATCTACTATCCCAAACCACCCCAAACACCCCCAGTGCCTTACGATGGTCAACTCTTCTATTTGGGTGCGCAATTGACGCAAGGTCTCCCCACGCTCGGCCTCATCATCAGCATACGGATACATGTGGCAATGAAAACTAAAGAGAAAAATGACACAGAATAAGCATGAGGATGCAAATATATACACAAGAGGGAAGCTGCTGCAGGGAAAAACAGAGGCTCGGAAAGTGAGGAGGCGGGGGGTTAAGAAGGGTTAGTAGCTCCATTTGTTGTATGAAAATGAGCAGGCCTATGAAAAATGCTCTGGATCTTATGGAAGGCCCACAACATCCAACTACTGGCTGAGGCTTGTTGTTGTATTTCATGGGAGCGAGGGACATATCAGAGAAACAACTTTAGAGAATGCGTGTATGGGAGGAGTTGGCAACAAATCTGAGTAAGTAAGAATGGCCCCCTGATGGCGCAGTGGGTTAAACCATTAAGCTGCTGAACTTGCTGACCAAAAGGTCAGCAGTTCTAATCCAGGGAGCGAGGTGAGCTCCCACTGTCAGCCTCAGCTTTTGCCAAGCTAGCAGTACAAATGTTAGTAGATCAATAGGTACCACTTCTGCGGGAAGGTAACAGCGCTCCATGCAGTCATACCAGCCACATGAACGTAGAGGCATCTACGCACAACGCCGTCTCTTCGGCTTAGAAATGGAGACGAGCACCACCCTCCAGAGTTGGACATGATTAGGCTTAATGTCAAGGGGAAACCTTTACTTTTTAAGAAGACACGCCATGTGTCAAGTAAGGACAAAGAATGTCAGCTGACATCTTTGGAAATGGACAGCACCAAAAAGTAGAAGTATTGTGCTGTCGCGCGCTGGGTTCCTATAAAAGACTATAAACAGGACTTAATTTCTGTGAGCCCAATGGGACGCTGGGGTTGCCTCAGAGTGAGGTTTTTTGGGATTTTCCTGAAAAGATGGGCTTCAAAGTCTTTAAAGATGCAACAAAATCTTTATTACTGAACAAATAACAAGGCTTCAACGATTGGATTCAAAGTTTTCTTAATAAACTGTTGGCTTTCTCGATCTTGCCCCCAAGGGCAGGCAACTGTTCCTTCACTGTTGGGAAAATCCCCGACCTCTACCTGGGCAATCTGTCTTCTCTTCTGTTGGCGTGGGGCCCCTACACCCAGTCCAATCTGCTTTATGGTTGCTGCGAAGGGCTCTTACCGAACAGAGACCTTTGCAGAACTTCCAGGAGGAGGAAGATGTTCACTTCCCAGTGATGGCTGGCTGAAGAGCTGTGGGACTGGATCCCTAGCAAGAGAGCTGAGAGGCTCTAAGTTCCTCAACAAACTGAAAAGTCCCCAGCAAAAGCTGTGCTGAGACTGTATATCCCTGGCCTAGCTATGGGGCTATTTCTCCCCGGCCAAGCTGTAAATGATGAAGCCTTTTACAGGAGGTCCTGGTTTAAGTCCTGTAAGAAAGACTTCTCTGTGCGGACTGACCTAAAATGGCTCCTATTCCCTCCAAAACCCAAAAAGGGGGCGGAACTAGGGAACCTAATGATAATTGACAGGTCATTGATCCAATAACTGCAAAGTAAGGAAAGCCATCTAACTACAAATGCACAGAACTTTAAAAAACATACAACACTTAACAAATAGCAAGATAAGCTGGAGCTCCTGGTACGGCCGTACCAGAACAAGTATCTTCCAGAGAAAGGACAGCAGACCAAAGGAGATCTCAGGAAAAGGCAACAAGATCAACAGACAGCAGAAGCTTGCATGCATTATCCCCAGTACTCACCAGCTGGCGATCTTGCGGATTTTCTGTCCAATTTGTTCGCCCCAGTAGGAGATGATGAAGATGACACAGGTGACACTCTCACCCTACACATGAGAAGAGAGGTTGCCCAGATGTCTCTGACCTTAGGGGAGGGGGTTCATCCTGACCTCGACCATAAAAAGGACTTGTAGCCTCCTCCGCTACACTATCTCCCTGCTTTATCCTGTCTTCAGTCTCAGACCCCCTGGGTAGCCTGTCCACCCTCTCATTGTAAACTCAACAGGGTTGTGACATTAACCCCTTCTCCAGCACCATTTCTATTGGCTTTACTCCAACTCACCGTAGCTGGATTTATGACAGGCTCTGGCATCTCTGTGAAATGAGCAACTAGGTAGCCACGGCACGCACGCCACAGAAGCCGTTCAAAGGAACTAACTCGCCATGGGTGGATCACTCCTGCCACAAAGCTTGAGGACGAGAGGAAGAAAATACGAAGTGCATGTTCGGATTACACATGTAATGTTGCTGTTCCAGGACAATTTAAAAGACTCTTACCATTTGCAAAGTGTTGAAGAGTAGTTCATAAACAATATCATAGTAACTCTTACAAGATAGAGAAAAAGCAACCTATGCAATGCTTGTCGTCTTTGGGTTCCTGTTTTCTGGCCTCTAAAATCTCCCTTTTTCAGATGAAAAAAGACCCTAAACCACACTTCCTGCCACTAAAACATAGCTATTTGAGTGCCCTTCCTCCACATTACTCCATATAATTTACAACATTCCTCATGTCTGGAAAACCAGCCCTTTTTCGGCTGAAATCTTGAGCCAAACATGATGCTAGCTCACTTCCTGGGGTGGGTAAATTACATGAGGGGTAAAAGGTCCCCACTTCCTTCATAGTTGTCCTGCCTTGCCTTAGGATAACCCTAAAAAGTAGGTAATAATAATAATTTATTTGTATACCACCCTGTCTCCCTAAAGGGACTGAGGGTGGTTTCCAACATGTAAGGCAAAGACATTCAATTGCCAGAAAGAAACCATACAGACAATTACATCAAGATAAACACGTTCAACAATATAATGCGACCTAATTAAACAATAGACAAAATAACAACTGAAAGCATCATAAAATTCAAAACAAAAACCTTCAACAAAGCCAATGGCCAGGGTTACAAATGGATGTGGCCAACTATAAAAGTGCTGGGCATGGGATGGTGCAAACAGGAATTCATAAGGTCAGGGAAGTGGATGAAGTGCAGGACAGGGTGCTATCTGGGTATCTGGGAACTGGGTCTAGGAACTCATCACTTGCTGGATCATCCCACTTTTCAAATCCCTGTGAAAGAAGGACAGTGTGGGAACTTGCCTAATCTCCCTGGGGAGGGAGTTCCAGAATTGGGGAGCCACCACCAAGAAGGCCATCTCCCTCATCCCCACCAACCGTGCTTGTGACAGTAGTGGAAGCGAGAGGAGGGCCTCCCCGGCAGATCTTAAAGCCAGCACTGGTTCATAGGGAGAGATACGATCCCGACGATAGGCAGGGCCCAAACTGTTTAGGGCTTTGTAGTTCATAACTGCACCTTGAATTAGGATCGGAAACTTATCGGCAGCCAGCTGAGCTGCTTCAATAGGGACATCATGCATAAGCATTGTCCCCCAAAATGGAGGGGAAGGGGAGGCAGCTGAAGTAACAGCACTTTGCCTATGCCCACCCACAGTGTTCAGGGATCAGTTCTGTACCCTCCACCTATAAAGTGAGGAAACTGAATAAAAAACCCACTATTTTTTAAACCTTAAAAAGCACTTTTCTAGAAATCTCTAGATCCTTAATTTGTAGGCTGACTGCAGAGTTGCAATGAAGGACATAGCAATTCCTAGAGAGAACATATTATTAAAATCTGCAATCAAATAAAAAAAAGGTAAACCCAGAAATGAAGAGGGATAATTATTGATTTAAACTAAAGATTTCTCACCCCATGATTTTAATCATTTGGCTGCACCATGTCTCATACAGAGGCCACAGCTTTTGTTTGCCCTACCAGGTCTGGCCCTCTCACAGAAGAGTTACACTGCCCAGTCCAAGAGCCACAACCTCATGACTCACTTTATTCTCAGGTCAATCCGCTGCGCCATGGATGGGTCGAGCAGAGGTTCTCTCTCTGAGAAGGCGCGTGGGCGGAAGGGAGATCCCATTGGTGCCTGCTGGCAGGAAAAGAGTCTGTGAGAGAAGCAGTGTACAGCAGAGGAGCACAAGGGGCCTGGGAACTATGTACTATGAGATATGGTTGAGGGAGCTGGGCATGTTTACCCTGGAGAAGAGAAGACGGGAGGCAGCGGGATATTCCAAGTATATGAATATATGTTCTCCTGTAGCAAACTTGCTTTCTTTTGCTCCAAAAAGCAAGACACATGGCAATAGGCTCAAGTTACAAGAAAGAGCAATTATTAGAAAGGGTTTTGCTCAGAAAAGGCTGTTTGGCAGTCGAACAGACTGTCTTTGAAGGGGGAGAATTCTTTCCACTATAGGTTTTAATGCAGAAATTGGACATTTCCTGGGGATACTTTACTTATAGATTTCCTACATTGGCAAGGACTGAATAAGATGACCTCCAAAGCTCCTTCCAGCTCTTTAACTCTACAGTCATGCTCTTGAATTTTTGTACGTAACTCTCGTAGCCACCCACATTCATTCAGCGTTATATATTTCAAGCTGGCTGCTTGTAATACTTAAAATTCAAGGTAAAATAATTTCCCAGAGCCAAATAAGATGCAACTGAGGCAGCTACATTTGTTTTTGATGTTCGGGCAGTCCTCAAGTTACAAACATCTGACTTATAGTTAAGAACAGGGGCGAGACAACCGGAAGTGAGAGGAATCTACTCTTCATAAGGGAAATTCACTCCTGAAAGAGTTATTGTGGGGCAAAGGTATCTCCACTAAAATTTTCTCACTCATCGTTGTTTTCACAACAAGCCGAATTGTTCATAATTCAATTGCCACAGGGACATAAAGTGAGGTTGAGCCTTCTGAATGGGGCACAGACAGCACAACAAATGCCACATGTCAACTATATATATACTATATATATATATATATATATATAGAGAGAGAGAGAGAGAGAGAGAGAGAGAGAGAATGAGAGAGAGGCTGGAATTACACTTTAACCTATTTCGACTTACATACAAATTCAGCTTACAGAACCTATCTTGTTCGTAACTTGAGGACTGCCAGTTTTTCCCCCATTCATGTACAAAGTAAGGGGTGAAACATGTAAATGTGTTAAAATAAGTGCACCTCTAATCAAAATTAACTACTTTTTGTTTGCTTAGGACCACATACTAAACTACGGTTAAATTAAATTGGGAACAAAAAATTCTGCACTCCTTGCAAGATACATTGATGGAGTTGAGGGTAGGCAACAAAACACACACCTTGTTTCGGCTAAAATCTAAACTATAATTCAAGTGTAGTGTCTAAATGTGGCCAATGCTAACTCTACAGTCATGCTCTTGAATTTTTGTACGTAACTCCTGCTGCTGTTGGGAAATAAAGAAACATGAAACAGACAATAGGGTGTCCATAACAGCAGGGCATATTTACCATTAAAGAGACCAGGATGGATATTAGTAATGCACGCTGTGTTCTAGCCTGATAGAAATCTAAGCAAGCAACAACTCATCTGTTAATTTCTGGAAACATGACAGCATATTTCACTTCAAGAATGTGCAAATATTTGTACGTGGTAAACAAAATTTTTCTCCTTGGAAACACTCTCATTCTCCTCGCCATTTCCTTCAGTGCTCATATTACCTCTTCACATCTGCACCTCTTCCTCCATGGGTACTCAAACACCAGCATGTCAATCACTTTCAGCCCCATTTGCACCCCTTTCCCTTGAAAGCATCATGACAACCTCTGGCTGACCAAAGGAGCAGGTATGAAAAAGGAAGTGTGTGTGTGTGTGTGTGTGTGTGTGGGAGGGGGTACGTACCAGCTGACCAGTGAAGTGCTGTCCTTCCTGTAACACCTGAATATGCTCTTGCATGTCCCGTAGCCGAGTGAGGAGCTCCTCTCGGTTGTGGTTCACTTCCCGCAACTCCCGTGCCAGGGTCTCTGACTCCTCTTGGATCTGCAGGGCATCACGAGACTGTGGAGCTGGCAGGTTGTCCTCAGGAGGTGTCAGGGACAGCCCTGCCTTCCGCACCTCCTGGGCCAAGAAAGCTGGAGAAAGAGAGGCGGGTCAGGAGGAGCACCAGAACCTGAGGTTTCTTTTCAGGTCCATGGAAAATCAGGCTCGGACACATTGAGATCCACAACATAAAATACCAGATAATGCACGAGGCTAAGGTTGGGGCACTTGTATCCCTCCAAGTACTATGGAGCCACCAATAGTGTAGTGGGTTAAACTGCTGAGCTGCTGAACTTGTTGACCGAAAGGTCACAGGTTCAAATCTGGGGAGCTACATGAGCTCCTGCTGTTAGCCCCAGCTTCTGCCAACCTAGCAGTTCAAAAACATGCAAATGTGAGTAGATCAATAGGTACCTCTCCGGTGGAAGGTAATGGCACTCCATACAGTCATGACCTTGGAGGTGTCTATGGACATCGGCTCTTCAGCTTAGAAATGGAGATGAGCACCAACCCCCAGAGTCGGATACAACTGAACTTAATGTCAGGCAAAAACCTTTACGTAACTTTACCTATTATTATTATTATTATTATTATTATTATTATTATTATTATTATACTACATTTATACCCCACCCTTCTCACCCCAGTGGGGGACTCAGGGTGGCTTACAATCCATGGCATACAATGCCGCATTACACATATAATAATAAACATAATTATGAATTTAAACAATTAACATATCACTAAGTTCTTGTGGGTTTTTTCGGGCTATATGGCCATGTTCTAGAGGCATTTCTCCTGACGTTTCGCCTGCATCTATGGCAAGCATCCTCAGAGGTGAGGTCAGGACTAAGGACTCATAGCTGGGAGAATATCTTTGGCTGGTCAGCACTCAAGGGCCCGAGGTACAGGGATTTAAATAATAATGATGTGTGCAGTTACATTTATGCTTATTTATATGATTCATGTAATTGTGTTTTATGCAATGTGTTGATTTATTGTTTATATGTCGGATTGGGGGGGATGATGCCGTGTCTGTATTATGTACTTTTGTTTTTTCCATTTTGTTAGCCGCTTTGAGTCCCTTCCATGGGAGAAAAGCGAGAGAAAAGCAAATAAATAAATAAACAAACAATAAAGGTCTATCAGAAGTATGACTAGAATAATTCTTACTTATGGAGTCTTGTGAAAGTAAGGAATTTTCTAAAAGTACAAGACACTAACATTTTGGAAATTACATGATTATGAAATCCTTCCTGTACAGAAGAATTAATGAAGAATCACTATTTTTGTACTGCTTGCAACCCTGTCCAGAAACCTCAACAGAATCCAGAAATGTACTCTTAATAAGAAAGTGAATTGCTGTAGTATATTTTACCATACTCTATAATGTGTTATAGAACACTTTCATAAAATGAAAGCCTTCCATTACTGTTTTTCAATAGAAAATTGTTCCTATTTTAAAATGGATTGCTTCCCCAAAATTACAATAGTAGTGACAAGTAAAACATTTTGAGCTAGCCATGCATCATATAAAATAACATAGCATGCTTTTTTAAAAGCCTTGATAACACTATGTAACAAAATTTTGAAAAATTATGTTTCTGGTTTGAAAGTGTTATTTCCAATTTAATTTTGCAGTACTTACTTTGAAAGTAGTTCCTACACTCCATAAACTTCATTATTGTGGCTGCCACAAACTATGCTGAACTGCTTGAGGCTCTATGGGGTATTTATTGGAAAAACTATAGCAAAATGTGCTGCAGGATGTCCTTCAAAAACAAAGTTTTTGCTGTTCAATAAACGTTTCCCATGTTTTTATGATAGAACCAATTAGGAAGTGATATGTATAACCCAGGAACAAAAATTATGTTAGATAGTGTAATTAAATATACACAATACAGTACATTTTAATATATAATTTCATCAATTTAGGGTATTAGGATTCTTTTCCTCACAAAATGCCTTTCAGATCACTGACATTACTGTGATCTCATGAGAAGAAAAGAAGAAACAAGAAATTGCAACAGGCAGTGGGATTCCAGGAAGCATATATTATAGCAACCGGTAACCTAGACGGCTAACATACTGGTTGCCAAACCACATTCCTATTCATGAAGGTTTGACTTTTGAACAAGCCACAAAAAGCAAGTTGTGTGAGAAAGCATACCTACCACTAGTCAGAAACAGGAAATTACATTAAGACCGATAAGGCATGATGTTGTTCATAACAAAGAAGACTCATGACTTTGCTAATTCAATTTTGTTTCTGGAGGAGGGCCTGGCACCAAGTTTCAAAATGCCATGTTCTAGAAGCTTTGTCCAACCTTCTGATTGCTTTTGGATGATCCAGGAAGCTTATATCAACGAGCCTGGCCTGTTGTTTGGAAAGGCTTCATTATCATATCTACTCCAGAAGACACAATTTTTAGATCACCATAAGTTACAGACAGACTGAAACAGCTCTCTTCATCACAGAAGTCACTTACTGAAGGTTTTTTCCATGTCTTCACATCGTCGCACCTCACCCACATAACGTCGCTGGAAGGCATTAACATGGGGGTTCAACTGAAAATAAAAGAAGCACATTGCTAGTGAAAAACCTACTTAGGACAGAGCATAGAAGATTGCCCTGTTCGAAATAGCAACCTCTTCAAGACCCCATGCCTTGCATGAGTACTAGTGGATATACCACTAGGGAGAAGGTTGATTCAAATGAGTTTTTAACTCTCCCCAGGGAGATTCCTGATTTTCCCAAATGATAATGAATACCATTTTCAAAAAGGTTATGGAGATTTCCATTTCCCAAAAGTTTACGGCATCATTTTTCCAAAATGCCCGGGAAACAGTCAACCTGGATTTCCACTGTTTGCTCACCTATGCCCATTCTTCCTAAGAACTGCACAACTTCCTGACCCACTCTTCAGGGAAAAGACCCCACCAAAATGCTATTCTTTCCTTAAATTTCCCTATCTATTTAGCTGGGGCCTTAGTATACATTAAAAATCACTGTATCATAGTCAAATTTCTTCAGAACTGGGGTATGGGTATTTATCTCTCTGTATGCAGCCAAAATGTTCTTCATCCTTGAAAAAGACAATATTAGCCATTTTATCTCCCCCAGAATGCATCACTGTATAGTGCAAAGTACAAAATTTTGCTTACTTTCATGGTTATGATGGGAAAATATATTTAATGTTTGAAAGAGTGCTACAGGTAAACCACATACCAACTGCCTCTACATATCAAACCATGTACCCAATGTTTGAGGATACTGTTTATCTACAAATACTCCCACAAGAGCTAAACTATTCTTTTGGGGTCTTCCCACAGTGGATTCCTCAAACCCTTTTGCACTTACATCACGGAACTCCACAAGTCCCCGTTCGCCAAGTTCACTGACACAAGCATATGCAGAACTTGACTGCAAAAAGAGCTGGGCTAGGCAGACCTCTTCGCTGCGGAACATGGATCCCATGTTGCTAGATAGGACCAAAAGAGAAAATCATCATCATAATTATCATCATTATTATATTTATGTATATTCTGCTTTTTATCTCTTCATTGACACACAAGGCAGTTGGTGAGGCAGGGGAGGCTGACAGGAAATTAACATACACTAATCCCCTAATACCTTGGACAGCAAGAAGATCCAACCAGTCCATACTTCAAGAAATAAAGCCTGACTGCTCATTGGAGGGAAGAATAGTAGAGGCCAAGATGAAGTACTTTGGCCACATCATGAGAAGAAAGGAAAGCTTAGAGAAGACAATGATGCTGGGGAAATTGGAAGGAAAAAGGAAGAGGGGCCAACCAAGGGCAAGATAGATGGATGGCATCCTTGAAGTGACTGGATTGACCTTGAAGGAGCTGGGGGTGGTGACGGCCGACAGGGAGCTTTGGTGTGGGCTGGTCCATGAAGTCACGAAGAGTCGGAAACGACTGAACGAATGAACAACAACAATCCCCTAGTAGGCCAGCAACAATTTACATCTGCAAGAGTCTGAGGACTGTTGCTGAGGTTTGAGTTTGGATTACAATTCTAAAGACCAGGGTTTGAACCTCTGCTTGGCCACAGAAACGCACTTGGTGTCCCTGGGGAAGTCATACTCTCTCAGTCTCACAGCAAAGGCAAACCTCCTCTGAACAAATATTGCAAAGAAAAAACCTTTACAATGCCACCTTGATTTGGATATGACTTGAACGCACATAACAACTTACTATGATAACACAGGAGGGCCGCAATGGGAACTGGAACTGGCAAGGGAAAGTGAGTGGCAACAAAGCGGTAGCAGGGACAGACTATTAGGAGAAAATCACAAGGGTGGCTTCTGTATTCAGTCCTATCCAGAATTTGGAAACGTGACTTCTGGACTAAAATTCTTCAAATCTGCCACTGCTGGCGGATAGAGCTTTTTTTTTTTCATGTCAGGAGCAACTTGAGAAACTGCAAGTCACTTCTGGTGTGAGAGAATTGGCCGTCTGCAAGGATGTTACCCAAGGGACGCCCACATGTTTTACTATCCTGTGGGAGGTTTCTCTCATATCCCTGCATGGGAAGCTGGAGCTTACAGACGGGAGCTCACCCCACTCCCCGGATTGGAACCACCAACCTTTCAGTCAGCAGTCCTGCTAGAACAAAGGTTTAACCCCTTGCACCATCGGGGGCAATGGAGGTTGGAGGTAGTAATCCAAAAAGCAACATTTAGATGCTCTGGTCTTGCCAATTTGGAAAGTTCATTGCCTGGGAAATAATGAGTTAGACATCTCACCAAAAGGAAAGCTCCCCAAACCCTGACATAAAGGTTATGAAAACTGATATGCAGCGGCTGCACTAGTCTATTGAGTTTGGCCAAGAACTTACCTCCAAGTGCTCCACAAAGGACAAGAAGCTGAAAGGGGGAGTTATCCTGGGGCTGCTGTCTCTTCCAAGCTCCTGGACTTTGCTGCAATTGACTCCCAAGCTTTGGCTACTGACTCACGTGGGTATTTTTCCCCTTCTCAGTTCTGGGGATTGCGACAGAGTTTCCAAGCCAAGCCAGGACCATCCGTTTCACAATGTGTGCCTGAGTCAGGACCCAGTGCTGTTCATCATGGGATTAAAAATGTCCTGAGACGACAAATCTGGGACCGAAGTTGGAGAAAACAGCAAAGGGATCCTTGCGAGTATTAGCTTGACATGCCAGATGTTGTCCTTTTGTGGCGGGGAGAGAAAGAGGAACAGATAGAAGCAAGATTCAACTATTAGTCAATTACTCAAATTGTCATTCCCAACAACCTCCCTCTGCACTATGAGAAGTGAAACAGTTGCAACCACAGTTCGAAACAATTTTCGACTACTGCTCTCAGAATTTCCCAGCTTGCATGGCCAGTGACCACACCGCTTGGGGATTACAAGCTTTGGTGGCAACTCATTGGCACACCACGTACTATGGGCATAAAGTCATGACAACAACAAATGCTAACCCAAGACATTTTGTTGCCTGAGGCTACCATCAAATGACACCTCTCATTCTCTCAAGCCAAAGCTCTTTTGTCAGCCATCAATCAATCAAATCATTTATTTCAGTCATAGACCAACACAGGAAAGGTCAGCCATGCTATTTTGGCACAACAGGCAGTCCCAGAGTCACTGCTTCCTGTTCCTGACAGTAAAAATCCAATATTAAAAAATAATTTGCTTTCCTTGAATGACACCCCAAATCTACTGCCTGGGGTAATAAAGAATGCCCTACTTATAGTTGAATTACTAGACTTGGGAAACCACAGTGTCTTTGCAATTGCCGCAGGAACCACACACAGAACAAGTATCTAGACCAGTCAGTCATTGCTGAGAGATTAGTCTTAATACAATTGATATCCCAGATGATAACAGCTCCTCAGGCCACTTCCTGTGATAGAAACTGTACTTTTAAAAGGGCACTTTGCAACCTTATCAAATGAAACTGGGCATACTTGGCACTCCTGACCCCAAAATGATTCTGAGTAGGATTCTGCTGAATTGAATATCCCTATTTCATTCAGAAGAGGGTATTTGTTACAGTCTGATCAATGCTCAGGTGCCAAAACTGCAACTTCTCCCAACCCAATTTTGTCTTCTAAGAAATGAACACGCCCGAGTGGAGCAAACTCTGCCTTGCTTGCCTCCAAGATCTCTAGATGACAGAAAGCCTTTCCCCAAAGCAGAGGAAGGGATTCCTCACAGTGGATTATGCATTGCAAGAGGTCTTATATTTCTTCTTCTAAGCTCTAGGATTTCACATTGCTTTGAAAAAGAAAAAGGCAACCCTGTGAGACAATGTCAAGAATTTTCCCTATTGTCTTTATTTTTTAATTTTAAATTATGCACACTTAAAATTAATAAACACTAATAAAATATTTTTTAATGGTGTGTCTACCTATGAAGGCTAAACTGTGGAATGATCTGTCGGAAGAGATCCGACCGCTAAATGAGAATGTCAGAATTCAAGACACAACTGAAGATCTGTCTCTTCCGGCAAGCACACCCAGTTAATTTTGAATTGTGATTTTGAAATTTGTATTCTCTTAGTATTATATTCTAATCTTTGTACTATGTATTTTGATATATGGGTTTGGGCTATGTTGTTCCCCTCATGTCGAGCCAAGAGGAGACATAGATAACAAATACATTTTAAATAATAATAATAATAATAATAATAATGGGTTGCTCTGAGTTTTGTGGGCTGTATGAACATGTTCCAGAAGCATTCTCCCCTGATGTTTCACCCACATCTATGGCAATGGCTGGAATAACTGGAATGATTGTTGGAAACTAGGCAAGTGAGGTTTGCGTATCTGTGGAATGTCCAGTGTGGGAGAAAAGCTCTTGTCTGCTTGAGGCAAGTATGAATGTTACAGTTGGACACCTTGATTAGCCTTGAATGGTATTGCAGCTTCAAAGCGTGGGTGCTTCCTGCCTGGGGGAAGAGGTGTTAGCTTGCTCTGATTGTTTCTTGTCTGGAATTCCCCCTTTTTTTAGTGTTCCTCTTTATTAACTGTCCTGATTTTAGAGTTTTTAAAAAACTGGTAGCCAGATTTTGTTCATTTTCATGGTTTCCTCCTTTCTGTTGAAAATGTCCACATGCTTGGAAACAGCCAAGCTTTAAAGGTGCAAGGCCATTCAGTGCTAACCAAGGTGGTCAACTGAAACATTCACACTTGCCTCAAGCAGACAAGAGTTCCTTCTCCCACCCTGGACATTACACAGATATATAAACCTTACAACCTCTGAGGATGCCTGCCATAGATGTGGGCAAAACGTCAGGAGAGAATGCTTCTGGAACATGGCCATACATCCTGGAAAACTCACAACCCAGTGAGTCTGGCCATGAAAGCCTTCGACCACACAATTATTATTATTATTATTATTATTATTATTATTATTATTATTATTATTATTATTATCATCACCATCATCATCTTAGTAACTATCCTGTGCTTAGATCTAATTGTAGCCCATCCCCCAATCTGCAATAAGACTTCTTCTTACCTGCCACGAGAAACTGCAGGTGTGTATTAGTCAAACATGGCAAAAAGCCATGAAGGGTATGAATGGAAAGGGGGGGGGGGATCAATTCACAATTGTCTGCTAGGGAAAGCTCTTCGACATGCAGCAACATGAATGCTGACATCAATGCAGCTACAAGTTAAACAGATTGGAGGGGCATTCCTGGATCTAGACTAGGCTGAGCTAGGCTGTGCCATGCTTCAACTACAATCATATTTCCCCTGAAAAACTTTTTGAAGTAGCAAGTATGTTTGTAGCACTCTTAAAATGAAGTCGGCAGGGGCTCCACAGACTTTTTCTTAACATCTTCAAAGCTTGGGATGTTTAAGAACGAAGCCAAAAAACAGAAACAAGTCTCAGGTGTGGGTAAACAGCACCCATTCAGTGTTTGTCAAGCTGTAGCTGCCATGAGCCTTCTTCAGTAGGACAGTAACTTGATTTATCCCTTGGTCTCTCCAGAAATCTCAATATACATCAGGCTTGAGCAAACTTTGGCCCTCCAAGTGTTTTGGACTTCAACTCCCACAATTCCTCACAGCCTCAGGCCCTTTCCTTTTCCCCCTCAGCCGCTTAAACGGCTGAGGGGGAAAAGGAAGGGGCCTGAGGCTGTGAGGAATTGTGGGAGTTGAAGTCTAAAACACCAGGAGGGTCAAAGTTTGCCCATGCCTGATCTAGATCCTCCAGCAAGACTGGAGAAAAGTGATCATAGAGCTTCCTAGAGAGAGCATGTTTAATGAAATCCGCAAATAATCAAATCCACAGAAGTAAAACCTGCAAATGTGGAGGGATGACTGTATATAATTAACTCTCAGTTAACTGGAACTCTCAAGGAGCCGGGAAAAAGCTTATTGACTGCCATTTAACTAAAATGGAATACTGCATTCACAAAACTGCACTACGTTAAGTTGTGTTTGTCTTTATTTACTTTTTAGTGTTGCATTTTAACATTAATATCAAGTCAGTATGGATTTTATGGTAGGGTATAATATGGGGTATAGGATTCATTTCGCCTATTTCAATAATAATAATAATACTTTATTTATTTATTTATTTATTATTTACGTCACTTTTATCCCGCCCATATCAGCCCAAAGGCGACTCAGGGCAGTGTACAAATTGACACAATTAGATGCCATATAAAATACATACATCGGTTAAAAGCAAAAAAAATCACATTAAAATAACAATAAAAATTATAAAAATGATGTCTTCTTGTTCAAATCCTCAACCATTCCATCGTCTTAGCCGTTCCTAGTTCATATTCCAATATGAGTTTATCTGGTCATGTTGAAGTTCCAAACACTTGCTCAAAGAACCAGGTTTTCACTCTTTTTCAAAAGGTCATTTTTTTGAAAGTTTATTTGTATTCCGTGCTATCTCCCTTATATGCAGATTCCAGCTTATACAGACACAAGGCCTCGAGGATTCAATGCCTTGAAATAATTAAACACTGATACACATCTCCAGCCCTGGGGGGGGGTGCTCATTTCCATTTCGAAGCCGAAGAGCCAGCGTTGTCCGTAGACACCTTCTAGGTTATGTGGCTGGCATGACTGTATGGGGGGGCGTTTACCTTCCGGACACAGTCGAACCTACTGATCTACTCGCATTTGCATGTTTTCAAACTGCAAAGTTGGCAGGAGCTGGGGCTAACAGTGGGAGCTCACCCCCATCCTGTGAATTCAAACCGCCAATCTTTCAATCAGCAAGTTCAGCACCTCAACAGTTTAACCCAATGCATCACTGTGGCCCCAAATTATAACTCTCAAGCAACCAGAAACTACATTTACATGGCAGCTACCATCCCCGTAGTAAAGGTAAAGATTGTCCCCTGACATTAAAGTCCAATCATCTCCATTTCTAAGCTGAAGAGCCTGCGTGGTCCATAGACACCTCCAAGGTCATGTGGCCAGCATGACTGCATGGAGTGCCATAGGTGCCCATTGACTGAGCTTCTACTTTGTTATGTTATATTATGGGTATTTCTTTTCTATTTTATTATACATACACGCTATAAACTATAAACACTATAAAGCTATCACATATTAAAAGCAGAGACAGGCAGATACATATGTATATTAGGCTGCAGAAAAGTGAAAGAAGCTCTGCAAAGGGAGTGCCATAACACACCCTTTGCACTGGGGAAAAAAACTATTCTTAAGGAAAGATACCACTTTGCCTTCTCCTTATAGAGACATGCAGCATTTCTTGCGGCATCTGTGGAAAAACAAGCCTTGCTCTCTGACCTCTCAGGGCTGCCTTTGTAAACCCAGCTGACTCTGAAATCTTATCATTTCCAGGTTCCAAAATCCACAATGAAGAGATGGAGCGCCTGTGTAAACTCCTCCAAAGAGGGATCTCTAATCTCTTTATTGACATGGAAAAGGGGGGGATAACCTATCCCTCCCCCAGAATTCATCTACACTAGATAATGAGTGCAGTTTGACAACACTTTTTATTTAATTGCATGAATTAAATGCTATAGAATTATGGGAGTTGTAGTTTCACGAGAGCACTGATGCACATCCCAAGGATTCCCTAAACTGTATTCATTCCACTATGTGGATCAGGCATGGGCAAGCTTGGGACCTCCAGGTGTTTTGGACTCCAACTCCCACCATTCCTAACAGCCTACCAGCTGTTAGGAATGGTGGGAGTTGGGGACCAAAACACCTGGAGGGCCAAAGTTTGCCAATACCTGATCTACACAGTGGAATGAAGTTTGCCCATCCTGGTGTAGATGCACCACCCAGCCTGCAAGGCCATCTCTCCCAGCGCCTTAAAGCCACATCTCGAGTGAGGCCATGGCAAAGGCAAGATGGAGACGCGCGTGCTCTTTCCAGACGTGCAAAAAGACACGCAAATGAAAAGTCCATTCAGGGGAAGAGGGAGATCAGGAGCAAAATGATTCCTGAAAAGGCAGGTCCCAACCCTCCACACTGCCTCTAGAACAGGCCTGAGCAAACTTGGGCCCTCCAGGTGTTTTGGACTTCAACTCCCACAATACCGGCTGTTAGGAATTGTGGGAGTTGAAGTCCAAAACACCTGGAGGGCCCAAGTGTGCCCAGGCCTGCTCTGGAGGCACAGACACAACATTTGCATCAGTCTCAAGAAGCAACCCCGTTCCCAACCCGCAATCACTGCTACACTCTGGGATGAATGCGGTTTGGCCCCACTTTAACTGAATGCAATAGAAGAATGGGATAGTGTGGGGAAACAGGGAAACTGCAACTCCCATGATCCCATAAGCATAGTAGTGATAAAGCGGGGCCAAACCGCGTTCATTCCACAGTGCAGAGGCGCCCTGGGCTCCATTAGGAAACTGACCGCAGCAAGGAAGGATAAAGGGGCCAAAAAGAGAAGAGAGGACTGCAGGAAGGAAGGAAGGAAGGAAAGAGAGAAAAGACAAGGCGCGCGCCTGGATGGAAGAGGCTCGAGCCTGGATGGAAGCGGCGCGCGCCCCGATGAAAGCGGAAAGAGGACGCGGCCCAGGCTTGGAGCAGAAGAGCAGCTCCGGAAAGGAGGGAGGCCGAGAGGGAAGTGGGCGCAGAAGAGAGGCCAGGCATACCTCCTTCCCCGCGATGCAGCCGGAGAGGAAGCAAGAGGAGCAGCAGCAGCGAGCTCCAGCGCCGGGCCGAGGCGTCTTCCTGCTCTCTGCCAGGAAGGAGGCCGGGCCTCCCGCCCCTCTGGACTTCCCCGCTCGCTCGCTCACTCGCCCGCCGCTGGCACTTCCTGCCCCCCATCGAGGCCACGGGGCCAGGCAGCCGCAATGGAGAACCAACACCGCTTGGACTCCCGTGGCTCAAGGCTGTGAGGTCCTCGCCAAGCTGCAAGCCTCCCAGAATCCCCTAGCATTGAGCCATGGCAGTTAAAGTAGTGCCAAGCTGCCTTTCTATATTCTTCAGTGTAGATCAGGCATAGGCAAACTTCAGCCTTCCAGGTGTTTTGGACTTCAGCTCCCACCATTCCTAACAGCCGGTACGCTGTTACTTTAGAATCAGGAAAGCAGATAAAGAGGAACACTCAAGCAACTCAAACAGGAAACACCAACAACAACAACAACGATTGGTTAGACCACACCTGGAATATTGTGTCAAATTCTGGGCACCACAATTGAAGAGAGATGTTGACAAGCTGGAATGTTTCCACAGGAGGGCGACTAAAATGATCAAGGGTCTGGAGAAGAAGCCCTATGAGGAGCGGCTTAAGGAGCTGGGCATGTTTAGCCTGAAGAAGAGAAGGCTGAGAGGAGATATGATAGCCATGTATAAATATGTGAGAGGAAGCCACAGGGAGGAGGGAGCAAGCTTGTTTTCTGCTTCCCTGGAGACTAGGACGCGGAACAATGGCTTCAAACTACAAGAGAGGAGATTCCATTTGAACATGAGGAAGAACTTCCTGACTGTGAGAGCCGTTCAGCAGTGGAACTCTCTGCCCCGGAGTGTGGTGGAGGCTCCTTCTTTGGAAGCTTTTAAACAGAGGCTGGATGGCCATCTGTCAGGGGTGATTTGAATGCAATATTCCTGCTTTTTGGCAGGGGATTGGACTGGATGGCCCATGAGGTCTCTTCCAACTCTTTGATTCTATAATAATAATAATAAACTTTATTTGTACCCTGCTACCATCTCCCCAAGGGACTCGGTGCGGCTTACATGAGGCCAAGCCCGCAGTACATCAATAAAACGAAGGCAATAACAAAATAATCAATACAAAACAGTAAAATAAATCTCAAAACAAAAATAAACAATAAAACAATTCTTTTTTCCCACTCCAGACATTCCACACGTATATAAACCTCATTTTCCTAGTTTTCAACAGACCTCGCAACCGGGTTGTTGTGGGTTTTTGGGGCTGTATGGCCATATTCCAGAAGCATTCTCTCCTGACGTTTCGCCTGCATCTATGGCATCCGGTTGTGAGGTCTTTCTCCCACCCTGAACATTATTTATTTATTTACAACATTTATATGCCGCCCTTCTCACCCTGAAGGGGACTCAGAGCGGCTTTCAAGGGATATATTACATACAATATATTATATTATTAGCATAGTACAATATCAGCATTAAACATTGCTATATTGCAATGTTTATATATTAGGAAACGTCAGGAGAGAATGCTTCTGGAACATGGTCATACAGCCCCGAAAACTCACAACAACCCAGTTACGAGGTCTGTTGGAAACTAGGAAAATACATGTAATATTACTAATAATATTATGATATAGTGGTATGGTGCAATATAGCAATATATTATTCCACAGATATATATAAGCGAGAGGCTGGATGGCCATCTGTCAGGGGTGATTTGAATGCAATATTCCTGCTTCTTGGCAGGGGGTTGGACTGGATGGCCCATGAGGTCTCTTCCAACTCTGTGATTCTATGATTCTATAAATCCCATTTTCCTAGTTTCCCACAGACCACACCATCTCTGAGGATGCCTGCCATATATGCGGGCAAAACATCAGGAGAGAATGCTTCTGGAACATGGTCATACAGCCCCAAAAACTCACAACTCAGTTGTGATGTCTGTTGGAAACTAGGAAAATTGGGTTTATATATCAATGTCCAGAGTGGGAGAAAGAACTTGTCTGTTTGAGGTAGGTGTGAATGTTGCAATTGGTCATCTTGATTAGCATTTGATGGCTTGCAGTTTCAAGGTCTTGCTTCATACTGCCTGGGGAAATCCTTTGTTGGGAGGCATTAGCTGGTCCTGATTGTTTCCTGTCAGGAATTCTCTTGTTTTCTGAATATTGTTCTTACGTTGAATCTGATAGCATTACTCACTGCTTCCAGTCCCTTTAATAACACATTTCCCACTGATGCTACTTGGGTTTAGGATTTTGGATCCCTCTCATCTGCTCAGTTCTGTAACTATCTCTTCTGGGAGAAACCACCTTTTTAATACAACAGACAACTGCCAATGAAGTCCCACACTTCACTAAAGTGCGGAGAGCAGGAAATAAAAGTGGAAAAGCCAAGTTATGTGCAGGAAGGTGTAATTCAAAACCATAATAATATACTTTGTACCACTGGGCCATGGTGGTGCAGCAGGTTAAACCACTAAGCTGCAGAACTTGCTGATCGGAAAGTCACCGGTTCAAATCCGTGGATAGGGTGAGCTCCCGTTGTTAGCCCCAGCTTCTGCCAACCTAGCAGTTCAAAAACATGCGAACATGAGATCAATAGGTACCACTCCGGCGGGAAGGTAACAGCACTCCTGGCCACATAACCTAGATGCCAGCTCTTTGGCTTAGGAATGGAAATGAGCACCACCTCTCAGAGTTGGACACAACTAGACTCAATGTCAAGGGGAAACCTTTATCTACCATTGGAAAGATATCATAAAGTCCAAAAGGCCAGCTCCATAGCAAATGGGCAGTGCCAATTAATCAGAAGAGAAAGAGCTTCTTGCCTTCATTCCTTTCTTCTCATCTTTCATATAGGATCATTTCATACCTAGAAAAAAACATGTTGTTCATCTGGACTTCATTCTGAATATGACTTAGAGATACTAAATACAGTAATTTTAATTTGAAAAGTTAAATGTTTGGAAATTGCCAGTTGGCTTTGAGACTTGACTCAGTATCAACCGCCTGCTGTGTAAGTTTCATTTTCCATCCCAAAGTATCACACACAGCATTACTTCCTATTTTCCTACACAGTATTTTTAGTCAAACTGACAATACTGACTCATTCTGACTCAAATGTGAGTAGGAAAGGGAAGATATGGTTAATGACAGTGCCTACTTACAAGACTTCCCGTATTTTTGGAGGAGCATAATCTTAAAGGCCCATTTGCCTTTTCTCTCAAGAGGAAGGCAGCAGCTAAGGCTCCATCTACATTGCCATATAATGCCGTTTCATAATGCAGTTTAACTGCATTGAACTGCATTATATGGGCCTACACTGTCAGTCCTCAATACAGCTAAAATGCATTATATGGCAGTGTAGACAGTCTATTTCTCATGCACTCACTGCCTTCTCCTTGCTTTTCAGTTTTCTCCCTCACCCTTGAGCAAGTGCTTCACTTACGCAAAGTGTCCTTCTGCAAACCAGGCAAGGTGTACATAGTAAGTAAAGAAAGCAAACAAAGAAAGAATCATAAGGTTTTGCAAATTACCAGATTACTCGCTAAAGAATTATGCAGGCTAGACGTGACATGCCATAAAACCTTCATGCAGCCAAACAGACACAGTCCCTCCTAGCTTGTCCATCATCATAAAATAATAGAATCACAGAGTTGGAAGATATCTCCTGGATCATCCAGTCCAACTCCCTGCCAAGAAGCAGGAAAATTGCATTTTAAAAAACCCTGACACATGGCCTGTTTAAAACCCTTCGAAGGAGCCTCCACCACAGTCCTAGGAAGAGAGTTCCACTGCTGAACAGCTCTCACAGTCAGGAAGTTCTTCCTAGTATTCAGGTGGAATCTCCTTTTCTGTAGTTTGAGGCCATTGTTCTGTGTCCTAGTCTCCAGGGCAGCAGAAAACAAGCTTGCTTCCTAGTGCTCTCGAAAGGAATCTCTATTGTAAACATACCTTAATTAGACTTTTAGAACTTATTGAGAGATAACATTCAGAATACAGTGACACATGCAAATCCTTGTTCTTTCATTCTTTGAATCATAAAAGCTTTATTCTGACCCTCTCCTTATCTGAAACATATATTTTGTTTCCTAAGTGCAGAAATTTTTTAAAAATGTGTTGAAAGAAGGCACATATAAGTGCTATAGCGGTGCAGAATGAACGAATCCTAAATTTCTATAGTCAAGAAGAGCTATTTGACAGGAGAATCAGTACACTGGAAGAAAGCTGGCCCTCACTGGTTCAAGATACAGCACAGTTACTCTGACCCTCTTCAACAGCAGACCAAATCAACACCTCACTTTTTTTAAACTATGGAGACCTTTATCTGTTAAAGCTTAAACCAGGGGTCCTCAAACTAAGGCCTGGGGGCTGAATACGGCCCTCCAAGGTCATTTGCCCGGCCCACAATCAGGGTCAATCTAAGTCTGAAACGACTTGAAAGCACACAACAACAACAAGAACAAGAAGAATCCTATCTCATCAGCAAAAAACAGGCCAACACTTCCCATTGCAATACTAATAAGTTTATATTTGTTAAAATTGTTCTTCATTTTAATTATTGATTGTTTTTAAGGGGGTTTTTTTGCACTACAAATAAGATATGTGCAGTGTGCATAAGAATTCATGCATTTTTTTTTCAAATTATAATCTGGCCCTCCAACAGTTTGAGGGACTGTGACCTGGCCCTCTGTTTAAAAAGTTTGAGGACCCCTGGCTTAAACTATCAGAATTGAGAAAAATGTAATCTGTCGCCCAAAAAACCTACTGTACAGTAAAACTCCATTGTGTCATACACTAGCATGAATAAAGAGAAATCCCACCCTCTAACCCAGACATGGGCAAACTTCAATCCCTCCAAGTGTTTTGGACTTCAACTCCCAAAATTCCTAACAATCTACCAGCTGTTAGGAATTATGGGAGTGGAAGGCCAAAACACCTGGGGGGACGAAGTTTGCCCATGTCTGCTCTATCCAAACACCTGGATTTTGTCCTATCAAAAATTGAGTGTCCAAAGAGTTTAGGATAAGAGGCTGTACTGATTTTTCAAAAGACCAAATGCTTATGCATTAAGTTCCTTCTTTATCCACTCAAGTTTATCTTACACAAACACACTTCTGAAAAACTTTCATTTCAGAGTACACAAGAGTCTTATCTTGGTTCTAAACGATGCTTATCTTCAAGCTGATTCTATTCAAAGGTGACTTAACATTTAGGGGGGAAAGCATGTGGCATACCCTTCCCACAGTTGTAGGATGGTAATGGAGAAGAGTGTTACATCTCTGAACGCCTATATCAACAACAAGCTGTATAAAGAAGTTCATAGTATGTGTAGAAAGTCCAAGTTTATCCGGGGTATTTCTTTACCTGCATCATAGTTCTGATTCAACAGAAATACTCCTGGTACTAATAACATCTGTTGAATGGAAAGACTAAAGTTTCTCTGAACCTGAACCGACTCTGCAACAGAAGCCAGCAAAGGGGATATTAGTTCCACAAGGGTGCCTTCAAACAAAAAAAGCCTCTTCAACACAGAGAGTATAGAAGAGCATGTGTCCCCATAGTTCCCTTTAACTACCACCTTTTCCTTTTGCCATACTTTAATTTTGCCCTTCATACAACAATCAGAAGCCTTGTCCTAAAAAGAAAATACAGGTGATTTTCCTGTCTCCACCCCTATAAGTATAAGTTAAGTATTCCTTCCACCTCTAGCAAAGCTCTACTTTTCCTTCCACCTCTAGCAAAGCTCTACTTTTCCTTCCACCCCTAGTAAAGCTCTACTTTTCATACCTAATTGAATTGAAGGTGAGGAGGCCCTCTTGCTCCCACCACCATCACAAGCACGGCTGGTGGAGATGAGGGAGAGGGCCTTCTTGGTGGTGACCTCACAACTTTGGAACACCCTCCTCAGGGAAATTAGGCAAGTCCTCACACTGTCCTCTTTTTGCAGGGATCTGAAAACCTGGATGTTTTGGCAAGCATTTCAGAATAACTAGTCCCTAGGTTACCAGATAATGCTATGTTCTCTGCACTTCATCCAATTCCCCGGCCTGTGGTACACTGCTTTGCACTATCTGATACCTGGCCCTTTTACAGCCTGGTCACACCCATTTTAGTAATTCTGGTTATTGTCTTCTGTCTAGCATTGCTTTGATGGAGTTCAATGCTGCTGTTTTATACTCTTTGTTTTATTTAATTGTGTTTTTATTTTGGATTGTTACATTTTATTATGTTCTTAATTGTGGTTTTGTTTAATGGATTGTTTCGCTTTTATGTCTTGTGGACATTCTGTCCCATATGTAAGTCACCTCAAGTCCCTTCAAGGAGATGGTGGCGGGGTATAAGAATAAAGTTACATTACATTACATAAGCATGGCTGCATTCTAAAATATCCCCAATAAAGTTTTATCTACTATTTCTCCTTTAAAACTCAGCAAAACAAACAATGGGTGCGTGTCCTTTATTGCAGGTTTGGATTCTGATGAACTGGCTGGTTAGGATGTGTGAAGGTTGAAGTAAGTGCTCCATCATCGATACAAATAGTCAGCTTGGATATTAGCAGCAATCTCAGCTTCCCACTTGTCACCATTGTTGAGCAACTTTTCCTTGTTGTAGAGAAGCTCTTCGTGTGTTTCAGTAGAGAACTCAAAGTTCGGACCCTGCAAAAAAAAAAACAGGGGAAAAGGGATGTTGTCAGATCAGACTGCATTTCCCATGAGAGTGTTGACTCTCGGTAGCTCCACCTTCCAGATGCGAATCCAGAGTGGGCAACTTCAAAATGGTAACCTCAACACATTCATTCCATCCTAATCACCTCCACGATGGCATCAACAGGGCAGGCCTCCTGACAGAATCCACAATAAATGCACTTGGTCATGTCTATGTCGTAGCGTGTAGTTCTGCGGCTGCCATCAGCACGGGGTTCTGCCTCAATTGTTATTGCCTGTGAGGAAGAAAGAGGCACAGCTCACTACCAGGGAGCATTCCACAGTAGTAATAATAATAAACTTTATTTTTAGACACCCCCTTTCTCCCCAGGGAACTCAGGGCAGTTTCCACTTACAGAGGCAAACATTCAATGCCTGGCATATATCAAAACATTACAGCAATAGAACATAATACAAAATAATAACAGCATTATACTAATCAAATAAAATTAAATATCAAAATAAAAACATAGAACAGCTAATCAATAAACAAATGCATTTAAAAGCATAGTGATCAATAAGACATCTAACATAGCACTATTAAAAATGGGTGAAACATTGACTGTTATAGTTGTTCTTAACTGTACCATAATGGCCACACAGTACAGCCTGCTTTCCAATGGCGTTGCTAAAGTGCCAGAAGACTGATCTCAAAGACCAGGAGAGGTGAGTGAATGGAAGACAGAAGGTAGAATTTAACCGTATTGATACTGTGGATGAGAAGGGACTGGCGGGAAGTCTCCAATGAAAGAACTCTGACAGAAAGGAGAAGTTGCTCTTTAGCAAGCACACAACCCCGCTGCACTGAAAGAGCACTGTTTCAAACATCCACAATGAACATTATTAAGGGGAACAAACATGGGATTGTGTCACTGAATTTAGCATTTAGCAGCAAGAAGCTTGTAGCAAATACAGGAGAAATAATTCACATATCAACCAGGGATACACATACTCTCTCAGCTTAGAAGGAGAGCATCACAGAAGTCACAGGGACTATGCACAAGAGCATTTGCAGGTCAGCAAAGTTTATGACTCCGTTAAGAATAACAGTGTGCCTCCCAGATGAATTGCAAGCTTCTAAATGCTTTCAAGACCCCACTGAGCTACTGAACTTGCTGACTGAAAGGTTGGTGGTTCGACTCTGGGGAGCAGCCCAGCTTCTGCCAACCTAGCAGTTCGAAAACATGCAAGTATGAGTAGATCAATAGGTACTGCTACTGAGGGAAGGTAATGGCACTCCATGCAGTCATGCTGGCCACATGACCTTGGAGGTGTTTACAGACAAAGCCAGCTCTTTGGCTTAGAAATGGAGATAAGCACCATCCCCCAAAGTCGGACACGACTAGACTTAATGTCAGGGGAAACATTTACATTCACCTTAAATGCTTTCAATTCCGAAATCCAGCTAGCATTCTGGAAACCCCATGACTAAAGGAAGACTGTAGTAGTTTGCCCATATTGTGAGAAATCATGACTCACTACAAAAGACAATTAAGCCTGGTGAGGGAGACAGCAATAGAAAAAGAGGAAGATGGACAAACTCAATCAAGAGATCTGAGAAGGACTGTTGAGGACAGGACTTGGAGGTTTCTCAGTCATGTGGCAGCCATAAGCCAAAGTAAGAAATTAATTTTAAATTTTGCACTGAATTCCTTTATTGTGTATAGACACCTCTAACAGATCACGGAAGGAGGAAGGGAACAACAAGGATCTCACCTGAGCAGGGCATACAGCTTCACAGAGCTTGCAAGCAATACACCTCTCCTCTCCTGATGGGTATCTGCGCAGGGCATGCTCCCCTCGGAAACGGGGGCTCAAGGGACCCTTCTCAAAGGGATAGTTGATAGTGGCAGGTTCCCTGAACAAGTAGCTCATGGTCATAGCCAAACCTGGGAGAGGAGGGGGGATGACACAGCAAAACAAAATATATTTATTGCAATATTCATTTCACCACAAAGCTCTGGGCAGACCAGTTACCTAGCTAGAATCCAAACAAAAATGCCGGAACTGAGAAGATTAAATATTTACAGCTGTTTCCAGGAGTTCTACAATTGGCTGCTTGCCTTTGTTCACCTTGGGTAAACTACAATCATTTCCAGGAGATATGCTCTGTCATAATCTGCACCCTTCCCACTCACTGTTGCTATTATTTTCCATGGATCAGTCTGCAAACACCAGAAAAACATCCGCTGCCCTCACATCATTTGTTTTCTTTTTTCTTTTTAAATTGAGTGACAATACATGAATTTCGCTAAGATAACATAGCATATTCTCATAGCTGCCAGTTCAGGACTTCTATTAGAAAATGGAAAAGGAGCACTGAGGATTATCACTATGGTGTTGAGTTGTATTTCCCCTGCAGCAGCAGCAGCACATAATACCAAAATAAACAATACCATGTCTGGCTTTGAAAGAATAGGACAAAATCCTAGAACGCATCTGCAATGGCAGTAGTACAACAGTAGTAACAAAGACCTCTGGTTAGTCTAGAGTTAAAAGTGATATATAAAACTATCTGGCAGCAACAGGAAGGGGCAGCAAGTTAATGAAGACTGCCTACATCATTACAGAGAATAGTAAGCTACCTATAGCATTATTTCTAAGGATATTCAATTACTGAGATGGAATTGGTACTGCAAAATTATTAGTTGCAGTCACTCATGACAAGGACACAGTCTCATTCTCAGTTCCTCCATGAGAGAACCTCTCGAGGGTGTGGGGACCGGAGGAGGTAGTCAGGCATTTCTGCATATTAGGTTCTTCCCTTTCATGTTCACTCAGTCGGTTTACTCAATCCCACAAGACAGACATTCCTCTTTTTATCCCGCAAGCACCTGCACCATTGTCCTCACCTCGGATAAGTTCTGTCCATAGGAGTGTCTGTGCAGCCTTATCAGTGATTGATTTAAAATCTGTTGGCTCCTCCTTTGCATTCACATATTCTGTTGGGCAAAAAGACAGATGCCTTGAGCTGTTGCTTCATTGAAGTCTCAAACACTTAAATGTACAACAGATGATGATAATAATAATTATGATAGTGTTTTTATTTTTTGCCCACCTCTCCTCATAGTTCAAACCAGGTTATAACATTATTAAACACACATTCACCTAAAAACATTCCTGAAAATATATATATTAAAACATATTCCCACAAAATACGTATTAAAATACACAAAACAAAGATTAAACATAAAATGCACATTTAAAATTTGTCATTAAAACTATCTGGGTAAGCTTGCTGAAAGAGATAGGTCTTCACTTGTGTCTTAAATTGTGACAACAGATCTAGCTATCGGATCTCTTCTGGCAGGTCGTTCCACAGTCTTGGGGTGGCTGATAAAAAGGTCCTCTGGGTGGTGGTTGCTTGCCGGGTTTTGACAGACTGGAGCAGATGTCCCCCGTAGGACCAGGGCCGTAGCTGGGGGGGGGGGGGGGGGGGGGGTAGTTAAAAGTTCAACCCTGCCCTGAAATGTGTCAGGTTAGAAAAGAAACCTTGTTTACTCATAAATTGGTTAACCAGTTAAAATTAATGACTAAACCAGATTTGGGGGGTGGGGTGTTAGAACCCTTAACACCCACCCCACCCCCTGGCTACGGCCCTGCATAGGACCTTAGTGTTCGGGGTGGATTGTACAGAAGAAAGTAGGTAACCTGGACCCAAACCATATAGGGCTTAAAAACCAAGATTTTGTACTTTGCCTGGAAACTGACTGGCAGCCAGTAGAGTGACTTTAGGACAGGTGTGTTATGTTTACTCCTAAATATGCCTGTAACCAATCTAGCTGCTGTATTTTGAACCAACCGGACTTTCCAAACTTGTTACAAATGTAGCCCAATGTAAAGCACATTGCAGAAGCCCAACATTGAGGTTACCAGTGAATGTACTACCATCTTAAAGTCCTCCAAAACTGGGAAGAGTGCAGTTGGTGGATCAGCTGATGTTGATAGGAAGAACTCCTGACTGTTGCATCTACCTGGGCTGACATTTGGAGAGACGGATCCAGGAGTACTCCCAAACTGCGAACACAGTCTTTCAGAGAGAGTATAATCCCATCCAGAACTGGTTGACACGCCTCCATCCCAGATTAGAACCCTTGATGTCAAGCACCTCTGTTTTGTCTGGATTTAGTTTCAATTTGTCTTTCCTCATCTAGCCCTTTACCTCCTCCAGACATTTATTCATTCACACATTCATGCCATTAACAACAAACTGCAGAAAGTATACAGACAAGGACTACTCGTGAATGTTCATGGAAACAAACTTTCGTTTTGAAGCAAAAATGATGATACTCTTGATTATTGGTGGGCAATTCTGAGCCATTTTATTTATTTCATTTATATGCCACCTTTATCCCAGAGTTGGACCCAAGAGGGATCACAAAAATAATTAATTAAAAATTAATACAAAATAGAATTAAGCCCATTAAAACAAGCACATGAAGATAGCACAAAATCATTTTTAAAGAATTTAAACAAGCCTTCCTGCATGGAATTAAAAGCTTGATACCCATTCCCAGATGTATTTGTATATTTTCTTTGGATAATTGTCCTGTGTTATATTTGCATGGTGTCCCTTCTCAAGAGACACAGAAGGAAGTCATTGGAAGTAGGAACACAAACTGAATTCTGTGCCCCTAAGAAGAACCTCTAAGACATGCTTTTACAAGTAGACTAAAAGAAGAACAAAACAAAGCTCTTCTCTGAGCCAACACCTGCTATATTCCTAGAAAAAAGATCCCATTGCATATAGTTCAGCTAGATAAATGGACTTGATTATGTACTTACTGTAGGATGCTCTGGGGACTGTGCTGCTGAGATGTCGGGAAAGACTCAAATACACTGGAGTCCCTAAGAAGCAACACACAAAATGGGCAACGTACCAGAGAAAAAAAGATGCTAGTTCTAAATGTCCAAAACAGTACAGGGTGTACAAGAACAGTTCAATCAAGAATGTGGGTAATGTAAAAGCATACGCATATTCAAGTTGTTCTCCTACCCAGAGGCAACAAGGAATTGCACACAACTGGGTGCATAAAACGAGTGGGGCACCTGTCAGCCCACTAGATTCTTTGGCCCACAACCCCCATGAGTCCCATCCAAGTTAACCAACACCAAGGGATTGAGTTGTTGTTTATTCGTTCAGTCACTTCCGACTCTTCGTGATCTCACAGACCAGCCCGCGCAAGAGCTCCCTGTCGGCCGTCACCACCCCCAGCTCTACCTCTCTCATAGAATTGAATGCAAATGAATAAGGTGGGTAATAACACAAAATCAAACAGGTTTCCAATGAAGCCCCCTTTCACCACCCGTTTGGGAAACCGTAAAGACCAAAAGAGTTCTCCATCCCTATTCTATTAGCTCCCAGCAGTTTAATTTAAAAAGAATTATCTGGTTTTCAAAATATTGCAACATTTGTTTAGAAAAAACACTGTCAAGCAATCAGCACAAGAAATTAATACCAGAGCCAAGCTGATCACTGTGAAAGATAATCAATAAAGTCAGGAGACAGAAAACATAGCATGAGCTTGATTGTGACATTAATAATATGGAGGAGATAATAAAAGATGAAATGTGTTGGTTGAAACTGAAGGCTTATCTATTCCACAAAATTATTTCCACAGTGGTAAGCCTAATGACTTTGGGAAAATCTACACTTAGGACAAGAACACAATAAGTGTCACTTATTTTTTTATTCTCTACCACTTCTGATTATTAAATGCAATAATGGCCATCTGGCAATCATGACTAGTAACCATGAATATATCAATTATCATTTTAAAGCCATCCAGCATGTTGGTCATCATGGCATTCTAGGAAACAAATTCTAGTCTGATTATGCAAATATGTGGGGCAGCACTCCCTTTGATCTGTTTTGAACCTCATGGGGTCTATTATTATTGTTATTGTTATTGTATTATCATTAGATTTCCACTCGTGGTGCAGCGGGTTAAACTGCAGAGCTGCTGAACTTGCTGCTCGAAAGGTTGTCAGTTTGAATTCAGGGAGTGGGGTGAGCTCCTGCTGTTAGCCCCAGCTTCTGCCAACCTAGCAGTTCGAAAACATGCAAATGTGAGTAGATCAATAGGTACCACTCCAGCAGGAAGGTAATGGCACTCCATGCAGTCATGCCGGCCACATGACCTAGGAGGTGTGTTCAGACAATACCGGCTCTTCAGCTTAGAAACAGAGATGAACATCACCCCCCAGAGTCAGACACAGCTAGACTTAATGTCAAAGGGAAACCTTTACCTTTACTTTACACTATGTGTAGTTTGATAGATCTCTATCAAGTCATAAGATTCACACATGCAGTTTGGGATAAAACTATGAAATTGATCCTACAGAGAAATTAGCTATATCTAGTTTCAATACTATGCTCTACTTTCAGTTATTTTTACTGTATACTGAAACATTTTTAAACCATCCTTCCTCTTTCTATAAACCAAGGCAATGTATTAATATAATTAAAGCAATGAGAACATCCCATTGTAAGAAACATAGAGGTCTTTACACATAACAAAGTCAATAAACTGGTCAAAACCTTTGGGTGGGGACTTTAGGGACAATCCTAGGAAAGTATAACAAAAAACTCAAATTCCACTTAACTTTCTTTAAGACTTGCATGAAGGTGATAGCCTTCACTGTGCAGTAATATGCACAAAGTCTGCCACCATTCTCATAGGCTCTTCTGTCACTACACTGAATACTTAGAATAGAGGGCTACCCAAAGCAGATGAGGTTACCATCATAAGATGCTTCAGAGATGCTATTCAAAATTCCACCAAAATGTTCACCTTTATCATTCACTGACATATACTGACATACATCTGATGAAGTAGTTTTTTGTCTACAAAAGCTTGTGCTACCAACTTCTCCCTCTCAGTCTCAAAGGTGCTACAAAATCCCTTTGCATACTGATTCAGACCAACACAGCTATATCCTTGACTCTGATATACAGGATGCTCTCTAATAAACCAATATTCATTTGTTCTGGGATCCAGATCCTAGTTTTTCATCTCAAGTGGAAAAATAGTAAAACAAAAAAACAAAACAAAAATCACACACACACAAAGCTTGCAAAGGAGAGAAATGTACAATACTCTGCATAGCAAATCAACATGATTTGATAATAACTTAGCAGTTATTTCTATTATATTGATGTAGATGCTGAAATAACATGAAAACTATAAACTTGCTGCCTAGCTATGAGGCCCATGTATACAGTACTAGCAGAAGTCAAAGGACCCTTCTACACTGCCATATAATCCACATTATGAACGCAGATAAGACGCTTTATCTGCTTTGAACTGGATTAATAATATAATAATGTTTACTGATATGGAGTCCACCAAATAGCATCATCATTTGCTCAGAATTAGGAATTGCATTGACTTCACATGTGGAGCCCAATCTTTTGCATGAATACTATGAAATAAATCTCACTTGGTTAAACATGTTTGCTTCCCAAATAAGTAGGTCCAGGTTTTAAGTCTTACAACTTTCTCATCCAATATTTATATAACTCCTGGAAATAGTATTGTGTAACACACTTTACCATTCTTGTTTATTCACACAATGCAGGCATTAGTGACTTGCACATAATATAACCGTACATTTTGTGTCTTGAAAATAACTTTTCCACAGGAAAGCTAAGTACTATGTTCACGTTATCACAACTGTTATTTGTACAAGTGTTTCAGTGTAAACTGCTTCTTAAAGACCTAACTCTTAAACCTCACCAATATAGTTCAGTAACATTCCCATTTTACACATGCAAAGCAGTAACCAACAACTAATGAAAGACCCAGGCTAAGGCCAACACCAAACTCAAGATGTCTTTTTGTTGTAGGCTACCTGTTCGGGAGGCTTGGCGCATCAGCCACAGGACAGGCATTTTCAGCTTGAACCTGGGATTCCTATGAAAAGAAAAGAAAAAATATTGATTATATTTTATTGGGTCATTTTAAAAAATCCAGGAGCAGTAAACAGCAGGAATCCTATTGGTCATCCAAACGGAAGTAGATCCACAAAATGAGCTACTGAATTGTAAGACAATGGTTATGTAAATCCAACTGGTTCGACAGATCAATTCTAGTTCTAGACTACAGCAGGGGTTCTCAAACTATGGCCCGGGGGCCGGATGTGGCCCTCCAAGGTCATTTACCCGGCCCTCGCTCAGGGTCAACCTAAGCCTGTAACGACTTGAAAGCACACAACAACAACAACAACAATGCTATCTCATCAGCCAAAAGCAGGCCCACACTTCCCATTGAAATACTAATACATTTATATTTGTTAAAATTGTTCTTCATTTTAATTATTGTATTGATTTAAAGTGTTTTTTGCACTACAATTAAGATATGTGCCGTGTGCATAGGAATTCATTCATGCTTTTTTCAAATTATAATCCAGCCCTCCAACAGTTTGAGGGACTGTGACCTGGCCCTATGTTTAAAAAGTTTAAGGACCCCTGCACTAAAGCATCAAAAGCTTTTGAGTTCACAAATATTCCAACAAGCCATGGGCGCATCTATACTGCAGAATTAATGTAGTTTGACACAATTTAACTGCCATGGCTCAATGCAACAGAATTATGGGGCCTGCAGTTTGGTGAAGCACCAACACTCTTTGGCAGAGAAGGCTAAAGCCCTGAGGAACTTCCAGGATTCCAGTAAAAGTGGTGTCAAGCTGCATTAATTCTACAATACAGATGCACCTCCCACATTCCAGTTTTTTGGACTTCAGATCCCAGAATCCCTAGCGATTGGCCAAAGTGGCTGAGGCTTCTGGGAGTTGAAGGGCATTCCAGGCTGACCCCAAGCCTTCTAGACCACAGCAGCTCTCTAAAAGACAGAAGCAATGATTAAGTTGCACTCCTCCCCCCATCCCTTCTATTTCAGGCCTAAAACCACTCTACAAGCGTCTATTGGAGTGTGTGCTTTGAAAAAGACTAGCTTACGTTCAACCTGACCAGGAAGGGCACAGCATGAAGAGAAGCCCTTTGGGAGCAGGGATGGAACTTTGGAGAGCGCAGCCCTCACTTGGGCGGAGCTAACCGGGCCTCTGGCCTACGGGAATGACAAAGCGCATGCGTACAACCCTGCGCCTCTGCCCAATTCGCCCTCGAAACCCCAGCGGGCGCATGCGCCTTCAGGAATCCGACGCATGCGCACCCCAGTGTCCTCTGCAGTGCCCTAGGAAGGTCCCCGCGAGGAGATGTGGAGAGGGAAGAATTTCCAAGGGTGTTGGTGGGACGGGCGCGTGACCCGCGTGGCGTCACGCTCAGTAAAAAAAAAAAGAGAGAGAGGGATAAAAAGGACTCACCCGCGAAAAGGGCGACGGAGAGCCGCGCGCCGCTCGGAGCCGCCGGCGAGCAGGAGTGACGAGGGGGAAAACCAATCAGCACTAGCCTAGGCAGTGATTGGTTGAGGATTGCCCAGCGAGAGGCGGGACTTTCTTTTTGGTTTGATAGAACGCTGTGAAAGCTTCGAATGTTTTGACGGGAAAGGAGGGGCGGGGGTAGCGGAGATCTAGAATAGCAGTGGGTGATTGGTTGTGCGGGAGAGTCAAGACCACGCTGATTGGCGCAGACAATCCGTAGAAGAGTCGTAGTATTCGCCTTCTGCGTTGAGCTCGTGGCTTCGATTCTTCCTGTTCTTCTTGATTGGCTGGAAGGCCACCGTTAATTGTGTGAAGAAGATTCTTTCGTACTGACAACCACCGGCGTTAAAAGCGTGCGTACATGTCTATCTAGAGCAGGCATGGGCACACTTTGTTGGACCATGCAAGAAATCAATTAGTGTGTGTGTGTCAAATGTAAAATAAGATGCATGAAGCTGATTGGTCGGGCTATGCCGGGGAGCAAGCTAAGCCTGGGACTTTTGGATACTGTTACATTTTCTAGGTTTGAGTTATGCAGTGCTTGCAGAGAAGCAGAGAGAGACAGGGTTTGAAGTGTTGTCTTGCTTCATGAGCTGCTGAAGGAGTTTATTCACATGGACAAAGAAAGACCATTTTAAATCTCCCGTAAAAGGACATTATGTGAGTCAATACAACTGCTCACATGATTGTAAATATGTTGTTCTGAATTACAAAGAGTAAACTACTTGTTCTTTATTGTTCATCTGCGTGGCATGTGTTCTTTATCTGGCAAGGCAGTGTGTCGGCTGATCCAACATGAACACTGTTGGGGTTCAGCCTCTGTGTGAACCTGAGCCCCAATTTCTGTGTGAACCTGATTCTCTGATTGTATTTCCAACTGAGCAAGTTACTGAACATGTATCTCTCCCTGATAGTGTTGAAACCGATGTTGATGCTGAGGTCAGTGGCGAGGAAAGTGAAACTAAACAGCCGGATGAAAATGTTTTGGAATCCAGACGTGATAGCTCTCCAGAGGAAATCACACCTGGGTTTTTTAATGAGGACCGAAGGGAACAGATAGCTAGAAACAGAAGTGATTCACAGTTTCTACGAAGGTCAAAAAGATTACAGGAGAGATAAGCCCAGGCTTCAAAGTCAAGGGGTGTTTCAAGGAATAGTTTCTTTGCTTTAAGGGATCTTCCCCCGGTTGTCTCGTTAGATCAAGCAACGTTTGGGACTGTGGCTGTGCCTTGGCAGAATTCCTGTGTTCCATGGCCGGTAATCCCAGAGGCTTCTAGTTTTCAAGTTCACGGTTAGTGAGATGCTAACAGGTTTCTGGTTTTTGTATTGTGGTTTTTGGAATTTTGCTCAAGTTCAGAGACTTTCCTGACTGCTGTGTTTCTATTGTGGCTTTTTGACTTTGCATTTACTTTTCTTTTGTAACCAATTTTTCATCAATAAAAAAGGATTGTTTTTCCTACATTCCAGTGTGGTGGATTTAATCTTATGGTCTCGTTTCCTGATCTGGGATGCAACAAGCACATAGTTTATTTTACATTACTTTGGCCCTCCAGGTGTTTTGGACTGTTAGGAATTGTCGAAGTTGAAGACTTCTGGAGGGTCAAAGTTTGTCCATGCCTGATTTAGTCTGAGACATCAACTGATGTAATAGTTGCAACAATATTATCATGGGGTGTCTGCGCCCTACACCACTGGAGAAATTACACTGTCTAGCCGGTATCGCACCACCTGACATCCGCCAGGAAGTAGCAGCCAATAGTGAAAGGACCAAGGCAGAGATATCTCCAGCTCATCCCTTGTTTGGGTATCAGCCAGCACATCAACGACTTAAATCAAGAAATAATTTTCTTAGATCTACAGAGACACTCGCTGGAACACCCTAGCAAGTGAGAGTCCAAAAGTGGCAGGCTCAAACCCAGAACCTCAACCAATGGCTGATACCAAAAGAGAGACTCCCTCCTGGGCACACAGAAAACTGGGCGACTTGGAAGGCGCTGAACAGACTGTGCTCTGGCACCACGAGATGCGGAGCCAACCTTAAGAAATGGGGCTACCAAGTGGAATCCACAACATGCGAGTGCGGAGAAGAGCAAACTACAGACCACCTGCTGCAATGCAACCTTAGCCCTGCCACATGCACAATGGAGGACCTCCTTGTGGCAACACCAGAGGCACTCCAAGTGGCCAGATACTGGTCAAAGGACATTTAATCAACTACCAAGCTTGCAAACTTTGTGTTTTATCTGTCTGTTTGTTTTTGTTAAAAATGTAATACAAATGTCTGGTTGCTGATGACACGATAAATAAACAATATATTAAAATTGTGTGTGTGTGTGTGTGTGCATATACACACATACACATATAGGCAGTCCTGAAGTTACAAACAAGATAGGTTCTGTAGGTTTGTTCTTAAGCTGAATTTGTTTGTAAGTCAAAATAAGTACATTTTTAAACTATATATATATATTCATTCAGCTTTGGCTAGCACAGCATAGGGAAGGGTTCCCACCCCATGGTGTTTCTTTTGTTGTCTCCAGAAGATTTCACCTCACGTTCTCTCCCTGTGATAATTGGATTTTGAAAAATTTGGCTTGTTGTGGAAACATGGATTGGTGATAAAGCTTCAGTTGAGACACCTTTTCCCCGTGATAATTCTTTCAGGTGTGGATTTCCCTTCTGAAGGGTACATTTCTTTCCCTGTTGCCTCACCCTCATTCTTAACTATGAGTCATTTGTAACTCGGGTATTGCCTGTATGTAAGCTACCATGATTTTGCTTCGTATGTATACACCAAGATTATTTGTTATCAGCAACCAATATTAAAAACATTGTGTGTGTATACATATATACCTCTCCCTCGATGGATTGTCACCTAATCCAGCAGCTGTATCCACAACTGAGCAGGTCAATTTAGGATCCACTCAGCTCATCCCATATAATAATAATAATAATAATAATAATAATAATAATAATAATAAATTTATTTATAACCCGCCACCATCTCCCCAAGGGGGACTAGGGGTGGCTAACATGAGGCCAAGCCCAAAATAATACAACATGACTAAACACAAAATAACAAGAAAATACATCATAACAAATATATATAAAATAACAAATAAAGTAAACAATATAAAATAGCATAATATAATCAAACACAGAGAGCAAGCCAGATGTATGAGGTAAAATGTTGAAAGGTTAAAACCCTGGGTGAGATAGGGATTAAAAGTGCATTTATAAGAGAGGAGCCCGAAAGGGAGGAGCAATGGGATTTGGCCTTTAAAGGGGACAGGGGAAGGTGCTTTATTCTGAGGGCAACTGTAGAAGGAAACAAACCAGATGGGTTGAGAGGTCATATGGGGAGGGGGCTAGAAGAGGTGCCCTAAACATAGTCTGCCTCTCTTGTCCCTGACTGAACTGTCATGTCCAGAGGACTCACCACCTTGTGGTAAAAAAAGACAAATGCATTTTGGAACGTATGGATATTGGTGGATAACACAGTGTCCTTGCAATAATAGGTTACTGCTATTATTGCAAGGGAGTTGAGGCACTTTAACATTGATACAGCAGTACTCCAAGAGACCTGGAGGGCAGGAGAGGGACAGCTGAAGGAAGGAAAAAGAGGCTATGCCTTCTTCTGGAAGGGACTGCCTAAGATACTGGAGGTCAGGTGTTACCAACAGTGTTATGGAATTAGAAGAGTTACGGATGGAGGGTGAAAGGGAGAAACGTGTCAAGAGAAATATGAGTCAAGCCAACCCTGACTGAGACCGCCTTCCACGTGGAAATTGATGTCTTCACTGCGAAAGAACATGCAGATCAAGAAAAGGTCTCTACAGTTACCTACGGATCCACCACCAAGACCCTACGCTTGAAAGGCAATCATATTAGGCTGTGAGTGAAAAATTATGACATGATAATGTATATACATATATATGCTGGGGCAGGGTTTCTTAAACTTTTTCCATTTGCAACCCCTTTCCACCTGATAATTTTTTGTGTGATCCCAAGTATAGGTATATAAAATGGGTATAAAAATCAATAATTTAGTGATAATAAATCATCATTTACAATACTTGCTAGAAAGACAGTCTGATTTTTTTTATGGAGTATAGCTGAAGCATTCTTTGCAGAGTGCACTGTAAACAAGGCGCATTGTTGCTAATAGATTTATGTAAATGGGTGGCATTCACAAACCCTTTACTATTACCAAATTTTTCATGACCCCAACATTGAGCTAAAGGGAGAGGGGAAAAGCCCTCTCATAGAGAGGAAGGAGTGGTGAGAGCACAGAGTGATCTAGAGAGCGCACAAGCACGTTTATTCCAAACATTCCATTCCTCTCAGTGTTCTTTAACATTACAGCCTATACAAAATTACTGTGAGCGAAGATTCGGAAGGTGCATCAACACTGCAGAATTAATGCAGTCTGACACCACTTTAACTGTTCTGGCTTAATATTCCTTTGATTTGTAGTTTGGTGAGGTATCAAAGTTCTTTGTCAGAGAAGGTTACAGGCAAAACAACAGCTCCCATAGCTTGAGCCATGGTGGTTGAAATGGTGTTAAACTGCATTAATTTTACAGTGGAGATGCACCCTGAGCTAAAGGTGCCCACTATCCAGGAACAAAAGTTGGAAAAATTGATGCTTACCAAAAGGAGCTGGGCATGACTATACATAGTTGTATGTTAGTGTTGGAGAACTTTTGTAAAAACTATGTGTACTCAAACATCTCTTTGGAATTAAATTGGTTTAAGAATCCAGCCTCAGGAATTGGATTTCTGTTAGTGCTCCTTAAGAGACCATCCAGCAAGATCACTCTTCTTCCTGCCTGCTGCTCCAAGAACATGCACTAGCGAGTTCTCTGCAAGCTTACTTGAAACCACTCCAGTTTTTTCTTCCTCTGTTGCTTTTCTTAGCCTTTCATTATTTCCTCTATTTTTAAAACTCTTATTTCCTGTATATAATAATAATAATAATAATAATAATAATAATAATAATAATAATAATCTTTATTTGTACCCCGCCACCATCTCCCCGATGGGGACTTGGTGCAGCTTACATGAGGCCAAGCCCAAAACAACAATTACATAAAATAAAACCGAAAACGCAAATAATGAACAATAATATTTCTAAATTAATACCAGGTTTACTGCTCATTTCAATTGTCACAGGGATGTTTTTGTAGGCCTTCTCTGTGGAACACTCCTACCTGACCTGTAACACAGAACAGAGCTCAGTACATGATTTGAGTCATGTGTTGATTCTCCGTATCCAATTCCTGTATCCTAAGCTATTGCTTTCCAAACTGTGCCCCCAGATGTTTTGGACTTCAGCTCCCAGAAATCCCAGCCAGCTTACCAGCTGTTAGGAATTGCGGGAGTTGACGTCCAAAACATCTGGGGGAGCACAGTTTGAGAAACTCTGCCCTAAGCACCTAATGGGATGGAGGTAAAGTGGAGACACATTAAAAGATCCCTTCAGGTCATAGGTTCCCCTATGACCAGATTCAGGTTGTACAGGAGCTCACATGCAGTAGCATTCCTTTGGCAATTGCAACATTGACTCTGGCTGTCATATCTCTGGAATATAAAGTACTGATGATGCAGTATGAATATGTTGGGTAAAGCTAAAAGAGCCACTGAAGATGTTTGTACAATTCAAGTTCTATACAAAACCGCAGTACTTTCCCAAAATACAAACATAGTGTATTCATGGAATATGGAATCTTAGAAAGTAAGGTCAAATATAGGCCTCTGATGGTTGATTAGAAAAAGCTGTCAGGAAACTCACAAATCAATGAATGTTGCAGTGGCACCATCTGCTGGCCACTGAAAGCAGATGAAACAGAGACCATTTAAGTTTGGGAATGGGACGGCCCTCCAGAAGATGTGGGACTGCGAGATTCATCATTCTTGGGTTGTTGTAGGTTTGTCAAGCTGTATGGCCATGTTCTAGAAGCATTCTCTCCTGAGGTTTCGCCTGCATCTATGGCAGACATCCTCAGAGGTCGTGAGGTCTGTTGGAAACTAGGAAAATTGGGTTTATATATCTGTGGAAAGTCCAGGGTGGGAGAAAGAACTCTTGTCTGTTGGAGATAGGTGTGAATGTTTTAACGCCAAAGTTAAAAAAAGAACTACCATAAAAGCCCTGGCAGACCGTGCAAAAATAATCTGCGAAGCCCACCTCCTCCAAGACGAAATGAACCACCTAAACTGGGCATTACAAGCCAATGGATACTCCACCGCAGACATCAGAAGAGCTGCAAAATTAGCAAGCAATTTTGGACTGCTTTGCTTAGGTAAATCTGCAAAATATAGCAGCCATTGTTTTTAATACAGGTTAAGCATTTCTTATCCTAAAATACTCTGAAATATGAAAATGTCTACATGGGTGGCTAAGAGACTGATTTTTCTCTCTTTTTTTGCTTTTTAATGGTTCAGTGTTCACAAACTTGTTTCATGCACAAAATTATTTTAAAATATTGTATAAAATTGCCCTCAGTCTATATGTATAGGGTACATATGAAACATAAATGAATTTTGTGTTTAGATTTGGGTCCCATCTCTAAGATAGTGCATTATGTAAGTATATGCAAATCCAAACACTTCTGATCCCAAGGATGTTGGATAAGAGATATTAAACATATATTTTTGGCTCCTTACCTAATTTAAGCCTGATTTATTTATTTATTTATTTATTATTTCGCGCATTTCTACCCCGCCCTTCTCAATTCCCAAGGGGGGACTCAGGGCGGCTTACAAAAAGGCACAAATTCGATGCCTACACAAACAATAAGATAAAAACATATATCACAGCTATTATAAAACAATTAAAACAGTCAATTATACATCACAATCCATAAAACCAGTCTAATGCTCAATACATTTTCTAAAAAGTATTTGATAATAAGCATTTTAGCTGGTTTAAAGTATTTTGCATATCTCATGATAGCAGAAATGAACCTCAAGATTTCTTGTAATGTCGTAACTGGACACAACTTTTAGATTGTGTTCATCTGTTACCTGGAGAAATGAAAAGCTAGGTCCAACCATGTTTTCATGGCAGCAAATAAGTAATTAATTTCTGTCTTTGAATTTGGGGTTTAGGATTGGTAATAGAATTAACATAATACAATGTGATGGATTCTATGAGTTGGTAGCAATATAGATGTTGCTTATTATCTCCTAGACTGGAATGTTCTTTTTAAATTTGTGAAACTGTATGACCTTTACAAGTCCCTAACTAGTTAGAAAGCCAGGATATACAGTATAATTTCAACTGCACTTGTATACAGAAATATGGAGAATTTGTAGGCTCATGCCCATGTCACCTTTATCCTCAGCTCTGGGAAATAATGAGAAACACCCTCCTCTGTAATGCTTGTGAGGCCTTAGTCTTTCAGCAAAAAACCTAGATTTTTCAAGAATCTAGAATTCAGTTTGCCCTCAAAACTCTAGGCTAGAGTTACAATTTTGATTGCCAAGAAAGATCCTGATATGACATTTGGAGTCTATCATAAAGCCCCAAGAATGGCCAGTGACTGAAAACAATGTTTTGGTCACTAAACATGATTTGTATTAGTTTTTGCTTTGTTTTACTTTTTGGTATATATTTTGGAGGAACTAGTTATGCTATGTGGCATTATTGCAGCTGATTCCTTTTCTGGATGCAGCGTTGAGTACCCTTTGAACAGGTGTTATCTTTATCCCCAACAACATACATCCCCAACTCTATTTTTCTGTTCTCCAAATAAAACATCCATATTCTGTAGAAGTTACAAAACAAATGACAAAGAGTTGTCATTTATTTAATTGATATGCTTCATTTCTCGCAGAGTGGAAACCAAAACAGTTCCTTAGAGATCCAATAGTTCAACTTAAGGAAGATTTTGCAAAAATCTAATATCCACAAATACTGAATCAGAATTTGCATCATAAAACTGTACTGGAAAGAAAATTAGTCTCTGGTTTGAACCTAATACAAAAGCTTTACACATGTTCATACTCAATTAACTGGTGACCCTAATGACAGAAAATTCAGTGAAGGAATAGTGAGTACATTAAGGTTGGGGATAGATGTGGATCTCCAGATACTTTTTGGACTGCTACTCCTGTCAGCTCTAAACATCAGCACCAATAATGAGAGTTGAATTGTAGTTCAACAACATCTAGGGAGGGTCATGTATTCCTCATTGCTTATGTATATGTAGGCTTGTAGTGGACTAATAATGCTGAAAGACAGCATGGGATAAGAAATCAAGATGAGGGAATAGGCTTTCACAGAAGGCATCGTCCTTGTATGGTCCATCCAGGGAATGAAGGAAGTGAAGGCACAGAGTCTCCAAAAATTATCTTTCCTCTCCATTGCATAGTTCCTGGTGCACAAGCTCTGTGCTGTTCAAGAGTGCTCACAGCAGAGTGCACATGCCTTTGCGACGGACTGCTGTGGCAGAAACCAGCAGCCCCAAGTTGCGGTTAGCATATGGAGGATAGCGCAGAGTGTTGAATGACTCCATACCCATGCTGCGCAGGAGGGAGGCGCGATAGTGAGTGAATGTTTCAAAGGTAAACTTGCCATGGTACTTGCCAAAGCCACTGTATCCTAAAACACAACAAGAAGAAAACATGCAAGTCAAAATCTGCTCTCTGGAAAAGCTTTCCAATTTACTCCATAACCTCGGCAGTTCTTTGTTCTGTTCTTTTTCATCTAGACAAGGTGGAAGGAGACTTCACACAGAGCGTCTTCTCTACAGCCCTTAATGTTTACTGGGTATGCTATTTCCTGGACTCCACCCCTTTTGGGCCCTGCAAGTGTCCACATAAGCTAGCAGGTGGCAACTTCAGTGAGTCCAGGGACAATCTTTTTAGCCTTAGGGCCCATGAGGGGCCATACAGACTGCCAAAAACATAAAGCAAAACAATACTGGAAGTGGCTTGAATTTTACTTCTGTGTTGAAAAAATTATGCAGTTATACGTACAGGTTAAATTATGCAAGAAGGAGACCTGAAACCAACACAGAAGATGAATCACCGAGAGTCCATTCCATCTTTTATAAAAGTTTGTAGGAAAAAGGGAAATTTTGGTGGGAATGAAAAGTCATAAGTTCCAGGAAATTTCTGAGGACAACACTTTACCCATTTTTCTTCTAAACACTGATTAAAGATAATCTAGTAGAAGCAAGGCAAATTCTGATGGGCAGTAAGATCAACCCCAACACAGGTCAACCCAGCTTCTGTTTAAACCCTCAAAAGATGGAGATTCCATCACATTCTGATATACTCCTCTTCCAACACCTCTTACAATCAGGAAGTTTTTCCTAATGTTGAGGTGGAATTTCTTTTTCTGTAGTCTGGATCCATTGCTGTGTGTCCCAGTTTCTGGAACAGCATAAAACAAACTTGCTTCACTTCCCAATACGTCATCCTTTCAAATATTTAAATAAAGCTATCATGTCATCCCTCAGCCTTCTTTCCTCCAAGCTAAACATACCCAGCTCCTTAAGCTACTCCTGACCATTTACTACATTGGCTAGACTTCTCCTGACACATTCTAGCTTTTTGATATCCTTCTTGAATTGTAGTGTCCAAAACTGGACACAGTAATCCAGGTGGGGTCTACCCAAAGCAGAATAGAGTGGCACTGTTAGTTTTATATAGACACCATACTCCTAACGTTGCAATCTAGAATTGTATTAATTTTTAACACCAACAAATTACCAACTCAGGTTTAGCCTGAATCGGTAGTTCCCAACTAAATGTGTAGATCCCTTTCACATTTAGTGATGTAGAGCCAGGTGTCACCCATCCTATAGCTGTGCATTTCATTTTTATTGCCATAGTGTAGTAGCATGCATTTCTCCCTGTTCAAATTCATTTTATTAGTTTTAGTCTAGCTCTCTAATCTGTTACGGTTATTTTGGATCCTGATCCTGTCCTCTGGAATATTAGCTACCCCTCCCAATTTGGTGTCATCTGCAAATTTGATAAGTACACCTTCTACTCCACCATCCAAGTCATTAATAAAGATGTTGAACAGTTCTGGGCCTAGGACAAAACCCTGTGGCACCCCACTGGTCACTTCTCTCCAAGATGAAGAAGATCCATCAGAAAGTACCTTTTGGATTCTACACAGAAACAAGCTTAACTGCTTGCAAGTTGACACAACACAATTGGTTGCAATTAATCCATTTGTTGTATTTTTGTCTATGATCTGCCAGTGTGGCTAACCTAGAAGACTCTACTCCTCCTTGTCCCAGAAACAAATGTGACAAATACAAAGTTCATCCATTCTCATACGTTAAACAGATTAAAGGGAAGGATTAATGCAAAAGCAGGAAATAAAAAATTGTTGTAAGATACAGAAGTAATCATACCAATGCCACCAAATGGTAAAGAGACCAGTGTCATATGCATCAAGATATCATTGCCACAAAAGCCACCGCTGCTGGTGGAATCGAGTACCTGATTCACAACCTGTAGGAATTAACAAGAACACAATTGTTATTAGGAACCCTGTCCTTGATCTTCCATACAAAAGGAAGAAGATTTCCAGTTTGGTAAAAGGGGACACCTTACAATCCATGAGGTAACATACATGGCATATAGTCAAAGATAATATCACACACATAACAGGAAAATACCAGAATCTAGTTCAACAAATAGTGTAATAAAGAACATGAATACAAAATAAATGAAACTGTCAACAGTATATTAATATATAAATGCAAATCTGACTTCATTTGGTTTTAAATAGTGACATTCTATTCAGTTCTGCCTATAATTGCATGTACACATCACTTTTATTATTATATTTCAAAATATTTCAATGTACGGTGATGTATTACTAAAAAAGTTGAGGAATTCTAGTATTTCAATCAAACATCCTGATTAACTTCAAAGGTCAACATGTGCATATAGAGATTTCCACCACAGTTGAAATGTTGCTACTATTTATTTCTGCCTAAAGGCAGCAGATCCTGTGTGAACCAGAAACCTAACAGGGTCAGTATTGGTTAATAACTGGATATCAAACTGTCAAGAAATAACAGAAGCTGGACATTTGGACAGGGCTCATGCTCAAGTTTCCTGGACACAGTGATCTTTAAGCCTCAACACATACCTTGGAGTTGGAAGAGAAAGCATAGGCAGCCAGTGGGGGGTCTCTGCGTTTGATGAACTGAATGGCCTCATCCAAATCAGCCACAGTGAAGATGGGCAAGATGGGCCCAAAGACCTCCTCCTTCATGACTGGCTCCCCCTCTTTCACATCAACTAGCACTGTGGGGGCTGCGGACAGGAAAATCATATCAAGACATGTCATGCTATATGTGACATACAGCTCCCATTTAACCATGACCTTATCATTCCATCTTAGATGCACAAATCCACCCATGGAGGACTCAGGGTCAGAAAGAGATGTGGGCTTCTAGATGTTATTGGACTGTAACCAATGACTGTATTTTGCTGTTAATGTCTTAGTGTAATTTGGAATACGATGTTTTTAATGATTGTTTGTAATATTGATGTTGGAAACCGACCTGAGTCCCTTGATGGAGGTGAGAAGACCGGTATACAAAACTGCTAAATAAATAACCCTTATGATCTTCTCCAGTAGCAGTGCTCACTAAAGCAAATGGTAGATGAACTCTTATGAGACCTTGAAGGCCCCATGTTCTTCACCAGACCCTTAAGAAACAGCCTCCAAAATAGTTACAGCAGAGAGGATCCGTCATTTCAGCCCATTCTTTTTCACGCAAAGATCAAGCCACTTGCTCACCAATGTAACAGTCAGACTCGTCTGTTTCGCCACCTATGGCCACTTGGCCAGACTTCAGCAATGCTCGGACACGCTGGAAATTCTTGTTGTTAACCAGGCGGCCAAAGTCGGGTGACTCTCGAGGATTGGAGCCATAGAATTCATGGATGGCATTCTGCAGGCAAGGCACCAACTTCTCCCGTGTTGTAATGCTACAGATCACATAATCTGGTGCAATACAGGTTTGGCCAGCATTGAAGAACTTTCCCCACACTATCCGGTTGGCTGCATTCTGGAAATTGCAGGATTCATCCACATAGCAGGGATTTTTGCCTCCTAGCTCCAGAGTCAATGGTGTCACATGTTGGGCTGCTGCAGTCATAACAATCTTTGCTACGTTGTGACTCCCTACAGAGGAATGGCAAGATATGGGGCAGTCACAAAGAGACCTATGTAAGTGCCTTCACCCGAATGTCAACCCTAGATTTTGCATGTAAGATATCAAAATATATGCTTTTAAAAGAATTATGGCATATATAAATACATCTGTAAATAAACAAAAACATTAAAACCAAACCCATTAAAAACATAGAATTAAAACACCAATTAAAATCACATAATCCAAATCCTATTCCAGGACTGGTCCAGTTCAATTGTATGGTCTGCTTCCAGCAAATATGGACAGCTGACTGCACTGGCTAACATTTAACCCTAAATGCTCTGAAGGCACCGGAGGCCCTCTGATCTGGGAAGCTAAGAAGGGTGGGGCCTAGTTAGTACTTGAGTGGGGGACCACCAAGGAATTTCTGGTGTTGTAACTTATTTTTCACCTGAAGGCACTGCCAAACCTCTTCTAAATACTAATTTAAGAAAACCATGAAATGCAAAGTGATGTCGTGAGTTGATCAACAATCTGAAGGGACATAAATACAAACAATAATAATAATAATAATTGTCATATCAAATAGAGTATAAGTCAACCTCATTGAGGGCAGCTTTTGGAGCTGAAATTATAGAGTTTGATATTAACTATGGATAAGTTGAGGGTTATTCTTCAGGGTGAAAAAAATGGCGGCAGCACCTTATGTGGCCAGCCACTACCACCATCACTTTCCCTTTCAAGGCATTTAAAAAGGCCAGAGGCAGCACTGCATCAAAAAGAGAAGGGAGGATGGTCAGTGCTCTCTTTTTTAAGGTTCTTTTGGAGGGGCTAAGTTTTTGCTGTTGGTTACTCTACTCAGAAATAGTTCTTTTTGACCATAATGAAGCCGCAGTAGTTACAATGAGCAGTGAATAAAATGATCCAGATTTTCAGATCATTTTTTAACATTTCTAGACTTATACATGAATATATACACTATTTAGCACTAGTAATGGTTTTGTGCTAAGTACTATCAGTACAATTCAGCTCAAGAAAGTTTAATACATATTTATGGTATATTTCCAATCAATTACCCTACAGGATTATGAGGAAAATGACAATATTCAGAATAAGAAGGAAATGAAAACAACAGAAATGTAAAGAATCAGGTTACCTGTGAAAAATATATAATCAAACTTGTTCTCCAGTAATTTTGTTGTCTCTTCTGGCCCACCTGTCACCACAGCAAATGTTTCCTAAGGAATAGGGATGAGAGAAGAAGGATCATTTTTGAATTTGTAAGAAGAAATAAAACACACAGTCTCATGTTCATTTAAACCACGGTGAGAACTGAGCAGCCCTCTGGATTTCGAACTGCAGCACCCAGCAGCTCTAAACAGACAGCCAATGGTGAGGAATGCCGAGAGATGGAGTCAACAGCATTTGGAGTGCTATAGTTTCTATCCCTGATCAGAAAGAAATTATTCTCCATGTGCAATTTGTTAACCACGTGCAGATCACTAATGCTTCTACAGTATTACAGCAAGGACGTGAGGCAGATTTTTTAAAAAAAAAAAAAATCAGATTTAGTATGCTGGTAGAAATTATAGGCCCAGACTTGAGATCACTGTGTTTTAGAAGCCGCATTTCATCTGTAAGATCACTCAAAGGTTGTTAAAGCAGGCAAGGAGGTAATAATTCTAGGCATGTGGCTTTTTGCTAGGATCCTTAACTTTTTCCAAACTCTCACAGGGTGGGACTATATGTGAATGTATCTACAAGTTATCTGTCAACTTATTGTGACCCTGTTATGATTTGTGAAGAATCTGATGCTTCAGAGGATGAGGAAGATGATTTTGTGGGATCTCAGGAGGGGGTTTGGGGGAGGGGGTGGAATTGGCATGGGGAGATGTGTTAGTGAACCTCCTGGTAGTTCTCAGAAAGTGAAATCTGTTCCCATGAGACTCTGTCAGAGTTTGTTCCTGAGAGGAATGTGGGGGAGTGTGAGTTTCCCCCTTCATCAGAGCAGGTGCAGTTGTGCCACAGGAATATGAAAGAGAGACAGACTCGCTTTTCCCAGCAGCTTTGCGAAGAACCAGGTGTACGAGAAGTGATGTCATGGGAGGGAATTGAGGCTTTTAAGTGGGCTCCATGCAGACCACTCTTTGTGAGAACAACATGGCATTTCAATGGGAACAACCCTTACATTCCACTGTCTTGCTTCAATGTTCAAGTTTCTGGATATTGGGTCTTGTTCATGTTTGTTTGTTTAGGTTTCAGGTTCTTAGATTTTAATTCCCGTTCATGCCTTCATGGTTTTTGGTCTGGTTTATTCTCAGTTTTGTTCTCAGGTTCTGGATATAAACTTAAAACATGGTTGTGGGACCAAGCATTCGAGCAGCAGACACAGTGAAAATAAGGCAAATTACTTAGATGATTGACAATGGACAGACCTCAGACTTAAATTATAATTGCTGTGTTTGGCATCTAATGGTTTCCGGTTGTGAGCCACCCTGAGTCCTCTTCCCAGGGTGAGAAGAACAGGATATAAATGTTTGAAATAAATAAATAAAACTTTGATCAAGTGTATGGATTTTGCCTTGCTTCATTGTATTGACTCAAAGCGCAGTTCCAAGTTTTTGAATGAGTTTTTGAAAGCGGAGTTTCATGATCTGAATCATGAAACTGATTGTCACCTACGCTCAACAACTTTGGAGTTTCTGCATTTGTCCTCTGGATTTTTGATTATTCTTTTTATTGTGCTTCTTCTTATCTTCTATATTTTTCTTAATATACTTTACTTAGTGGATTCTCTTGTCCCTGCATGGTGTCTGTGTGAAAAGGTGTCCCATGGCTGGAGCGCAAGAGACCCTGTGAATTACAGAGGGGTTTCTTAGGAAATACTTAGAAGTGAACATCCATGTATTAACCAGGGCCAACCCTGCTTAGCGTCCAAGATTGGACAAGACCCATGGTCTTTAGAGGAGTGCTTTCCAACCTCTGGTCCTCCAAGCATATTGGACCAAGAATTCAGCTCCAAGAATTTCTGACCAAGCTGGCTGGGGCTTCTGGGAGCTGAAGTATCAAAAACCTGGAGGACCAATGCTTTGGAGAGTTTAGGTGGGGCTGTAGCCAAATGAAATATCTGGATAAAAATAATAAGGAAGACTTGGTTGTGATAAACTCACTGGGTCAAGATAGGAAGGCAATGCTTCAGTGAGGACCCGTTCAGTAGAGCTGCTTATCTCAGAAGGTTTCAGAACCACACAATTCCCTGGAAGTAAAGAACACATTACAAGGGTAGGAAGAGATATAAATTTATCCCATGCCTGGAACCAGGCAATCAACCAGCCCACAAGTGAGATCAGCAGTCCAAGGGAAATTATTCTAGGGGTACAGGTGAGGAACACTAGATGGAAGCCCTGAAAATGGTTTCCCACTCACCAGCTGCAATGGCCCCCACCAATGGCACTAAGGCAAGGTTGATGGGATAGTTGTAAGCAGAAATGATGAGCACCACACCAAAGGGGTCCTTGCGGATGAAGGCACTGTCAAACTTTGTGGCCTACAAGGAATAGAGAACATAAAACATTCAAGAAGCACGTGCAGCAAACTAAAAAAAAACCATAGGTTGTAGTAACAAAAGTTTTCCTTTGGCCTCAAAAGTAAGGGCTCACTAGAAGTGTACTGTCTTTGATCATGGGAACATGAAGACTACCCCTCTGTTGTCTTCTATTATCCCCCAAGCAAATTTATAGGATTCTCTCACCTTTGATTTGGAGACTAATTGACTGTTCCAGAGCAGATGAGATCAAGGCTTTGCTATCTATTGTGCAATTAGTTCAACAATATGGGACCCAGCAGTACAGAATATTGAGTGCTCCTTCTCATAAAATAACATAAACTCAGATGAATTTTGGATCATGTAGGTTTTACATTCATATTACAAATACAGAATGCCAAATTACAGTTTTAGTTTAATGGTAATTTTATAAGACATAGGTGGACATCTATGTCATTCTAGCTGTGTTTGAAGTGTAATTCCTAGCATATTTCAATACAGATGCTATGTTGATGGAAGTTGCAATCCAACTACAGTTGGAGACTATCGGTTGCTCACCTCTTACTAAGACAGTAGTTTGACTGGAATTAAACTGAGGTTCAGATGTGTTTTTATTAAATGCAATTGAAACATTATCTGCTTCACAGAAGGTTATGTCATTGCTAGGGATTAGCTGCTTGAAGAAAACCACCGTTTGGGACCCACCCTGCCATCTTTCCAAATATACAGATCAAGCCCATCTGATATTGCTGGAACACAACTCCCAGGAGCCCCAGCCATCAGAAACAATAGTGAGGGAGTTGCAACTGCAGCTGTAGAAGCAGACAGTTTCACCACAAATGCAGGTAAAACCCAAGCAGTTGCTCAATATGGGCAACACATTGCTTTCACAGGGCAATGATACTGAGGAACCCTCTTTAATGAGATAGCACAGCTTATGTCATCTTTCCTTCCATAAAACATGGGACCTCTCTTTTTCTCATGCAATGTCACATTTCCTCTTCTCCAACACTGCTCTCCTTACTAGGTTCTTGCTCGTATATTCATCCTTCGTCCAATAGTCCAGATTGTTAAGGGCTTCCATGACTTCATTCTTTGTAAAGCCAACTTCAGAGATCTCAGATTCAAAAGCAGACTGTGAGGAAGGCAGAAAAAAAAGAGAAAGTGCATCAGTGGGGTCCACCTTGGGCTCAGTGCACGCAGCAATTTCTGTGGTGCCACTGACTCGGAGGAGAGTTATTGTCATTTACTAAACAGTCTCACTCACTTTACGCAAATCCTCATGTAAGGCATGGAAGAGATCACTTTTCTTCTCATCCAAGAAGCGTCCCAATGCCTCCAGTTGCTTTTTCCGATATTCTATCGGGCGTGTCTTTCCCGATAACCATGCTGCACGTAGGCTCTCCAGCCGGCCCGAATAGGGATTCATGCTGAGGGGAAAGAAGGGGCTCAGAGAATAAATAGGATACAAAACATGGTTGCTACATATGCATGCACCTGTGGATCACTTGCTATCAACACCATGCCAAAGGGAGGAAGCCACAATTGTTGCTGTTGCTGCTGCCACCTTTTCTCCAGTTTTGGAATTCAAGGTGGTTTAGAAACATTTGATACAGACAACAGTTCACATCCTCAATTACAATATAATTAAATTTTCAAAGTGAGTAAAAACAATTTTAAAATATAAATATTTCTGAAGAAAACACTAAGATTCCTTCCACACAGCTGAATAAAATCCCACATTTTCTGCTTTGATCTGGAATATATGGCAGTGTAGACTCAGATAAACCAGTTCAAAGCAGATATTGTGGGATTTTCTGCCTTGATATTCTGGGTTATATGGCTGTGTGGAAGGGCCCAGAGAGAGAAACACAGCTCACTGAGTCACACCCTTGAATAGATTACGAAAGAGGAGGGAGTGTCAATTGCTCAACAGTTTCTCAGTCTCCTGACACAGCAGGGAAAATATGTGCACAGAATTATTTTAAAAGAGCCACAGCAGCATTTTTGCTTCACGGAAATTCTTTGGGGATTATCTTACTTTTGCAAATAGTGTTTCACCACGTTGGGCCTGGAAGGGAACAGGGAAGCCCATCCATTCCATTAGCCGTTTCATGAAAGCCTCTGTCTACATTGTTACCAGCGGCAGACAGTCTACAAATGTAGTACCACCCAATAATTCCCACCCGCATTCATAGAGTTGTGTGCTTACTTTTACTTTAGGCAGTATCTTTCCTTCCACCTTTGTTTTCCCATTACCAAACCCAAAAGTGAAGCTCTTCAACAATGAATTTAGCCAGAGTTGGATGCCTGCAACCTTCTAGATATGTTTAGACTGTAGCTCCCATAGCTTACAGTTTTGATGTATAGTCAAATCTCCACATTCACTGGGGTTAGGGACACAGGACTCCCATGAAAGTGAAAAATCAATAAAAAAATAAAGAAACTGCTTCTTTAATTTACCTAGGAATTTCTAGATCTTCCAGCAAGACCAGAAGCTGAACAAAGAATTATTGGAGAACCTACAGATTCCTAAAAAACACTAGCATAACTGGAAGAGCCCCCGGTAGCACAATGAATTAAACCCTTGTGCCAGGAGGACTGCTGACCAAAAGGTCAGTGGTTCGAATCTGGGAAGTGGATTAAGCTCCCATCTATCAGCTCCAGCTTCTCATGTGGGGACATGAGAGAAGTCTCCCACAGGATGGTAAGCCATCCGGGCGTCTCCTGGGCAACGTCCTTGCAGACAGCCAATTCTTGCACACCAGAAGCAACTTGCAGTTTCTTAATTCACTCCTGCCGCAAGATATTTTTAAAGGGTAACTGGAGAAAGTGCAACATAGAATCACACTGGAGGACCTAGAGATTCTTAAAAATAACATTTTAATCAAATCCATGAATAATCACATCCGTAAAAGTCAAAACCACAAGTGTGGAGGGACAACATGTTGTAAGAAACTGCTGCCATTGCCTTCTGCACAGAAATACATTAAACTACACTGTGAGGCTACAATCTTGGGTACATTTAGGAAGACGCCCCCATTGGACACAGTCAGAATTGCTTCGTGATAAATAAGTAAGTATTGTGCTATAAAACCTTTGATGGCAATGCTGTAAATCCCACACAATTAGGAGCAAGGGTCGTCCTTCACCTTAATATAAGAAAGCTTTTGAGATTCCCAGGACAGGGTGAATGATCTGATATAGGCAGGTTTGAAAATAACTGCAACTCACTCCAGGGAAACTCCCAAATACCAATCCAATTCAATATGTAGCAGGAACTTGGTCACTAGAGAAATAGGGGGCGTGCCTTTGGCATCATCTAGCACTGCTCTGGTTATGTTTCTCCTTGGTGTTGTCAAACTGGATTGACTCACAAGAAAGAGCCAACATGGTGTAATAGTTTGAGGATAGGATTAGGAATCTGAAGATTATGGTTTAAATCCCCATTAAACAATCGAAGCCCACTGAATGACCATGGGCAAGTCACTCTCTCTCAGGAAAACAAAGGTCAACTCTCTCTGAACAAAACATGCTTAGGAAACCCTGTGATAATGTCACCCTAGTGTTGCCATGAACTGGAATTGCCTAAGGTCACAGAAAAACATGTGTCCTTCACGCCTTCATCTGGACTACAGTTCTCTGCCCAAGTGTGTCATGATGTGAGTCATAGTCCAACAATGGCTAGAGAGCCTTCACTTAAAAACCTAATGTGATACAACATCAAATATTTTTAATTAAATTTTAATTTGGAAGAAAAACAGATTGGGACCACATTCACGGTAATAGGAGATTTAACCTTCCTCTAAGGCCCCTTCTACCCTATTTTAGAATCTGATCCCAGATTATCTGCTTACTCCAGATTATCTGGCAGTGGAGACTCATATAATCCAGTTAAAAGCAATAATATGGGGTCAGATCCTGGGATATAGTGCTGAGCAGAAGGGGCCTAACTGAAACAGTTCTGAAAGCCTCTGGGGCTATAAGAAAATAAAGAAAAATCCCATGGTTCATATACATGATGCGTTTTCCCCACTCTGCTGTATTCACCAGTCTGGGCCATATAACCCAGAATATCATGGCAGAAAATCCCACATTATCTGCTTTGAACTGGATTATCTGAGTCCACACTGCTATGTATTCAGTTCAAAGCAGATAATGTGGCATTTTATTCAGGTGTGTGGAAGGGACCCCAACTGCACTCTCAAATGCCCCACTGTCATATCCCATAATTGCAATGCTTCGTCCTACTTTCTGTTTTGAGTGCATCAACACTAAGGAAATAATGCGGTTTGACATTTTAATGCTCTGGAATCCTGGGAGTTGCAGTTTGGTAAGACACCTGCACTCTTTGGCAGAGAAGGCGAAAGACTTTATACAACTACACAACTAACAAGATTCAATAGCATTGAGCCATGGCAGTCAACACTGTGTTGAACAGCATTCATTCTATTGTACAGATGTGCCTCAGGTAAGTGCAAGGGGGAGTGTCACTCTCTCCATAGCCTCAAGCAGCAAAGTACATGATTGTGTACCTATGAATGCATCTACATTTATTATTTATTTATTTTATTTATGGGCATTTATATTCTGTCCTTCTCACCCCGATGGGGGCTCAGGGCGGAGCACAACATATAAACGGCAAACATTCAATGCTGGGACATAAATAGACTATACACATACATAAATAGACTATATACAAACATTAAAATCATTTAACTAGACATTAAAATATACTGTTTAAAACCATCTCAATCACCTGCATCTAATCTGGTTGGCATAGTATGGCATCGATATTGCAGAATTAATGTGGTTTGACACCAGTTTAAATCCCATGTCTCTATGCTATGTAATCCTGGTGGATGCTCCCCTTCTTTGGAGGCTTTTAAGCAGAGGCTGGATGGCCATCTGTCGGGGGTGCTTTGAATGCAATTTTCCTAGTTCTTAGCAGGGGGCTGGACTATGTTAGCCACAATTTAGAAGGCAACCCCTGGCAGTGAGACCAGAAGAAGCCTGTTGGCAGAAACCCAGGCAAGTGATAAGTCTGAGCTGGGGGGTTTCATGCAACAACTGGATGCCCCACGAAGTCTCTTGCAACTCTAGGATCCTATGAATTGTAGCACCTGCAACGTTTGGCAGATAAGTCTAAAGGCCCTGTATTAATTCTCCTATGCTCAATGGGGATCACTGCCTTCTCCATAGACTCTGGGCACATATATGCTGTGGGATGAATGATGATTGACACCACTATGCTATAGGATTATAATTAGTAGTATTAGTATTATTTACAACATTTCTACCCCACCTTTCTCAACTCCGCGGGGGGGGGGGGCTCAGAGCAGCTAACACTGGCAACAATTCGATGCCGCAATACCACAACGTAATACAATATAAAACCATAAATACACAATAGATTCAAAACAATAACATTAATTAATTGGACTAGCTGAAGTTTCCGAACAGTCTTCAAAGGCAACCCCGCGTAGAGTGCGTTACAGTAATCTATTCGGGATGTAACCAGAGCATGGACCACCGTGGCCAGATCAGACTTCCCAAGGAACAGGCACAGCTGGCGCACAAGCTTTAACTGTGCAAAAGTTTCCCTGGCCACCTCCGAGATCTGAAGTTCCAGGCTCAGCGATGACTCCAGGATCACTCCCAAGCTGCGAACCTGCGTCTTCAGGGGGAGTGTAACCCCATCGTGGGAGCTGTAGTTTTAAAAGGTCTTTAGAATATCTCTGCCAAAGAATGCTGGTGCCTCACCAAACTACAATTCCCAGGATTCAATAGCATGGAGTCAGGGCAGAGAGTGCATTTATTCAGCCTCCGGCAGCAAAACATCCTAAGCGGTTCCTGCTTCGACAACTAGGGCTGGCAGAGCTGTAAACTCTAGGAAAAAGCAACAGCTGAGACCACCAGCCAGCCAGCCAGCCCCTTCCTTACCTGCCTGCTGGTTCTCCCAGGCCTCTCTTTTGCAGCAGGCTCTGCTCCTTCCAGGCTCTCCCTCTCTCTCTCTGCCGCCCCCTTCGCGGGCACGCGCCTTTTGCCAAGGGCCAGCCCTCGCGCACTCCTCCGAGGCTGCAGCCCCCCCCCCTCTTTTCCTGATTGGTCGGTCTTGCTGACTCCGCCTCTGGGTTTGTCCAGCTCTAACCAAAGCATGGGCAAACTTCGGCCCTCCAGGTGTTTTGGACTTCAACTCCCACCATTCCTAACAGCCTCAGTCCCTTTAGGAATGGTGGGAGTTGAAGTCCAAAACACCTGGAAGGCCGAAGTTTGCCCATATCTATAGAATTAATGCCAGTTTGGCAAAACTTTAGCTGCCATTATTGAATATGGAATAATAGGAATTGTAGCTTTGCAAGGTCTTTAGCTTTCACTGCCATAGAGTGTTGGGGCCTCTCCAAACTACAATTCCCATGGCCATGCTGGTTGGCTTTAGCACTTTCTTCCTATGAAGTATGGCTCATATTCAGAGCCAGGGCAGTGATTTGAGGTTTGGACTGCCATTCTGGAAATCAAGGTTTGAATTCCCCCTCAGCTTTGGAAACCCACACAGCCTTATATTCCAGAATATCAAGGCAGAAAATTCCACATTTGAGTGTGAACTCAGATAATCCAGTTCAAAGCAGATATTACATCTTCTATATAAATAAAAATGTAAAGCCATTATATGCTAATCAAGATGGTCAGTTGAAACATTCACACCTAGCTCCAGCAGACAAGAGTCCTTTTTCTCACCCTGGTCATTCCACAGATATATAAACCCTTTTTCCTAGTTCCAACAGACCTCACTACCTCTGAGGATGCTTGCCATAGATGCAGGCGAAACGTCAGGAGAGAATGCCTCTAGACCATGGCCATATAGCCCGAAAAAACCTACAACAACAAAGCAGAGATAGTTTGTGGGATTAACATAACTCAAAAACCAAGGGATAGACACCAAATTTGGGCACAATACACCTATCAGGCCAATGAGTTACCATCACTCATAAAAACACTGAAAAAGACAGCGGAAGAGACTTAAAACACGAAAAAAATAAAATATACAACACATGTGCAATACCACATATATACACATATATGCAAATATACATACACATACATATATACGCACACAAAACACATATACACAGCAACGTGTGGCAGGAGATGGCTAGTGGCTGAATAAAACCCCAAAATATCTGCTTTGAACTGGGATACATGGCAGTGTGGACTCAGGTAACTGAGGGCCCTTCCACACAGCCCTATATCCCAGAATAGCAAGGCAAAAATTCCACAATATCTGCTTAGAACTGGGTTATCTGAATCCACACTCAGATAATGTGGGATTTCCTGCCTTGGTATTCTGGGATATAGGGCCGTGTGGAACGGCCCCCAATTCAAAGTAGATATTGCGAGTTATTCTGCCTTTATATACTGGTTGTGTCGTGTAGAAGAATCCTTAAATGCATCTTGAGAAGGAAATACCTTAAAGGCACATAACAACAAAAACATTATTGGCTCTGACCAGCAGCTCTCCAAAGTTTCGGGTACGCTGTTTTTTTTTTCATAGTTTAAATGGAGATTTCTGTCCTTTTTCCATCCAGGTATTGATCAAGTCCAACTCTTCCTAGCTTCCAAAACGAGGCAGGATTAAATGTCAAACTTATCTCTCTTGATGGCCAGCACTTTTGCAATTCATTTCAGATCAGCTCTGAGCAGATGACTTTTTCCAGGGCGTTAACCACTTCATCCTGTTTTGGGGGCCAAGAGCAACAGCCTGGCACACTTGACCAAAACACCCGCTGTAATCCCTCTACAAGGATGGAAACAGCGTCTAGAATTTGGGCCAAGTGTTTAAGCCTAATTTAGAACTTGGAATCATGATATTATCCCTGTAACCCCTGGTTGTGATTACTCATCAGGAACCCTTTGTAACCGTTCAAAGGTACAGCAGAGACAACACAGTTAATAATTATTTGAACACCGATTACCAATAAGATGCAGGATTTGTATCCATTACAAGAATTGTCATTGGGTGTGTAGTGTGAATGGATCATTGTTTAAAAAAAGATCCAGACATATCTAGGCTGATCTAGCCTTATAAGCTTGCACTCTGTTTGGACAATGGAACAAATTTATTTATTTATTTATTTACAATATTTATATTCCGCCCTTCTCACCCCACAGGGGACTCAGGACAGATTACAATGTACACATACATGGCAAACATTCAATGCTATAGACACACAACGCATATAGACAGACAGTCAGAGGCTATTTAACATTCCAACTTTTCTGACCACCAGGGGAGCTGTCACTTCACCGTCCATCTGCGGCACTGATGAAGTACTTTCTGCATTCCGTGCATGCTTTGCTGGAGATTTTTTATGGCCTCGTACATTTGTTAAATTAGCCTCTCCACACATAGGTGATACCTAAATTTCTTACTTGACAGATGCAACTGTCTTTCAGGTTGCAAAGGTCGACAACAAGCTACACAAAATTGGTCGGAAGCTCACTCTGACCCAGATTGGCTTCGAACTCATGGCCTTCCGGTCGGTAGTGATCTATCTTGATGCAGCTTACACCCAGCCAGCTGCGCCACAATCCCGGTGCGAGGGATTTTATTTATTTATTGTATTTATATCCCGCCCTTCTCACCCTGAAGGGAACTCAGGGTGGCTTTACAATAGGCAACAATTCGATGCCGTAAAAACATAAAACAGCATATAATAAAATAAAATAAACAGATACATTAAAACCTACTTTAAAAAGCATGAAAACATTAAAATTAATAATTAGCAAGAACCACATAATCTGAAATTAAAGTCAAGGAGCCGCTCCAGTCATGACTGCACTTATTCCACCTTCACTTATTCCACCGTATAACTGCATTTGTACATTTCATCCATATATCATTATTTCGAATGTGCAAGCATTGTTAGATTTTCTATTTATCTGTCGGATCACAGGTGGAGAAATATATTTCCAGTAACACACAGCCTACTGTCTCAGAATATCAAGGCAGTAAATCATATGGCTGTGTAAAAGGGTCTCTGAAAAGCAATCCATTAAACCTTGCCAGGCACATCTACATTCTATGTAGATCAAACCATCTATTGGTTACTGTTCAATTCAGATGGAATTATTTGTTACAGGTCAGTTTGGGTCTGAGATTTTGAGTGATAAACATCTAAGGGTCCTTCCACACAGCCATACAACCCAGAATATCAAGGCAGAAAATCCCACAATATCTGCTTTGAACTGGGTTATCTGAGTCCAGACTGCCATATATTCCAGTTCGAAGCAGATCATGTGGGATTTTATTCTGCTGTTTGGAAGGGGCCCCCAGGCCCCTTCTACAATGCCATATAATCCAGATGATCAAAACAGACAAAACACATTACCTGCTCTGAACTGGATTATATGAGACTACACTGCCATATAATCCAGCTCAAAACACATAATCTGGATTTTATATGGAAGTGTAGAGAAGGCCTAAAATACCTTGATTAGAATCTGAAATGTCTTGGCAAAGAAATTTGAAAATACTCTCAAATGTGTGCAGAAGGGAGGTGCCCAAATTAATTGAACCCTATATTCTGTGCTTCCACATGAATTTCATTTAAATTATGAGAAAGACATGTAGGATGTGGCATTTCAAACAGGAAGCAACAACAGAGGGAAATGATTACTTTCAACCATACTGTTCATTTCAAATCTGTGAATTTCAGGAAGCAGATTGCAGAAACTATCATATAATCTGTTGTGTTAGTTCCCCATTGGTATCATACGTATAGCTGCTCAGTGTTATGCCATGCTGTTTTTCTTTAGGTAAAGGTAAAGGTTTTCCCTTGATATTAAGTCCAGTCGTGTCCATCTCTGGTGGTGGTGCTCATCTCTATTTCTAAGCTGAAGGGCTGGCATTGTCCGTAGACACCTCCAAGGTCATGTGGCCAGCCTGACTGCATGGAACGCTGCTACCTTCCCATTGGAGAGGTATCTATTGATCTACTCACAATTCCATGTTTTTGAACTGCTAGGTTGGCAGAAGTTGGGGCTCACGCTGCTCCTCAGATTCAAACCTGCGACCTTTCGGTAAGCAAGTTCAGCAGCTCAGCGGTTTAACTCACTGCGCCACTGGGGGCTCCCCAATTTGCAATGTCTTCCTTTAAGACATTGCAAATGGTGCAAGAACAGCTCTCTAAAAAGCTCAAAATTGACTTGTTTATGCTTGTATCTAGGGCAACTCAAGTGACTTGAGATTCTTGTCTAAACTTAGTACCCTCCATTTGTTTCAGATTGGTCCTTAGTCTAGCATTGAAATATCTGCACAGCAGGATCCTCATGGAAGGATATAGTGAGGATTTCAGGTAAATGGTTACACATGCTATTGGGAGCTACATTTTTATGAGCTAGGTGGAAAATTGACATTTATACAAATAAACAAACCAAATTATTTTTGTTCAGCAGCGGAACTCTCTATCCAGGAGTGTGATGAAGGCTAGTTCTTTGGAGGCTGGATGGCCATCTTTCCAACACAAATGTTGGACTCCAAAATGTGCGTTCTTAATGAAGAAGGCTTGCATGAATTGCGGAAAGAGACTTGCCTGCGGTTGAACACCTGCAAATCAACTGGGATGAATATAGTAATGCTGCCACTACCACTGCCTCAGGTACATATTTTGGCAATTAATACAGAAAATGATTGGCAAATTTCTTGTAAACAAATTGCCAAATCTGCATCAAGGAACTGGTCAAACAGGTATAATCAAGGTGTATCAAGTATCAGTATCTAAGAATCCAGTTTGAACAGGAGTTTGGAAGAGAATCCTATGCAGAAAAGGTGTCTTGTTAGCCCTCTTTAGCTCCAAGTGTTGTGCTGAAATTGTAGATATCAAATCTTCCTCATTCATTGCTAGTATAGCATCAAGTTCCTTCTCAGCCTGAGGGATGTCATCAGTAGATGACTGCATAGAATCATAGAGTTGGAAGGGACCTCGTGAGCCATCCAGTCCAACCCCCTGCCAAGAAGAAGGAAAATCGCATTCAAAGCACCCCTGACAGATGGCCATCC